CCTTTTGGTAATTTTTATAGGATATCCTATGATTTTTCAGAATATCATTTTTATCTATGAGGTGATATTGATATCTGCACGAGAGAGTGTAGCGAACAAGAACATATTTAAATATCACTGAGGTGATTAAAATGATATTCTGAAAATATCACAGGATGTTCTTATTATCCTTCAATAAGTATACAAAAATCAACAAGTGGATTATATCGTCACAATATCCTCCGCATATTGGTTTTCCGGAGTATATCGTAGCGGTGTCCTCCCATTATTCATTTTGCCAATAGATATTAAATTTTTTTTTTAATGCTATTATAGATTTAGTACAAAATGCTATAACCCCAATATCCAAACCCTCTTATTAGATAATCTTCATACGTTTAATATTAAAGATTAGAATACTTCATTAACAGCCATATCCTTCCAGTCTTACAATACATGGTCTCTAAACTTAATTGAATGTATTAGACAGGGAGCTTCAGTTGCTTATTGTCTACCATGTAAGTTCTTCTCTCCTTTGTGCCACACTTTTGGCACATTGATCATAAGTTATTGATTTGTCTTTATGAATAGGTCATTACCCTTTTCAAGCTGTTTGCATTGCCTCACAGTTTTTATAACTAATGAAGCTCTGAACTTACTCAAATCAGAGTATGTTGTCCCTCAAAGATGATTCTTGATGAAATAATAAAATATAAGATTGGCTTAACATTATTGCTTCATGTACTTGGTTGAAGCTGTAAATACTTAGTCGTCATCAGAGTTTAGTATACCAGGCAATGGTCTCAGGGTTACAGTTAAGTGCATATTGGTCAGTTTCCCAGTTATCACATTTAATGAAGAAATAATGGAGTTCATACGTAGAATATTTACAGATAAGTTATTATATTGGTATATTATTGATCAATCAATTCACCTTGGATCTGGTTAGACGCATTAGAATCTTGTACATTACATGGGCATCAAAATGGTACCCTGGGATTTTAGGAACAAGAGATTGTAATATGGGGAAGCGCAAGTAAGTAAAGTGCAATTTCTCGAATTAATGTTTAGTTTATGTACAAAGTATATATGAATGTCAGATAATACAGAGTATTAGGATTTCTATACATGTACTAGTGTATTATAGAACAATATAATAATAATTATGATAACTCAAAAGAATGAGTTGGCCATTATGTAGGTTGTCTCTCCACCAGGTGGCTATGGCAGATATAGGAAAAAGAACCTCTAAACTTCAATATTCAGTTGATTTATAGATCAATTTTTATATATGTCCAGTAGTAAGAGAAGATATTTTCTGGCCAATGAAAAGATATTTCACTTTTCATGATTTTATAACATGGGCTCTATTGGAAATTGATTGACCTGGAAGTCACATTTTCAAAGAAAACTAAATTTGACAAATAATGCTAAAGCATGCTAAAGGTTAATGCCAAAAGTCAAGATCATATCTATTTGAGAGAGGTAGATTTACAAAATGTGTGTTTAAAGTTATAGAATAATTCATGGCAATGGATGTGCTTAAAATAAATAGAGGTTATTTAATGGGAGGGATGGAATATGAATTTTATTCTGAGGAAAAATATGATATTGGCTAAGGAAAATATGATATTGACCGAGGGTGACAGCCCGAGTGTCAATTCTATTCCTTGTTTTTTTTCTCCGGGAAAACGTGTTATTAATTACTTATACTAACTGACTCTGGAGGAATCGTTTGATGTGGTAAAAATGAAAAGAAGTTCCTCTTTTTAAAAAGCAAGTCTGTCTGACTTTTGAAAAATATTTCTGAGTAAGAATGTGTTTATAATACACAGGCAAATTACATCAGACCCGGTACAAGCCCGTAGGGAGCTAGTTGAGTCAACGGGCCCTGTACAACCTCGTACAGGCCTTGTTACGAGTCTTGTAATTGCTTGTAATTTCCGAGCCTCATAAGAGCTTGTAATTACAAGGCCCGTAATAGCTCTTAATTTTCGACCCCCGTACTTCACCATCTGGTGCCCATAACGAGCCCCGTAATAAATCGTAATTTTCTATCCCTGTACTTGCTCGTACAGTGCCTGTTAGGAGGCCTGTAATGACTCGTAATTTTCGAGCACTGTACTTGCCTGTATGGGGCTCATAACGAGGCTCGCAATTGCTCATTTATTTTGATTAACACTTTTTGATGGATGAAATAAAATACATGTACAGCATACTTGAGAAATTACAATTTTAATTATTATTATCTAATTATGAATTATTATGTCTTCAATAATCGGGGCCCGATGTAATTTGCATGTGTATGAAGTGGTTGGTCCCGCCAGAAAATCACCACTTGAGTGGGCCATGAAAAAACATAACTATATTCACGATTTTACTGAGTTACTTCCGGTTTAAGTTTTCCAAAGATTTCAAGTAGCGGTGGATTCATCAATTTAACCAAGTCTTTGAAGTGCCTTTATACTTTCATTGTCTGAATCGTATTGCTCTTCCCTATGGATTGTAAAAGTTCACCCCTAGTCCCCTAAAGATGCTTAAACTTACCAAATAGTGAAAAAAAACATCGTCACTCCAGAAAGTTCCAGCATGCACCATGGTAACACTAAACAGGAAATGAAACCTTTGCATAAAAATAATGAATGCAGAATCAAAACCAAGTATGTTTGTTTTGCACATGGCATTAAGTAGAAGAGAAGTTGTATTTTAAACAGATTAAGCAGAATATTACAACTATGCGCATGAAAATCTCAAGTAGGAGTGACGAATCTCAAGTCAAAGTGAGGAAAAAACGAGTGATTTTTAGCACAAATGCTAGTAAAACTTGAGTATATGAGTCAGTCTTCCTACCACGAGCATAAGTGATCATTGGTAATATCATGTTATAGTAGTACCAGGATTTTAATATACTTTAGCTCCATTATAGCTATGAGAGCATGTCATATAATAACAATAATATGCATAATTCTCATCTTTTAATCATCCGCTAATGTTGATTAGAAATCCTTGCCAAAATGTGTTCATTTGCCATTTATGCATGAATAGCTAAATGTATCCCAACATTGGTACCTGTTACACTATTTTTATTATACTAATATAAATCAATGATCATGACTTTTAAACTTTATTTTAACAGTTCTGTATAGAAAACGACTAGTTCAAAACTCTCAGGAAAATAAAACCAGATGAATGTGATCATTCCGTACACGTCACCATACATTTTTCCAATTACTACTATATTTATATATTTCAGTCAATACAATTACAAGTATTCCTCTAATTTTTCTATCATATCTCTTGGAAAACATATGGAATAGTTAATTACTGGGTGGGATTGAATTTGGGGTTCATACAGAGGGCTAGTATGTTATATCATATAAAAACGTTTAATTCCGGAATGGGCTACTCAGTTATACCATAATATTGCGTGATTGAAATAGTGTAGCCATTATTAAATATCTCGGATTCGGCTGGTGGTTTAACTTACTATTTCATGGCCAATTCATTTTAATATGAATATTAATCTAATAAACTAATATATTAGTATGTTAATCCATCAGCTGTCAGTTGAATTTGAAAGTGACACAAATAGAAAGAAACTTGAATATCAGTTGTAAGCAACGTTTTAGGACACATCAATAATTCTAAGGCAACAATAATGAATGCTTAGGCGGGACTTTGGTTTTTGGGGCAGTGGCCTAAAACATTGACCCTCTCTGTAGCAAATACCTGTCAACAAGGAACAGTTTTGGCCAGTCTGGCGAGCGTTCCTTGTTCGCAGATCTTGCCGCATATGTACATGGTAGTTTTGAAACGTTAATTCAATCTATTTAAAGTTAAACATGAAGTTTAACTTCAATTACAATTAAAAATTGATGAAGAATAAAATAATGGAACGACCAGATAAGTATTGCAAAATGGCGATAACCAGTGGAATATGATTTCTGAGTAGGGACATTTTCAAATCAGCTAAATCCCTGATGTGATTAAATCATGTTAAATTAAATAGTTTTATTTCCTGGGTCAAACATCCTAATGTTTAGGGTTTCACATGTCAAAGAAAGAGCATGTATGCCACATCATTCTCTTTAGTAAGCATAGCTTCCGTAATTTCAAAAGTTAACGCTGCCACACATGAGACTTGGTCTAATATTCGCTAATGGATTGAATAAACGTTTCAATACGTCATATCGATGCGAGGAAAGGCATGGAATCAGAATGAAATGCTACAAAAGACGGGAAATTACATTTTTGTATGTGGCGTTTAGGGCTTGAGTTAGCATCAATTTGTGACGTAAACAGGCAGGCTAATTATTTTAATAAATACGCAGGATTGTAATACATACTTAAAAACATTTTTCCTCGCGATTTCTCTCATTTAATACAAAATGATGGATGTGCTCTTTATTACGCGCATGTGCAAACCACTAAGCACTAAACTAAACCAGTAAACTAAGCATTTTCTAACGAAGCTACCTCTTACATTGGCAAAAAAGCTTTGTTGGGATCTAACCTTCGTTGAATTTTCTACTCAATTGCTTTGTCATCAACTAAGCTTTTCTAATGAAGGCAGAGGTGTTACACTGGCCCAAAATTGCTTCGTTACAAAGCTTTTTGTCAAAATGCTTCGTAAAATGCTTTCGAAGCATTTCAACCGTCCTGTGTAACAGGGGTCATTGAAACTTATTCTAAAATGATTTAGAAGACTTTATGGAAATACATGTCATAAAATATCAGATGATGTCAGTTAAGTAAATGAAAGTAAAAGATATTCTTGACATGAACAATGGCATGATGACGTCTTCCTCGAAACCCATTTGATCCCCGCTACACATCTTTACCCCGCAAAGAGTAGATGGGAAATGGGAGGAGCAGGGAGGAGTGTCTAGTAACATGATGCAGGGCTATAAAATCAAAAACATCGAGAAATAACTTTCTTATTAAACAACCTATCAGAATTGCTTGATGGGAGGAGTACAAAGATCATGGACTGAAAAGTGAGAAAAGATAACTAAACTCACCATTTCCTGCAATTGTGTAATATTGGCCAAACCAGACCTTCTTCTTCGTGCTCCATTGTCCTTTGCATTTTCCTGTCCAGTGGATTTCTGAAATTTTACAGTTCAGCACTCAATTTGACATGATAACATAATTAGGTTTATTGAAAATAATGTACATTTTCCAGAATATAAAATGAAACCACATACAATTTATACAAATGAAAATGTCATATTATCACCACTTAATACCACAAAGATGAAAGAATTATTTTATCGGTTGCAGTTGAGTTGAGGGACACCTATAATGCCACTGGCGATTTTGTCCCTCGTACATATATTTCACACACACACACACACACACACACACACAATTATTTGTACAAAATCTTTGCCCCAATTGTTCATCAGCGTCTCATTTTAGATCAAAATATCACCAGGAATATCCGAACAACCCACGATTGCTTTTTATTGAGAGGTCGCGCTTTAACTGAGGATCAAAGGTAGGCACTTTCATTTTTTTATTTTTGAAAGAAATAGGTATCACCATTTCATGTTCTTGGTTTCTATATCATTGATTGGTCTAACATTTTGTATAAGATTGGCATTATTTGCGATCACTAGAGGTACATTGTGTAGGATCATAAGACACTAGAGGTAATACACGGGACTATCCAGGCCCCACTGACATTGAGAGCAATGAGGTCATGTTATTTAGAAGCGGGGCCTTGAGGGATATGATAGAATTGAAATATGAAATTTTCTATGAAACGTTAGTAAGTGAAACTCTGTACAACTTTATTTCATAGTACAATGGCTATTTCAATTGCAGGGCAATGACATTCTTCAACTATAACTATATTTTATCATATCTCTCAAGGCTCCGCTTCTAACATGAGCTCATTGCTCGCAATGTCAGCAGGAACTTGTTTGCGATATACGGGGCCTGAATAGTCACCGTGTAATACATGAAGTAAAATAAACATTGGTATATCATAGATGATGATTTGCATATAATCCCAAATAAAAATATAGTATGAATGTCATCTAATGCAATCAATTTTACCTCCTTCAGTTTTTTTTCAAGCTGATCAAAGAATTGTTTTTCCTGTTGAGATTTTTCTGACTGTAGAAGCAAGAGTTGTGATGTTTTCTCATTAACATGGTCTTGTAGGATTCTTGTTGCCTCCTCTTTGAGTTGCTGTTTTGTAGCCATCTATTATATAAGAGTGTATATTTTACGTTTTTCTATATTGGTCCAAAGTATTTCAGATTTATAATCTGATTGCTAGTTTTCATCTATACATATGCTTCATGTACATGTATATATAAGTACCTATTCCCAGGCATTAATTAGTGTTTTAAGGCCAGATATAGTTCATTTTGATTCAATTTATTAGACCTTACCTAATGATAGGGTGAATGTTTTGATGAATGTTAGGTGTTAATTATTATATAAGTGTAAGATAAAGTACTTTTCTTCCTGATCTGTGGATTTAATTGTTTAACAAGGGAAGAGCACAATTAAGATATGTGGATGTTTTCACATTTGAGATCATTTCAGTCTTTTCAAGCAGTATTTTTGTGGTTTACACATATTTCTTCTTTCTCTAATTTTGGAATATATCCACCTTTTGCGTACTTTTATCTTCCTGACTACTGTGACATCGTTCACTGTTTATCTTATGTTTTTTCTAATAGACATGTATGGATCATTGGACAACCAAAATAATTGCTGACATTTCCATTAAATTCTTAACTGTAAACTTCAATTTTACTGTTAACCTTGACCTCTAATTCATCCAGTTATTTTTTACCTTCACTTATGGTTACTATAGTTACTACATAGAGTATAGACTTGATAATAGAAGTATAAAATTCATAGATACCCTATGAATGTTGAAAAATCTTTGAGATCTATTTCTTTTTCAAACTCAGTTTTGTCATATTGCTGTTGCATAACGTATGATTAGTATTTGTATTAATCTTGCAGGTCCTGTTGGTTACTTGTTGTCTCTCATGTCTATTTCCACTAATGTTTTATTATATGCTCCTCCAAGGGGTTTATAATCCGTAAGAAATGTAAAGTTAAGTGTATTTGTAAGTAGATTATTGCTTAAAATAAGAAATCTTTTAGGAGTGCAAAGTTTTAATATAACTGTATTGTGCCTGTCAATATTTAATTTTTCTCTCTCAAGTGTCTCTATGGACTGTATTGAGTGATAAGGAGTTGTTCTTTAAGAGGCACTGTCAGTTAGAATGGGACAATCTTGGTACCTATTTAGATTTTTATATTGGGAGGTCTGATTCATATATATTCATCTGATATTACAAATTCTCAGATTCAAACTGTTATATTAAAGGTATTAATTGTTGATTTGTGACATAAAAAAAATCATAAAATGTTTTTCTTATTGGCTCCAGATTGGCTAAAAATGGTATCTATGGGTATTTTGAAATAAATAGAATGATCTTACATTCTTTATGAAATCCATTTAGTATATAACAAAATATTTTTTGACTAGAACTGTTTTGTCTTCTTTTAGTGGTCTAAATTTATTCTTATTCATCTGATGTTTTACTATGAAAGTTAAGTGAAATGGCATGGAACAAAATGTTTTTGGAATTGACCAGTTCAGAATATTTCACTTTGGATCAGAATATTTTCGCACAGAGTATTTCTTATATGCAGGAATCAACTTTTAAAATAGATTGAAAAAAATCTAAAAATTATAAGAAAAACAATTGTCTGATTATGTTGCAATTTCACCCTCCTCCCGCTTGCTAAGAAACAGGAATATTTCTCACTGATGAAATAAACACTTACTGTCAATCAACCATTCAGCCTTTGCTTTTCAGGTTTCGTAATGTATGTTGTGTTTATATGGCATTTCAGGATCAAAATATATATGATAAGGTAAGATTGTTGTTTTTTTGGAAATAACCCAAATACAGTGCTATATTTTTGTTTGTGTTCAGAACCAAGAGCCTTGTTTCACAATCTGGATGGGTATGACACCTTATTAATTCATCAGAGAAATCTGCAAAGTTGATTCTTCAGATTTTTGGTATGATCATAGTCAGAAGGGACAGGTTGCAAAATATGCAAAATTAAACAAATGTACATGTAAACAAAATTAATAACAACAACCTGTGTGTTATACAGTAAATATAATAGCAATAATATATTTACCATTTCTTTAATTTAAAAAGTGCAATAGCTCCATGATACCTGGACTCATTGAAATTCAAGTGTTGGGAAAACCCATGAATTATCTCAATGTCAATCAGCAACATGAAATGTTTTACTTATTTTGGGTTACTATACATTGCAGCATGTGTCACAGCAGAGACAAGAATAATTGATGTGTTGTATTTGAGTATGCATGAATGTAAATACATTTCTTTTATATCCTGAAAGTTGAAAATGAATTGCATAAAAATATATTATTCGTTTGTTGTTTTCATCGTTAGCACCATAACAATGTATCTTATAACTACAAGTGTAATGTGTGAGAGCTGCCAGTAATTAAAGTCAGGTTGCAAAAGAGGTTATTCACCAATCCCATGATGCATCTGGCTATATGTATAACACATACACTTCACATAAAAAATGAGGATGATGAAGGATGGGAATGAAAGGTATAGTTTTGAGGTCGAGTCCTATAAAGAAGTGAAAGTCAACCCACCTTAATTCCCTTAGGGATGGATCTATCAAACGTAAACATCATACCAGACAGATGATCTACTAGTAATATCTGCCAGTTGATAATTGCCAAACTAGTTTACAGGACCAAGATATGATTTAAAACCTAGTTAATTGGCAGATTAATGTAACTTGTATTTTCATCATAATTTGTGCCAAGTAGTTCTGCACAAGGACGCTTCTGATAGGATTACACAGACTTGCAGAACATTGTAATGAGACTTTGCATTGAGTAGAAGGTTAATTCAATGATCAGTGCAGTCCAAAGTTTTTCCTGATGAATTAACTTCAAGAATATTGTGTATTTTAGTTCATCGGCAGAAATTACATTATGATGATCAGAATCAGTTTTCTGATAGTGTTTTAGAACATTCGTTATGTTTGCTGTCTTTAGGGGAAATAGCTTTCCCAATCTTCGAAGAAAAAGGTTTGTTCTATATTCAAATTTATTTTATTTAAATCCATATCTCACATTTTCTGTTTTTCTCAATTGTGAGTTCCTGTTGTTGTATATCCATTGATAATTGCTTTTTAATTTGTAGGTCTTCTTTATAATGGCAATATTTTTCAAATCTCTAAAGCTTGTAATGTAAAATCTTGTTATACAATTTACTGTTTGTTTGCATGTTATAATGAGTCTGCTTTATCAGAGATTTTCTTGTAACAAATTAAATATGGTCACTTTCTCAGGTATATCATTATATTATCAATAAATGTCAAAGTCCATAAGTGTGTGATATATAGCTTGATTTTGTTTATCTTCCATATGATATTCTATTAAAGTTTAACCAAAAGTAATTAATAAGCGATGTAATGAGGCACTCTGGGTTTCATGAACTCTGAATGAAAAGATAGAAATTATACAGTTTTATACTTTCAGCATCTTGAATTTTATCCTCAAATTGTTGTTTTCTCTGAATATCAAACCCTGTAATTGAAGCACTCTTTTAAGAAGCAAATTCAAATTATTGGAAATAAGGGTAATTACTTTGATATAATTTCAACAGTCTACCTCTGGAGAAGTCAATAATTATACATGTATGATAATGTACTTGCAACAAACAACTGTTTTATTATTACATAATTATTATTCTAAACACATCCTAACATGTGTTTATATTGTCATTTATTTAAAGTAATAATTGGCACCATCTGGGTCTAATCACCTTTCATAAGACACATAATACTAAATTGCCATTAAAAAAGCAATGTGATAGAATTTCCATGTACTTATTAACATATGAATTTCTATTGATCATTCATTCTAAGCATACTCTATTTATGAAGTACATATGGGTCTAAGATGACAGCTTGTTCCCTAAACTTGCCAATAGAATAAATAATGAATATTTTACTTACCATCCATTCATTCAATAATCAGCTGATGTGTATCTCGTTTAATCTTCACTTGAATATACTAATTCAGGATTTTGAGTTGACATATTGACCTGGGTCAAGGTCAGTACTTAAGGCTAGGTCAAAGGTGAGGATGGTTAGAATCAGTAACAAGGAAAATAAAAAAAAACCAAAGCAGGATCTTCGCAGATATGTCTTAATGTAGGTGTAAACATTTTAATTCTTTTTATTTTAAATTATTGATTAAAATGGGGAAATTGTTGAAGTTTGGAAGGAGAACTAGGTTAGAGAAAGAGAAAAGGTTAGTAATAAGTACAATAGATGGAGTAATAGGGCCTTTATCCGGTACAAAAAGCAAGAATGCCTTGATACATTCTTAACTGAAGGAGTTGGGTCTTGATGTATAATTAGCTGGATGGGTGATGTCTTGATTTATCATTAGCTAAGGGATGGTGATGAGGCCCTGTACATATTTAGCTGTGGTTGAGGCCCTGTACATATTTAGCTGTGTGGTTGAGGCCCTGTACATATTTAGCTGTGTGGTTGAGGCCCTGTACATATTTAGCTGTGTGGTTGAGGCCCTGTACATATTTAGCTGTGTGGTTGAGGCCCTGTACATATTTAGCTGTGTGGTTGAGGCCCTGTACATATTTAGCTGTGTGGTTGAGACCCTGTACATATTTAGCTGTGTGGTTGAGGCCCTGTACATATTTAGCTGTGTGGTTGAGGCCCTGTACATATTTAGCTGTGTGGTTGAGGCCTTGTACATATTTAGCTGTGTGGTTGAGGCCCTGTACATATTTAGCTGTGTGGTTGAGGCCCTGTACATATTTAGCTGTGTGGTTGAGACCCTGTATATATTTAGCTGTGTGGTTGAGGCCCTGTACATATTTAGCTGTGTGGTTGAGGCCCTGTACATATTAAGCTGTGTGGTTGAGGCCCTGTACATATTTAGGTGTGTGGTTGAGGCCCTGTACATATTTAGCTGTGTGGTTGAGGCCCTGTACATATTTAGCTGTGTGGTTGAGGCCCTGTGCATATTTAGCTGTGTGGTTGAGGCCCTGCACATATTTAGCTGTGTGGTTGAGACCCTGTACATATTTAGCTGTGTGGTTGAGGCCCTGTACATATTTAGCTGTGTGGTTGAGGCCCTGTACATATTTAGCTGTGTGGTTGAGGCCCTATACATATTTAGCTGTGTGGTTGAGGCTTGATGTATAATTAGCTGAAGGGGGTGAGGCCTTGGTGCTTAATTAGCTGAAAGGGGCGAGGCCTTGATGTATAATAAGCTGAAGTGGGTGAGGCCTTGATGCTTAATTAGCTGAAAGGGGTGAGGGCTTGATGTATAATAAGCTGAAGGGGGTGAGGCCTTGATGAACAATTAGAGAGCAGGTATGCAAGACCAACGTGAAGATCCACTTAACAGGGAACAATAACTCTCCACATTTTAAGGCCCCTAAGTAGATAAATATAGAGTTTTACTACATATGAGATAATTGTAGAGTGCCAGATATGATTTTGATAGTTATCATAATATCACAGACTAGTTAATCTGTGTAGCGTCAGCAATCATTATGGTATGTTCAGATTATGAATAAAATGTTACTGATACTATAGACTGTTCAATAGCCCAACTAATGAAGTTCAGTAAAGATATGGTGAAGCCATCTGTCTGTCTGTCTGTCTGTCCGTCCGTCCGTCCGTCCGTCCGTCCGTCCGTCCGTCCGTCCGTGTCCATCCGTCCGTCCGTCCGTCCGTCTGTCTTTGCAGTAGCTCAAATGCCAGTAGATCAATTTTATTCATATTTGATGGATTCATTTCACATGAAATTCCATGGCTATCCAAATATGTTGATTTATTTACAAAGTAAGACTTTATTTATATGTGAATGGAAGAAACTTATTTAATAGACTAGATGCAAATAGAAATGGTCTTGATTAAGTCATTGAACATTCAAAATTTAGTCAAAGTGATATCATATTTGAAGTCTATATGCAAAATTACATCTTAAAATGTGGTCTAAAAATAATTTATCAGCTTTGAAAATTTAATTTTCTTTGAAAATGTGACCTCTAGGTTTGGTAGATTCCCAATAGACCCTATGTTATAAAATCACAAAAATGAACTATCTTTTCTTGCATTGGACAGATATTTTCTTTTACTCACCTAAAACTGATTTGACCTTATTTTAGACACTATCATTTATTCCTTGGTCCTCAGTGTCCGAGGATGTGTTAACAAGTTAACAAACAAGTTTCACCACATATTCACCCATCTACTTACCAAAGAAGAAGTCTCAAATCCCCCTCTTTCAGTGTTAATTTTGCGATTCTGCTGGCCGATCTAATTATTTTCAAAGAAATTAATTCAATCTGAAGTTTGAATATTCTGGGAAAGTCTTCCTGTTATCTGATTGGTCGTTGAATTTGTTTATCATAAACCTGATTGGCTCCATGGTTCAAGGTGCTTGTGGGCGCTTGTGTGACTCAATAGGGATTCCCCTCGATAGCCGAGGAATCGATTGTGTTTAATTCTGGAGTTTGGTTGTTCTGTTGATTATATCCGATATTTCGGCAATGATATACCCGAAAGTTATTCTCAAGATATATCCATGGTATGTGAGATATTATATGAGCAATAACAATAGGATATCATTGATTGTCTGGGGGAGAAACCTATGGCATAATGCATCTTTAAAAGATGGCAGTAGAGACATACAGGTAATCAAGTAATTAATATAAAGGAGAAGAAATTGTGCATTAATAATCAAAGGTTAATAATTACCAAGCTGTAGCAAGATAAAGGTTGTTAAAAGTCTCTGATAACTTTCGGTCTAGATGCACTTTTCACATAACTTTAATATCACGCGTTCCTACATTAACTTCGACCGTTAATTTGAATTTTTGACCTACCGGATGTTTGAAAATCAAGGATTACTAGTCTCATACTGCTCCGTTTTTCTTCAAACTTGTTCTATTCAAAGCATAACACAAATCCCTTTCAGCTAGACAGGGTTATATAAAGATTTTTCCGGGTGTTAGAATTCATTCAAAAAATTAGAAATTTGAAGTTTCATAAGAAAACGAGGTGTCAAAAGGTCATTAGGGGTATAAAGGTCATTTGTAATTATTTCAAATGTTCATTTGAAACATGCGTTTAAAAATAAAAATATCTCAAAAGGTATTTTGACATTGTTTTCTAGTTAATTTTGCAACTATAAGTGAATTTTTCAATAACTTGAGAGGGACAACAGTGAATATAAGTTATTAACCTGGTCTATGAAGCCTGCTTGTATTTAGATCCAGAACATCAGGTGCTGCCTTAAAGTGTGCGCCTGACCCGGCTACGTATAGCACAGAGTTTATACTGGCGGATTAGACTAGTTCATTTTTTATATGTGTGTGAAAGCTTTCTCTTATTTGCGTTTTTTCGTTTAGTACGGTTCTGTTATAATTGCCGAGGTCATATAACAGGGATAAAACAATGATTATCGTTGACTGCCCACACACAAAACATACGTTGAGTGAACAGTGTTATTACAAACAACAGGCTTTAGAATACAAAGCGTAGTGTGATAATAAGCTATACACTACCACTGCTGCATGTACATATTACTAATTTACTAGGGCTCCCAAAGAGTGGATAGGGAGGTTGTGTTTGTCACTTTTAAATTTTACATTTCAAAATTGTCATTTTACATGTCATAATTTGTTGGTTTCATTCGTTTAGCCAATCAAAACATTGTAAAATAATAAATTGTCTGTTACGTACAATCAATTTTGTTCAGTTTTGATTAGTTGTCAGAATAAAGTTACGTTCATCTGAATCCATGTATCAAAACAAAAATCCTATTTTCACTTCAAAATACTTCAGTGAAATGAAGGCTCGGAATTATCACATGCAATAACTTATTGTCGTATTCGTTATTTTATCTTCTCGATAGTAGCATTTAGTCGCACATTTGATGCCAGGTCACCTTGTCGCGTACCTCTTGGGGAACCCCACATTTATGTGTGTACTCATGGAAGTAAATTCCCCGGTGTAGCCGAGAGCCACAAACTTTTCAACAGGTTCGAAATGACCAATTTCTCTCATATATACTCTAAATATTTTATTATTTAGCACCTACAAAGTATTGCTAATAACCATATGTAATTTCAATAAGGAAACTTATCTGGCTACATGTAAATTCAATATCAACACTAGCTGTTCTCTCAACACGTCCTGGCTTACCTTGTGGTGACAAACCCTGGATTTTCGCTATTTATAGTTTATCAACACCTGGACGCATGCGCATTTTATAGTTTATCGGGCACTTTAAGGCCATAATTAGGCAACATCCCAAGACAGTTTAACTTTCAGACCAGTGTTCAGTGAAGAAACTTTGGCTGCACTTGGTAAGCCCATGGGCTTTCATCTATGAAAGCCCATGATGAGCCATAGTGAAATAACCCATTCATTGGCATTGCATCATATTATGTTTTATATGACACTTTTTACCATGTGAAAGTACTATAATGCTCTTATTAATAATTTTACATTGGCATCATATTTAATTAGAAACAAATATGTTATAGAGCAGCAAAAATCAAAGCACATTCTGATGATTTTGTTATTTTAGAACAACTTTCCAGAATTTTTGTATTGCATATTGCATTCTATGGTTGAAAAGAGCTCACAATCCAGTATTTCCTTCAATTCAAAATTCTGTAAAATGTGTCTCTTGTCTTTGTGATATGATGCCAGCAGTTGTGAATGTAACTCCTGTATACATTATAGTAATTTATATCACTTATTGATATGGTCAATGTCCATGCACATCTACTCGAGCATTTATGTTCAAACATAAGTATGAATTGAATCATTAAACAAAAACACTATGTAAAATCATAATATGAGCATTTACAGAATAGAATCATGTATGCTGTCATAAACTGAAGTTGACTGTGTTATGTCTAAATATTTATTTATTTTTGGATTGTGCAAGATGATTAATGATATCGATAGGATAAAGAACATTGTAACAGCGGACACTTTAATTTGAGGTAGAACATGACGGAAAGCGTAAGGTCTGAGATTGCTAAAGTGAATAGTCAGTTAAATGTTCCAATACCAGATGCTACTTTACAGAATTATATTGATGATGTCATTCAGTGTAAACCTTCTGCTAAAGTACACCCAAGGAGGCATAGCACAGATACAACTTCTCACACAGATGAATATATGAAAAGATCAAGTCTTTTATGGAGCAGAACCTGCTCAGATGCACTGGAGTCACATGCTCATATCACCATAACTCATGAGAAACGCAAAAGAACAGCAAGTGCTACTGACTCAAAAACAAACACCAACAATGGACTTGAAACAACAAGTCCAATATTAAGACGCAATAGGGCATCAAGTGAGATAGAAACCACCAAAACAGAGCTTTTAACACAAAACAGGAAAGCAAAGAGTCCATCACCAAGCAAGAAACATGAAGTTGCAAGCCAAGTTTATGCTCCCAGAGATTTCAAACCTCTTCCTCTTGAAAAACAATACCCTATTTCATCAATATATTTGGATGTACCTACTAATAGTAGGAGGGCAAAGAATGTGGAACATGTCACAAGACATAAAGAGCACATTGGAGAAAAGAATGAAGGGGCATTTGGGGGTTCTCCGAAACTGAAACGAAGATCCTCAAAGTTTATAAGGAGGAGCTCAAAAGTGTTTACGCGATCAAAGAAAGCAATCACATCTGTTCTGAAGTCAACAAAGTAAGTAGATTATCATTATCCCATCGAACGAAGTTCGGAGGGATATAGGGAACGCCTCCGTCCGTCCGTCCGTCCGTCCGTACGTACGTCCGTACGTACGTCCGTCCGTCCGTCTGTCCGTCCGTCCGTCCGGGCAATAACTCAAATACCGTTGGCCCGATTTTGTTCATATTTCGTACACATATACCCTATGGGGGTAGAAGTTCTGCTCAAAAGCCGATTTTCAAAATGGCCGCTCATTTCAAAATGGCGGCCATTTTAGTGACGATTTTACAGTAATTCAGGTGCAATATGTAAAACTGTAATAGCAATATGTTTTAAATGTAAAAAAATTATAAATGACATTAATAATGCTACAAATGTAGATATTAAAAAGCACATGGCAGCCATCTTGAAAAATGGCGGCCTTTACTCGTCATTTTACGATTTTTGCTGTAACTCTAAAAATAGTGGAGCGATTTTGTTCATATTTGGTGTGTTAATACTATAAGCATTGCACACTGTCTAAAGACACTTTTGGTAGAAGGCGGCCATTTTGAAAAATGGCCGCCATTTTAACGTATTTTACTATAGCTCGAAAAGTAGTGGAGCGATTTTGTTCATATTTGGTATGTGAATACTATAAGCATGGCACACTGTCCTATGACACTTTTGGTAGAAGGCGGCCATTTTGAAAACAATTTTGAAAAATGGCCGCCATTTTAATGTATTTTACTATAACTCGAAAAGTAGTGGAGCGATTTTGTTTATATTTTACTAATACTCGAAAAGTAGTGGAGCGATTTTGTTCATATTTGGTATGTGAATACTATAAGCATGGAACACCGTCTATTTCTAATGACGCTTTTGGTAGAAGGTGGCCATTTTGAAAAATGGCCGCCATTTTAACGTATTTTACTATAACTCGAAAAGTAGTGGAGCGATTTTGTTCATATTTGATATGTGAATACTTTAAGCATGGCACATTGTCTAATAAAACTTTGGGGAGTAGTCGGCCATTTTGAAAAAAATTTACGTGTGTTATTTTACAAGAACGTGTGTGATTTTTCAAAAAATTTTAGAGGTGGCTACTTAAAAGCATATTATTTCTTCTGATGACAACTTGGCTAGTGAGCAACCATTTTGAAAATGGTGGCCTTTCTGGTGTGTTGTTTTATGATATTTGCGCTTCGTTTGTAAAAATGCCAGCCATTTCTGTTCGATGGGATTCGCTACGCTTTGGCGTTGCCGTTGTTCTGGTTTGTATATAGACCATGATTGCAAATAGGTCAAAAGAAATTTATGAAATCTTAAGAACATTCACAAAGATTTCTCAGATGAGCTTCCATGTTATGTCTTACTGCAGATCGCTCAGAAGAAACTATTGCCAGACATACATGTAGTTGACTGATACGTCAACAAACTGCATTTCTTGGCACTATATATGAAAAAACTACCGTCTATTAATGCGTTTATCTTTTATTGACATATGATATGCTATAAAGAAGATAGTGAAGCTTATGCTTCATGATTCACAAAACAAAACTGATGTGGTTAAATGTATGAGTATACATGTACTATGTACTGGTAGCTAAGTGAAAGTTGAATTCATTGTCAAAATCTTATATTAGATATTACATATTGTTTCAGAAAATTAAGAAAAATGACATATAATAGTTCTTAATACCCATTTTACCCTTGGATGCTATATTGTGATCAGTTTGCAAGTTTCCAGCCAAAGCGTTTGAGGGATTCATTTGAAGTTTTCAGGGATGTTTCTGCTTAAGAAAGCCTAGAACTGATCAGTTTATATGCATTCTCGTAAATGTTAAGGTGGCCATTTTGGATTTTCTGTTCTAAGATCTGGTCTGTTGAGGCTTGTCTGCAGGTTTCCAGCCAAACTCACTGGCAGATCTGGGGGGGGGGGCCCAGAAAAAAATTGGGCCCAAACTAATTAGTTCTAAACTTTCATACATCCATGTTGAAATGGACCATGGCCATACCATGGCCATGAAATGCAATGAAATACCATGGCCGATCATGAACGTTAAATGGCACCATTGCATTTCATTGTTAACAGTGCGTTTTTAACATGGTGTTTTCCATTGAAAAAATACTGCCGTTTTGCAGTATTTCATGGTCAGAAACCATCAAATGCAATGATATCATGGTCAAGTTCTCAGCCATGATATCATTGCATTTGATGGTTTCTTGACCATGATATCATTGCATTTGATGGTTTCTGACCATGAAATACTGTGAAACGGCAGTATTTTTTCAATGGGAAACTCCATGTTAAAAAAACGCTCCTGACCATGAAATGCAATGGTGCCATTTAACGATCATGATATACCATGGTATACCATGGTCAATTAACATGTAATTTTGTATCTAAAAAATACCACCGTTTCACAGTATTTCATGGTCAAATACCATCAAATGCAGTGATATCATGGTCTAGACATTTAACCATGATATGCAATGGAGCCATTTAATTATCACGATCTACCATGGTATACTGTGGAAACTATACTTAAAATTTTGAAAATTTAAAAATACTGCTATTCTACAGTATTTCATGGTTGCAAACCATCAAATGCAATGAAGTACAGTCAAGATGTTTTATCGAAAACTGGAGGTTTGACTTACAAAATATTAAGTTGATCCCCTATTTAACCGACAACAGTCAAATAAAAGTAAAGCATATTTGTTTAACAAAAAAAAATTTGTTTCTAGGGTTATTAACTTAATTATTCATAATAGAAATTAATTTATTAAATAAAGGAACAAAAGTATATAAAGTTGTGATTTTGATGAATATCAGAATCACTAATTATAATAATTTGATTATCTAATTAACATTTATTAATAAAGATATTTCATGTAAAAAATACTTTTTGAACATGGTCTTTCATTGTATTTCACTAAATTGCAAGAAAGACCATTGCATTTCATTGCATATCATGATCAATCATTGTATTTCATTGCATTTCATGGTTAAAAGTGGTATTTCATTGCATTTCATGATTCATTATCCCATCGAACGAAGTTCGGAGGGATATAGGGAACGCCTCCGTCCGTCCGTCCGTCCGTCCGTACGTACGTCCGTCCGTACGTACGTCCGTCCGTCCGTCTGTCCGTCCGTCCGGGCAATAACTCAAATACCGTTGGCCTGATTTTATTCATATTTTGTACACATATACCCTATGGGGGTAGAAGTTCTGCTCGAAAGCCGATTTTCAAAATGGCCGCTCATTTAAAAATGGCGGCCATTTTAGTGCCGATTTTACAGTAATTTAGGTGCAATATGTAAAACTTTAATAGCAATATGTTTTAAATGTAAAAAAAATTATATAGGACATTAATAAAGCTAGAAATGTAGATATTAAAAAGCACATGGCAGCCATCTTGAAAAATGGCGGCCTTTACTTGTTATTTTACGATTTTTGCTCGAAAAGTAGTGGAGCGATTTTGTTCATATTTGGTATGTGAATACTATAAGCATGGCACACTGTCTAATGAAACTTTTGGTAGAAGGTGGCCATTTTGAAAAATGGCGGACATTTTGAAAAATGGCCGCCATTTTAACTTATTTTACTAAAACTCGAAAAGTAGTGGAGCGATTTTGTCCATATTTGGTATGTGAATATGTATAAGCATGGCACACTGTCTAATGACACTTTTGGTAGAGGGCGGTCATTTTTCAAAATGGCCGCCATTTTAACGTATTTTACTATAACTCAAAAAGTAGTGGAGCGATTTTGTTCATATTTGGTATGTGAATACTGTAAGCATGGCACACTGTCTAATGACACATTTGGTAGAAGGCAGCCATTTTGAAAAATGGCTGCCATTTTTACTTATTTTACTATAACTCGAAAAGTAGTGGAGCGATTTTGTTCATATTTGGTACGTTAATACGTATAAGCATGGCACACTGTCTAATGACACTTTTGTTAGAAGGCGGCCATTTTTCAATATTGCCGCCATTTTAACGTATTTTACTATAACTCGAAAAGTAGTGGAGCGATTTTGTTCATATTTGGTATGTGAATACTATAAGCATGGCACACTGTCTAATGAGACTTTTGGTAGAAGGCGGCCATTTTTCAAAGTGGCCACCATTTTAATGTATTTTACTATAACTCGAAAAGTAGTAGAGCGATTTTGTTCATATTTGGTATGTGAATATTATAAGCATGGCACACTGTCTAATGACACTTTTGGTAGAAGGTGCCCCTTTTGAAAAATGTTCGATGGGATTCGCTACGCTTTGGCGTTGCCGTTGTTCTGGTTTCAACTCTGACCAATTTTAGACTTGAGACTCTTGTAGAGTTCTTTTTAGCAATGAAATACCATGGTATAGCCATGGTATTTGATGGTCAGGTTTGACAATGAAATGCTATGAAATACAATTAACCACGAAATGCAATGATATACCATGATAAATGATTGTTATGATTATGGCAATGAAATACCATGGTATGACCATAGTATTTGATGGTCAGGTTTGACAATGAAATGCCATGAAATACCACCAACCATGAAATGCAATGATAAAACCATGATAAAAGAGAGTTATGATTTTGGCAATGAAATGTCACACAGTACAATGAAATGCCATGAAATGTCATCAACCATGATATACAATGGTAATACCATGGTAAATGATGGTCAGGTACATAATAAAATATCATGGTACAGTATGACCATGACATTTGATTGTCAAATTGTACAATGAAATACCATCAACCATGATATACAATGGTAATACCATGGTAAATGATGGTCAGGAACATGGCAATGAAATACCATGGTATGACCATGGTATTTGATTGTCACATCTTATAATGAAATGCCATCAACCATGATATACCATAGTAAATATGGTCAGGAACATGGCATTGAAATACCATGGTATTTGATTGTCCGACTTACAATGAAATGCCATGAAATGCAATCAACCATGATATATCATGGTAATACCATGGTAAATGATGGTCAGGAACATGGCAATGAAATACCATGGTATTTGATGGCAAACTTTGGACATGAAATACCATGAAACATGGTATAACATGATACCATGGTCAAAAATTGACCAAAAAAACATCATTGCCACCATGGTCAAAGTTGATGGTAATTTCATTGCCGATCATGATAGACCATGGTAAACCATGGTATATCATGGAATCATGGTTTACGTTTAAACATGGATAGAAACATCCCTTAAATTTTAAGATGAATCCATGAAATCTGGAAACTTGTAGATAAGGCTTGACAACCAAGATTTAAGGACAGAAAATCCAGGCCGATTTAACAATTACCCAGAATGCCCAAAAACCAAATCAGTTGTAAACTTTCATATGTAGAAACATCCCTGAATATTTCAGATGAATACATGAACCAGTTTCAGGGGCGGATCTGGGGAACCAACAAGGGGGGGGGGCAAATTTCAGATCAGAGAAAAAAAGTTGAGGACCATTTTCTTCAAAATTTGGCCTGAAATTAAAAAAGTTATGTTATGAGTTATGACCAAAAAGGCCCACTTTTACAGGCCCAATTTTTTTTCTGGGCCCACCCCAGGCACCCCTCCCCCCAGATCCGCCAGTGTACAGTAATGGTTTTTGGTACAACGCTCACAGATTTTGGTATAACGCGCATCGGTATATCATGTTTATTGGTTTTCGGTACAATGCGCGTCGGTATAATGAGTTTCGGTATAATGCGCATCAGTACAATGAGGTGATCCCGATTCTATTCACTCTGTGTCTTGTTTGCCTTTATTTTACCTTACATGTTTAAGTTTGCCTCCCCAATTTTGTCATCACCAAAGGTGCATATTGTTATAGTCTCCAACTTGTTTGTGATGGGATCCAGAGGCTGGTTTTTGGAGTTTTGCGTCTGCTACAAATGGCAGGTAGTGACATTATGCATGTTAATGGCTTGTTGAATTCTTGCTATGCTTCTTTTGTATGCTATCTCATTATATAAACTCCCCTCTGGCTAGTATAGACTTCCAGTTTAGCATCCCCGCCCCCACAACTGGTATCCATGATCATGACCTTTTCTCAACCAATCAGCTAGCTAGAAGGAATGCTAAATGCGTGCTCATTAATTATGTGATGACATGAGAGGAAATTACCCTTTTTAAAAAGTCCTTTTGATTGGCTCAGTGAGTTCAGAGATATCTCTTATGATATCTCTTAAACCGGCTTGTTAGAACAAATGAACCAATGAAATGACAACATAAATTGAGGTTGAGATGCAATGTGCCATTGACCAAGATCTAGTAATGCTAATAAATCTTATCCAAATATAACATTGGGTAGGTGTAATTACTTTACTGTATATAAGGTAACTTAGTTTACGGAGCTTGAGGATTCAGAGAATAATGCAATTTAAACTTAAATTTGATTACTGCGAAATTGTGATTTCACAAAATTCATGAAATTAACCTGGAGTACAGTATTGTGTTTGTACAATCCATGAATTACTTTGACCTAGGGTCAAATGGCAGTCGCTACTTTCCGTTTCTCTTATTTGGATACATTTGGATACTTCCGTGATAATATCTTACATACCATGGATACATCCTGTGAATAACTTATGGGTATATTATTGCCGTATCTTGAAGTAATCAACAGAACAACCAACCTTCAGAATTAAACACAATTAATTCCTTGAGTTACACAAGCGCCCATAAGCGCCTTGAACCAGGCAGCCAATCAGGGTTCATGATAAACAAATTCAATGACCAATCAGATAACAGGGATATTTTCCCAGTATATTCAAATTTCAGAATTAATTTCCATGAAAATAATTAGAGCGGTCAGTACAATCGCAAAATTAACACTGAAAGTTGGGGATTTGGCACTTCTTCGTTGGTAAGTAGATTGATGGATATGTGGTGAAACTCAATGTCCAAAAAGGTCCAGAGGGGTCTTGATTGTGCTATCCTATCATGGGCGTAGTGCTATTTTTCTAAGAAGTACGCCACCACTGGAACAAGAGTTGAGTGGAGCAAAAAACGAGCGTTTTGGAATTTGGTTGTATTTGGAGCGAATTTGCAACCATCTTTTACGCCTGTACGTACCCAGCATACCGGGCGCTACGCCTATGCCTATGATATAGAGTCTCTTTATTATATATGCAGTAACTTATATTCACTACTTTCCAATTACCATATTAGGATATATTTGATTATTACTGTGATATAGTTTGGATATAGTGCAGGTGGATCTATTAAAAACATTAACCATTGCGTGTCATTGCCATTCGGCAAACAAACATAAAGGGCAATATTTTTTAACTAAATAGCACCTATCTGCAGGCCCGTAGCCAGGTAGGAAGTGGTCGGAGCGGCATTTTTTTTGTTTTGTTTAGTTTTGCATTTTTCCTCCTTTGAGCAAAAAGTACCAAATTATTAATAAACAATTGTTTTTGCTATAATTATAGGCATAGACCTGAGCAAGTCTGAATTATGTTTGATAAAAACCTCAGCAGTTTGATTTATACAAGCATTCTATTAATCTGTTCAATGCATGATTATCACACCATGGTATGCTGGGAGAATCTTCGTCTTCAAACAACATAATCAGCTATCACCATTATATAAAACAACAGAGATAAAATGAGCTCCTGCTATGTTAACTGAGCAAGTCTCCCTGCTCATTATATATGCACTGCTTACATGAATCATTCATGGTCAGTATAGCATCATTGACCACCAAATATCAAGCAAATTAGATTACAAGGTCTTATTAGCAGCAAGAGGTTAAGTCAGGTGATCTGCTGATACTGTATTCAATAAATACCATATTCACTTTAAGAATTGCCCTTGATATAAAAATATTTATTTAATCTTTTATTGTTGTTCATTATACTCAAAATGTCATGAATTTTGTGATATCTACACATTTACTAAGTTTATAAATACAATGAATATTTGACTTGCAAATATTAGGTATTTGAAACAACTTGGGTGTATCACAAAGGAGATATGGTATCATGGATGCCTATTGACTACATATGAAGTGTTTACAGTATCAAAAATAATCTGTATGAGGATATATGTTTTGAAGATGGGGTATAGGTTTGGATAATGGCATATCTGAGAGGGTTGGAAACCCCTAAAATACCACAAGGATTAACTAAGAACACTAGCAAGGATAAGAAACCTACAAAAGAACAATTAGCATTACGGAGATCATCTTCTGAGAAGTTTCCATTTTATAATATTGCCAGTCGAGTCAGGAAATTAACAAGGTATATATTTATAATGATCCTAGACTAAACTTAAATATATAAACAGTTCAGTTTGATCTACTTGTATTCTTTTCTGAGATGGATTGTTCTTATTCTGAGAATTATCGGAGCAATATGAAACAGGAAGTTCTATTGACAGTTGTTTTGATACTGGTCACAATGACCTATTTTGTATCTCATTTCTTTGGAAGCCTCTAACTGAGTTCGTGAGCTCATGGATAAGAATGGATATAAACAAAATCAACTTCAGGTAGACAGATATCCGTATTAGCTTAGGAGGGAAATTCATCAGTTAACTTCCAGACAAAATGTTCATCCATTTTGAATCTATCAAGTTTGTACCATTTATATTTGTTGTATTATTGCTACAGTTATCAAAAGGTCAAACATTGGTCAGTTTTGCATTTTAGCCTGTAGGCAGGTATTTTAATTCATAGAATAAAAGTGGCAATAGTATAAATGGAGGTCATAAGAGAAATCAAAAAGGAATCAGTGATCTCTCCAAGTCACTTTACCCAGGGGGGGGGGGGTGGCCCTACTTTAAAACAAATGGCACCCAGTTGCCACCCTGCACTTCTGATTTGAAAAATGAGTGAGACTGGGAATGTTGTCTGATTGGGATGTAAATGGCATAGGGGTATTATCTGGCTACTGAGAGTCTTCTCCCTTCTATAGGATATAGTTGGTGTGGCTGTTTTACTATGGTCTCCTTTAAGGTGCTATAGAAGTTAACAGGAAATGACAAAACAGGAAGTGACAAAAAATTTTGCATTTTTAGACATTTTTTGAACAAAGATAACAGAGTTCTGTTTTGACCTCCAGTCAATTCAACTAGTTCCAAATACCATTTACAGGTCCAGGATCACAATGTTCATGGTCAGAATGACGGTAAACATGATGAAATAAACTTTTCAGCCCTCTGAAAATGTGACTGAAATAGCTAAAAGAAGGAGGTAGGAAAGGTCACTGAACAGAATCTTTCGAATTTTTCAGAAAATGTGCTCAATATCTTGCTCTAAATGATACAATCTTTGAAAATTTGATACCATTCATAGAAAAAGAAAAAAAATGAAAAAACTTATTTGAAAAGCGATCTATTTTCCTTTTTATGCCCACCATTTTTGTTTCAGACAATTTTCTAAAATTTCAACGATTGTATCAGTTAGAGCATTATATTGGGCACATTTTCTGAAAAATTCAAAAGATTTTGTTCAGTGACCTTCCCTTGCTCCTACTTTTAGCGTTTTTTCAGTCACACTTTCAAAGGGCTAAAAAGGTTATTTCATCATGTTTAGGATCATTATCCCATCGAACGAAGTTCGGAGGGATATAGGGAACGCCTCCGTCCGTCCGTCCGTACGTACGTCCGTCCGTCCGGGCAATAACTCAAATACCGTTGGCCCGATTTTATTCATATTTTGTATACATATACCCTATGGGGGTAGAAGTTCTGCTCGAAAGCCGATTTTCAAAATGGCCGCTCATTTAAAAATGGCGGCCATTTTAGTGCTGATTTTACAGTAATTTAGGTGCAATATGTAAAACTGTAATAGCAATATGTTTTAAATGTAAAAAAAATTATATAGGACATTAATAAAGCTAGAAATGTAGATATTAAAAAAGTACATGGCAGCCATCTTGAAAAATGGCGCCCTTTTCTCGTTATTTTACGATTTTTGCTGTAACTCGAAAAGTAGTGGAGCGATTTTGTTCATATTTGGTATTTGAATACTATAAGCATGGCACACTGTCTAATGACACTTTTGGTAGAAGGTTGCCATTTTAAGTTATTTTACTAAAACTCGAAAAGTAGTGGAGCGATTTTGTTCATATTTGGTATGTGAATACGTATAAGCATGGCACACTGTCTAATGACACTCTTGGTAGAGGGCGGTCATTTTTCAAAATGGCCGCCATTTTAACGTATTTTACTTTAACTCGAAAAGTAGTGGAGCGATTTTGTTCATATTCTGTATATGAATACTGTAAGCATGGCACACTGTCTAATGACACTTTTGGTAGAAGGCGGCCATTTTGAAAAATGGTGGACATTTTGAAAAATGGCTGCCATTTTAACTTATTTTACTATTACTCGAAAAGTAGTGGAGCGATTTTGTTCATATTTGGTACGTGAATACGTATAAGCATGGCACACTGTCTAATGACACTTTTGGTAAAAGGCGGCCATTTTTCAAAATGGCCACCATTTTAACGTATTTTACTATAACTCGAAAAGTAGCGGAGCGATTTTGTTCATATTTGGTATGTGAATACTATAAGCATGGCACACTGTCTAATGAGACTTTTAGTAGAAAGCGGCCATTTTTCAAAATGGCCACCATTTTAACGTATTTTACTATAACTCGAAAAGTAGCAGAGCGATTTTGTTCATATTTGGTATGTGAATATTATAAGCATGGCACACTGTCTAATGACACTTTTGGTAGAAGGTGCCCCTTTTGAAAAATGTTCGATGGGATTCGCTACGCTTTGGCGTTGCCGTTGTTCTGGTTCTGACCAAGCACATTGTGATCCTGGTCATGTAAATGATATGTGGAAATAGTTAAATTGACTGGAAGTCAAAACAGAACTCTGTTATCTTTGTTCAAAAAATGTCTAAAAATGCAAAATTTTTTTGTCATTTCCTGTTAACTTCCATGGCACCTTAAACAAAAAACTGTTTGGCTTGTTTATTTTTCAAAACTACAATTGTTTTCCTTTCTAGGAAGGAGAAATACTATCTTGCATTGTCTGAAGGATGTTTGATGCTTATAGATTACCTCCTTCCAATGGCCGTCCAATGTTTTTTACCTTGCGTATATACCTCATGTGTATTCTAGATGCTCATTGGCTTATTCATGGTCACATGATATGAAATAGATGAACTAATTCCCCAGAAAGTCCTAAATACGTTTTATCTTCCCCGATAGGTGAGATTATAGGAGTTGAAAGACAAAATGCCTTTAAATTCCAATAAGAGCATGTAAACATTATAAATGTTGAAATGAAAAGACTTTTCATTTTGTTTTGTTTACAGAGTACATATGGGGTGAATAGGTTTTTTATGTCAGGCAAGACATTTTGGGGCGAAGGGGTAACGTAGACACCATTTTGGGGTTACTTCAACATATGGGGCAACATTGACACCTTGTTGTTTATTTGCTCTAATTTTCAATCTAGGTAGGGGGAAGCTGTTCTTTTTCTTGTTTGGATCGAGGTCTCCCGAGATTTTAATTTTTCCAGAATCAAACATGGAGGAAAATGGAAATGTTACTTCTAAGAAGTAACACCCCGTTGCCCTTCATGGTAAGAATTTCTTCATCATTTAGCCATCAGATAGCCATCTTGCATTCTGGTGGTCATTTTTGAAGTTTTGGGATTTTTGTCATCGCGATTCCAGGAAAAGCACTTCATGGAAGTAAGTTCTAGAGCTGATTAACTTTTAGGTGGCCATCTTGCATTCTGTTGGCCATTTTGGAAGTTTTTAGATGAATTTGTCAACATGTTTTCAGGAGAATCATCAAACAGATTTGCTTCAAATTTTTACACATGTTACATGGTAAGATGTTCTGCGAGGACATAGGGGCATTCTCGGCCACGGGGCATTCCCGGACAAACCTTTCCCGGACAAAATCTAGGGCATCGTTAGGCTTTTTACAATATATATCACCACATCGATAATATGATGTGTCCAATTTGAAGTTTCAATGAAGAAACCATATAAAACAAAGAATTATTGAAGGTCGTCTGACAATGCCTCGTGTCTGAGATTACCCCTATGTCCTCTAATCAAATTTTCGACGGTCATCTTGCTGTCTAGGTCAACAAGTTCACACTGCTATGTGTTAGGTACGATACTGTTCACCAATTTTCTTGTTACTTTCAGCTTTGGGTTCTGTTTCTGTCATTGGTTTAGTTACCCTTTACAATAATAATCAACTTCTTACATTCTTTGAATAACTTGTCATTGTTCAGTTACCCTTTGCATTCGAGCTTTGTGTTCATTCTTTCAAACTAAAATAAACCTGTGAACTCCTCGCACCAATCAGTGTTCGTCGGCCAAATTTAACTGACGTTCTACATATGGTCATTCCTTCTGATGTCATCGTTGAGCCCCGAATTGACCAATGACATGCGCATATTTAACTAGAACGCATTTTGCGTATGTTTCTTCAAGCTCGCTGATTGGTGGAAGAAAGGTCAGCGCGTAGTTCAAAAGTGATTTATTACCCAAATTGTCACTGGTACCCGTCGTTTTGGCGGGGCTACTAAACTGTAATATGGTCTCTACTAGGCAGAGTGTAGTTTAACTAGACTCTGCACACAGGGTATTGTTCAGTAATAATGAATTCTAATTAAATGTTTAATAGTTCAAGGACTCTCTAATTGGTTTGATGTCAAAGTGTAAAATGATAGTAGTCTATGTAGTCAGAAGTTACTATCAGATTAGCTCTGGATATAAGTGTTTAGTAGTTGTGGCTACACCCCATTCATTTAACAATTTATGAGGATGATTGCATCTAGGGGATATTACATCCTAAAGAAAATGTGGCTATTTGAGACATCATACTGTAGTCAGCTCTGTATCTGCACAATGGGGAATTTATTCATCAATTGAAAGCTTTAGCACTTTCAAATCCAATATAGTGTTGCTAAAAACACATTGTCTACAAATCTTTCTACCTGATAGAATCTTACACATTCTAACCAATTTCTCTTTGATGTTTTCCAGAAAAAAATCATTAGAAGTACATAGTGACAATAACATAGATGATTCGAGCAGAGAGTCTCTAGACAAAGAGAAGTATGGCTCCTCAAAGGAAAGTCTTCACAGCAACAAACATACAGCTGAAAAGTAAGTCAAGCAACACAGTATTCGGTCCAGAACACTATAACAAAAAGGGTGCACAGTAAAGGAAATTGTTGGGAGTAGGGTGTCACGGTCCATACATGAGGGGGATTTAGCAATATGACTTTTGTGGCATTACTAAAAACATCACAAAGACATGCATTATCAACCCATTCACTATTATATACTAAAGTACAATTAGGAATAAAAGATAAAGAATTGTTTTATAGGGGTCAGTCAAGGTAAACTTTATTGATATATTTGTTCATATTTAACTTGTCAGTTTATCTCACTTCTGAATACTTAATCTTCCTAGCTATCTCAAACTCAAACACTTTGGATTGACAAAGTGCTTCTGAATTATCCTCCCCAAGATATACCTGCTTCAATATTTCAGCTAAAGTAGATGGGGGGGGGGGGAGAGGGGGTCAAGAGAATTAATGCAAGATTCATATAACACTTCTCAACTGTATATTTTATAATTTATTTATTTATATTGTTCTGGATTTAATTTTAAATACATGTTTATTGTTTATCTATATGTATATTCCCCTCAGTGACAAATGTCATTTCCGTACATTTTGAAGGTTTTGAACATGAACAATACACGATAATGTAAACAAATGGGAGATAAGGAAAGCATCTATTCTTTGTTAACCTATTTGCTTGTTTTAAGTTCAACAAATGTCAACTATGATTTAGAAATTTATTTTACTTCATGTAGCTTAATGTTGTTTCAGTGTTTACTGTTTTATTTATAGAATGGCCAATTTTGTAATTATGTAAATGATTATATATTTCATAATGATGCATATTCTGTAAATGTATTTATTCACTCAGTATGCATGTTGTACTAATGCTTCACTAACTGTATAGGATTATTTGCATGAATCTGATTTATGTTGCTTGTTTTGCATGTTGCCCCTTGTACTTTTCAAGTGTATCAGTATTAGACAATAGTTTTGGCTACACAAAATATACTATCATTATAAGGGGAGGGGGATGGGGCCAGACAAAAGCTAAAGAATTGTCAATTTTATTCTCTGTTTGATTTACTAAGGGGAGGCATCAAAAGTTCAATGTCTGATAGGAAACTAAATAAATCTAGTTTTGAGTTGGACCCCCCCCTCCCCCTCAAAACTAAATACAATGAAAGTTGATCGCGGACTTTTCCCTAGTTTTAGCGACTCAATTTGGACTTTCATGGGGCAAGTCCTATAACTTATTTATGATTCTTAAAACATGTGCCAACAACAATAGGCATAATATTCCATGTTGCATGCATCTCGGTGAAGAAGGCATCTGGAAAAGTCTTTATTTTTAAACCATTCCAAGGCATTTCGAGTCGGAATTGCGAAAAATTTAAATGTTGAAATTTGTCGGATAGCAAACTGAAATAGCTTTGACCCCCTCCCCCCCAAACTAGATTTATTTAGTTTTCTATCAGACATTGATCTTTTGATGCCTCCCCTAAATATGGAAGAAAAATCTTTATCTGCTTTGTAAAGATTCTGACTATATTTTTCAACTGATACGTTGCAGAAATGTATTCTTTACCACACTATGTTGAATGGTGTGGTTTGCACGAAATATTTTCTTTGTTTTTTTTTCAGTTTGCATGATTCTTTTCATTGTTTCATTACTTCATTTTATATTTTTTAGAGGCTTGATAGAGGTAATGCATGTTAACCAGCATTACTTAAATGCATAAACTAACAGCCATAAAAATTCTTAAATGTGAATTATAAGAAAAACATGGAAGTACCAAGTTTCTATTAAGGCTATTTCATTGAAAAAATGAGGTATCTAGAGATTAAGCCAGAAACTTAAATTTGGTGAGGGGAATCAAAATTATCAGGGCAACCCTAAGTTATAGAACACATAAAAGTACTTATATCAGTTCAAGTTGAAAAGGGACCTAAAAAAATATTTTTGTAACATTTGGGTGGAGCAGACCCAGTTACTCAATACTGCTGGGTTTTACATCAACTGAGATTTTGTTCTGCAGTGGAAGTCTATAGTTCAATGAAATTGCCTGGTGATGGGTAAGATAAATAAACAAGTGTAACATTTTACTGAATCTGATAACCAAATTATTGTTGTATACTATATTATTATACAATATAATGTATTTGTATATTTGTTCTCTTTAAATTAGGTGTTATTCTTTAAATTTTAATCTCATATTCAATCAGGAGATAAAGCATGGGTTTTCAACTGAAAGCCCATGGATAAAGTGAGAAATTTTATTTCCTCTATAGGGACTTCATGTACCTGATTATTAACAAAATCTGTATATTGTTCAGGGTGAAAATACAAAGTCTTGATTATATTAGTGTCTGACATCAATCCTGGAATCCTAGCTATGGCCAGATGTCTTCTATTGTCCATACCATTAGTGTGGAAAAGAAGATGAATAACAAGACTGAAATTGAAACCAGTTTACACACTTGGTGACATTGAAAGATTTGGTTATCAGTCTGTATTTTGTTATATTACTGAGCATTTAACATAATGGTCCATGGAGAGTGTTTATAAGTGTGGACTAATATTAGACTAAGGAACTAACACTGCATGGGAATATCTATATAAGGTATGTTTTTTATCTATTTCTTTTGGATTATGTATATTTTGAAAGGATTAGCCAGGTCAATATTTCAATGTCCCTCAACAAACATAATTAATTACTATAGGAGGGAGGGGGGTAAAACGCTAGTTAACTAGGTGACGGACATTGATTTTTGATTTCCCGGGAGTTGGTCTTCTGCAACTTCTGCTTTGACAGTCTTGGTATGATACTATGATCATTAATGTACTCAACAGATATGTGTAAAAAATTGAAATGTGTTGTTTATAGTGGTAGCTGTATTTGGGGTTGTACTTGTACTCTGCATGCAAATCAACATTTTCACTTGTTTATACCGCGCATGAATCAACACGTTAACTTTTATTAGAAAGGGGAGAGGGGTTAAGACTAAATTAATTAAGTTTTTACAGACATTGAAGTATTGACCCGGCCCCTTAGGGATGTTTCTTTGTGTTTGGTTGAGGCTTCAAGCATGAGGGATGATGTCAAAATATCAACAGTTGGAGAAGAATTTGACTTATTTTTGTGGGAAAGAAAAGATAATTTGTATGTGAAGAATATTGATTTTTGGCTTTCAGAATTTCAGAGTTAAATTAACATTTATAATTGTTGATGTCTTGACATCATTCCTAAAGCACTGAAATACTTATAACATCTAATATCATGGCAATATGTTGGCACTTCTATATACAAGATGCAACAAATCTTACCTATTTACAACATGTTACAGGGCCCACCCTGTATTATTACATACATCATGATGATATATGTAATAATACAGGGTGGGCCAAAAAAACAATACACACGTTTAAAGATGAATATCATATGATATATGTTTAACCATGCCATGTATTATATATCATTTCTAAGATCATTCTAAATCATTTCCCAACAATATGACACCATCCAATTGAACAACTTTTGTTTTCCTGTGGAGAAGCTAAAATTAACACCAGGGATGAGTGTCCAAAGAAATTATTCACCGTGGATTTCCAAATTGTGGAAAATAGAGGGATATTTGTATTTTGACACCTTCAAAACAGGTATACGTATTTATACAAGTTTACTGTAAAAGTAATCCCATCATACATATATATTTAATTAACTATCAATTGTGTATTACTTTTATAAATTTATAGCGATTCAGTCAAGCATACTGAGTGTAGCTGTATCTGCAATATGGAGGGAAATTTGAGCATTTTTTATTTTTGATTGCTCATGACACCCCTGGTATAAATGTTAGCCACTAACATCGCAAGAAAAGAAAGGATTTTCAATCAGATGGTGTCGTATTGTTGGGAAAGGATTTATCTTTAAAGTGATATATAATACATAGCATATGGTTTAACGCAGATCACATAATATTGCTCTTGTTTTTTTGGTCCACCCTGTATATACATGTTGCATGAAATGTGAATGAATGATCAATAGGAAGGTCTCCACTTAAAGCACAACTGAAATAGCTTTTCTCAACTTCCAGCTACAAAAATGCGGTTTTCTCCATTGTAAGCCCAACGTAGAGTTCTTGCGATAGGCATTATAAAATAAATGTTAGATAACTGCTAACGGTCATATATAACGAAATAAAACTAACTGATTAATCAAATTGGCCCCCACGTGATTAATAACGTCATATACAAAATATAGCTTTGGTTTATTGGTTCCTTAGTAATCACAACGTCACGGCAACCATAGGATTGTTGTGTAAACAAATAATAAAACATTTTGGCATTATGACGTCATGATCTAATGGATTAAAACGGGCCACGTGGGGGCCAGTGAGAGATCACGTGGGGGCCAATAACGTCACAACCAATTCGAATATTGCTTATTAAGCAGCTATAACGATCGTTAGAGTGAAATAATTTTCACACTACTGATGAGAAAACATGTCCAAATACATTTATCAAAAACTTATATTGATTCCTTTAGGTTAAAAATACCATTTCATATCTGCTTTAAGGTTCTATTTATTGTTACAGTTCAGCCAGATTTGAGTTTAGTTTATGTCATAACAGTTCAGACAATACCTGGTTCAGTTTAAAGTTTCTCAGTTCAGTCTACCTAAGGCTCAGTTTATATTGTCGCAATTTAATGGAAGTTCAGCCAAATTTTGGATTAGTTTATATCATCCCAGTTCAGTTAATAAATGGTTTGGTTTAAAGTTCATTCAAATTAAGGTTCTGTGTATATTGTCAAAGTTTATTCAGTAAATGCTTTACTTTGCAATGTTAGTGTAACTTAAAATGTCTTTTATACCATCATTCAATCAACTCATGGTTCACTTCATGTTCATATGTTGGTATTATAATCAAGATTTGCTGAAATATCTGATCAAGCTGTTTAGTCACTTAGAGATTAGGTAAACTATACTTTCCATATAATGCCTCTTAATAAGTTGCTTTGCCGCTACTATGACACCCTAACAGATCACAAAAACTCTCACTTTATGTGACAGATTAGACTTCCATGAAGATCATTCAAAATAACATATTATTATGTTAAAGGTTAGAAATACATCTTGGTACAAAATTTAAGTCACTTCTAACAACTAACTGCTTGTGCAAAGCATGAACTCTTGGTTAGCAATTACCTTGACTTTTCAAGATGGCCATCTTATGTTGTTACCATGGTGTTGTAGTGCCCAGTTACCATATAGCATTGATGAGTGTGCAGATGATGCTGCTGCCCTCTGTAATAACCAAAATGGCTCTATAGATGTCGATATGAATGGTAAGGTCGTATTTCATATTGGTAGCGAACCTGATGGGAAAGAACGACCAAAAAAGGACATATATCTCCCTAGATATGTTCAGAGACGCTATGTGCACGAAAGGTAGGTTTATTGTCAAAACAGAAACCTTGGTTTCTTGTATTTTGTGGCTGAAAGCCATGCATATGCCTAAAATGCAATTTGAAGATTTCATTATTTTTCTAATGTTACTTAGTCCTTATTCTTAAAATGTTTTATTCCCTGAATCATGTATATTGTATATTTGTAAATATTGTTGTTTGCTATTTTTCAGTAGATATAGCAATGCTGTGTCACATTATTTCATTTGATTTATGTCACCAAATGAGAATTTCTCTTCCTAAATTACTTCAAAATGTGAATACTGCTGTTACCTGATTTAGAGCTAGAAGATATATGGGTATATATGCACAAAATTATAAGAAAAATTCTCACTCTGGACAAAAAGCATGTTTATATTTTACTATATACTATGATTTGTAGAAGCATGCAGATATCTTGCTATCTCCCCTCACATAACAAGGGAGAGGTCCTATCATGCATTCTACTGAACTTCTAAGTAGATATCATTTAGGAAAATGTAATGTATTTAGAGAGCACTACAGTATATATTTCCTGTCTTTCTGTTATGCTAGGTCAGTTTTAGATAAGGGTTTATCCTGAGGAAAATACATGCATTCCTTGAGTAACCCCACAATCCCTATTTATTGCTTTTGCAACTGTTTCATGAACATATTAGGTTTTTTTCAATTCTGAAGGAAAAAAATCTCATGATTTCCAAAATATTTAATCAGTGCTGATATAGGTGTACTATAGATTCATGAATAATGATTTTTGGAAGAATTGTTGATAGGCTTAAGTAATTTTTTAAAAATTTTATCTAGAATTCTTCTGATGTGCTATGGTAGTAAGGATCATTTACAATACACATGAGAAAATGATGCGTCATTTCTAATATTATGCTATATATTAAACTGGTAGGTTAGGGTGACCCCAATCCTGTTTTTAATAACCCTGGTAAATACAAGTATTGATATGTTTTCCAGACTATCTTTTGAGAGTCTATCACGTGATTCTTTGTCATATTGTAAATATTAGAACTTATATCCAATGATATGATTCTATGGTTTGTTTACTGTTTTGAAAGTGCAATACTTCCTTAAAGTTACACTTCAGATGTTAAAAATGATTCATCCATTGCATTGTGAGAGATCTATTTTGTCCCATTTAAATTGAATAAATTATTTATTCATATGTAGCCAGTTTATTCTAACATGTTCGTTTTAGTTTTTCATCCGTTTCACTTACTGCCATGATATAACATGTGCCAGTGGATTATAATAAAGCTTCTTGTATAATGATAGATAAAAGAAGATTTATAATTCATCAATTATAATATGAATGTTTATAATAAACTTGATATTATGGGGGATAATATACATATAGTCAGATGCAACATTAAAAACTGCATTCATTTACAATTCAAATAGTCATAGTTTGAGATGGAAATTAAGTAAAAGAGCATATTATGGATAAAGGAAATGTTAATGACGAGATTACAAGTATATGGAAGATACTTGGTTTAGGCATCACCTTATATTACAGATGGCCCCATGTCACAGATGTAGTTCTGGTTCCATACTTCAGTCTATTTAAAAAGGAAACATTTCATTAAAGGGACAAAGCGCGTAAATGAAGTCTCACTTTTGATCTTCATAGTATTTCCAATGGATTAATAAGTACCCGATCTTTCATTTGACACCAAAAAAAGCTCAAACAGACCACATCAGAGTTGACATTTGATCATGACAAAATATTTTTGATCTATCAATTTATATATGTCAAGTTTTTAGCAATGCCATAGAAAGATGGCATTGTTGTTTGCATTAATTATCCATTCATTTTTGATAGGATTTTCAACCTGCGCCATATTTTAATCCAAGAGTTATTTAAAACATACACTATTTGTGAAAAGTGGTAATTCACTTTTTTCAATCTCTGAACTTCAAATGCCGTTTTCTATGCAAGTAATTTTTTTTTTCACTTCAGTATTATCCCAAATTAAAGTTCTTATCAATTTGATTGACTGTGTGAGTGACATGTCTCAAACAATATTTTGTCTTTTTTCATTCAAAAATAGGCGCATTGCCTGTTTAATATTTCATATAAATTATTTTATCAACATATTTACATTTACTATATAATAGGTAGATGAGGGAGAGCCTTAAATGAAAGTCATAAACTGGTATTTTTGAATGATATGGTCAAATCTTTTTAGCTCTTGATAGCAGATTTTCTCTTGTTGTAGATGCAGGCCATTGATGTATTCTGCTTGGAAAATCTATAAAGATTATTTTCTGAGGAATGCAGTCCCTTTGCTAAGTGATAATGTTTTATGTATATAATTTTATTATAAAATATTTCAGAATATCATCCAGTTGTAAAAACTGCTTCCTCTCCCATGTTACACCTTGGGTTGACTGAGTTAGATAAAGATCCATAGATCCTTCTGTTTATGCATATCAGTGACTTGTACAAATGCCCATATCCCATGTGAACATTTACAGGTCCTATAATTCATATTGTGTTTATCATAACAGGAAGACCAGTGAACCAGTTAAGGTTGTGACGGATGAACCAGAAGCCATAAGTGAGAAGAATGCCAGCAGTGTTTCCCTACCTGATATGGCAGGTACTCTCGAACCAGTTGAAGCACGTGAAGGATCCACAGAGAAGGAAATACTGGGATCTGATTCATTTAGAGCAGAAAATGGTGGCAAGCTTCATCACGCTGAATCAACAACTTCAACTAAGAGTCAACGTTCAGTTTCATCAGACAAGAAGAAAAAAGGATCAAATTGGTATAATGTGAGTATAAGGGTGGATTGGGAATGAGGGTAGGGCTATAGCTCTAGACTCTACCATCTGCTATGAAATGGATTGATGTATTTTGTCACTACGGTATACATGTATGTTTTCAAATATTGAATCTCATTGTGTGCAGCACCTGTTTCAGTTCAATCTGTTTGTATCTCATTATAAAGTGCAGTGTGTTGAACTTGAAGATTGCTTTACAGGTGCTTAGTCCAACTTACAAGTCAAAGAGCTATGACTTCAGGCGGATATTCAAGGACCTTCCCCAGGATGAGAGACTTATTGTAGGTAAGTACAATTTGATGTTTTATTAAACCACCTATATGATATAGTCGAGAACTATTACATTAGAACAAGTGGGTATCATGTCCACCCGTGTAGCTCAGCGGTAGCGCATGTACCTCTTACGCAATAGGTCCCGGATTCGATCCCCGGTTCAGGCAAGAGTTAATTTGCTTGTTTGCGTGAAGTACTTCAGGGTGTTTGACTGAGTGGTCCGCAACTCCTACTTCCACACATAAATGAGGAGGTCCTTATCCTTCAAATCTTTTTCTTTTTTTATATAGATATAGGAAAGCTGTCTGTCTGTTCAGCTGTATGTTTGTTCGTTCATTCGTCTGTCCAGGCAATAGCTTAAATACCGTTTGACGGATTTGATTCAAATTTTGTAGCCTTATGCCTCATGAGTGTAGGACCTCTGCTCGAGAAGGAATTTTCAATATGGCCACTCACTTTAAAATGGCTGCCATTTTTCGTAAAAAATATAATCTTTGATAACTCAAATACTAGTTGATGGATTATGTTCAAATTTTTAGGCTGATGCCTAGGGACAAAGGAGCTTTGCTACAAAAGAGATTTTCAAGATGGCCACTTAATTTTAAAATGGCAGTCATTTTCCTAAAAATATTTAAACTTTGATCACTCAAATATTGTGGTTCAAATTTTAAATGCTGATGCTTAGAGACAAAGGAGCTCTGCTCAAAAAGACATTTTCAAGATGGCTACAGAATTTCAAAATGGCCACCATTTTGCATAAAAGTGTATTCTTATGTAACTCAAATAGTAGTAGGCTGATTTGGTTCAAATTACATAAGGTGATGCCTGAGGAGAAGGAGGTTTGCTGAAAAAGAGATTTTCAAGTTGGCCACTGAATTTCAAAATTGTGATATTGAAGGGGCAATGGACCAATCAACACACTTTTTCAAAAATGTTGACCTAATTTTCACCAAAAATGCAACCTATTATTATATTGTTGAATGCATAATTAAAATGTGCTTTGAGACATGTTCGATTTCCTCAAAGGAAAATTTGATTACTCCTTTAAAGATATTCAATTTGGATGACCAAAATGAACTGAAACCAATGGATAGCATGAGAATTTTCAATGGAGAAATAACATGGGGAACACTTATCTTAATGCAATTAAGTTTTTCTTTCAAGAACTATATACATCAAAATAAAGAATAGTAATGCATTAAACATTGTAAAAAATGATTGCATTTTGGTGAAAATGGGGTCAACATCTTTGAAAAAGTGTGTTGATGGGTTAATTGCTAGTTAAATATCTCCGAGTTTGTTTGAATTTATTATTACTGTGCATAATTTTCTTTGAGATAATGAATTGATCTAAAAGATAAACTTGTCTTCATTGTCAGAAAATAGTCATAATCCAAGATATAACCTTCTGAAATTGTTTGCGATAACCCACGTGCTCCTTTAATGCTGATGCCTAGAGTCAAAGGGGCTCTGTTCAAGAAGACATATTCAAGATGGCTACCAAATTTTAAAATGGCTACTATTTTTTGAACAATAAGTTATCTTTGATAAGTTATCTAAGATAACTCAAATACCAGTGAATGGATTTGATACAAATTTTATATGCTGTTACCAAGGGAGCTCTGTTAAGAAGAAATCTTTCACTATTTATCAAGGCATGTTTTGTTTGGTTAGATTTGCTACTCTGTGGAGTTGCTGTTTTCTAGTTTTGTTTGAGTTTTTTTTAATGTCCTTGTGGTGATACTTGAAGATGTTATTTTGGAATAAGTACTGACTTATGTAAGTGTCCATCTATTCTTCATAAATAATGTAAAATGTGCCACCATAAATCAAGGACTGAATTGAAATATTATATTAATTATTATTATTACTATTATACTGGTTGACTAGTATACACCTTGGCCTAATTTTATCTAAGTTTCAAGTATAGTACAATGTTCAGTTCTAACCAATATAGACCGGATGCTTTTCTGCAAAAGGTCTCTCTGTAAAATGTGGTAGGCGTTTAATGTTAAAAGTGTTCTGACAAGTGTTTCTTATGTAACTTTTTATGCTGAATCCAAAAAACCATGTTGGCAAGCTGAAATATGATTATTTAACCCTTAAAATACCATGTTAGTCCCCCTACCTCCAAAATTAACCCCTATCAGGGGGAAAAATTCTTCAACCTAAAATAACTTTGATTTTATGGTTTTTGTAAGTGAAATACATGGACATTGTATAAAATAAACATTTGAAGTATGAATGATACGGATTACCCTTAAGAAATTTGAATTAAAGCAAAAAGTATGTACCCAAAGGGGCAAATTTATGACCCATTTTTTTACTTTTCGTGTCATAACTTTTTTATTAGACAATGATGGATGCTAAAAAAATCCATGTAAAAGGCATAATACCTGGTCTACTAATCCTGCAAGGATCAAAGTAATTCCTCTGATAATTGCCTTGAAAAAAATTAGTGAATTTAAGAAAAAATGACATTTTAGCTGGGACTGATTTTATGTGTGACTATAACTGACCCCTATTGCTTTAACATTTATCCCTCTGTGTTCATATATTTAGCATTTTAGAATAAATCTAAAATATATAACTTATTCTAGCAAAGTTTTAGGAAGATTTAAGCTTTTTATCATGTTCAACTATTAAAAATTCATGAAATATGATGTCTAAAATTGATAAGTTATACGTATACCCTTGGAAGACCCTTATAATTTCTTATTTATGAACATATTTGTACCAATATTAGTTTTCTAGCTTAGAGAAATGATGTATGATATATCCTGGCTTGGCTTTCTGGTGGTTTGAACAATCTTTTAAGTGTTATCATTGAAAATTCATTCTTAAATCATCGATTAAATTCATGTATACCATTAGTATCATTCTACTGGTATGAGCATAATTGAACTAGCTATGATTTCATAGATTGGTTGTTTGATGTATGACATATTCCAAGCTGACTTTCTGGTGATTTTAACCATCTAAGAGGCTTAATCATTGAAAATCATTACAAATAAAGGCATAAACGGACAGTATTAAGGTAGACTATTAGAACACCCTTATTAATTCCAGGCTTAGAGTATATTGGTACCTACTACTGTCTCATAGCTCAGAGGTTTGATATATGACATATTCTGACTAGTTTTTCTGCAGATTTGAACCACCTAACAGGTCTAATCATTGAATATACTTAATATACTAGGTCTAAAATTAGTATTCAATAGAACCCTCTATGATAAATTCAAAAATGATTCAGAATGACATTAACCTCAACACTGGATCTGAATCAGAATTACAATTCTTCATAGAGCTGAACTAGAAAGACACGGCTAATTTCATTCTAAGCACCCTGACAATTGCATGACGTGAGATCAAAAGTACCAATGATTCATACAAATCTTCATTTTATGGAGTTTTCTTCCCTGAACAATGTTAAGTAATATTAAAAAATCCCCCCCCCCCCACTGTCCCCATTAACCTTTCTGTGTTACTCTTGGAGTTAAGGCAGAAATTCTTGACAAATGGCGTATACTCACTTTGACAACATTTTGAATTAGTGGGATATTTCAGTTAATGAGAGTTTTTGCAGAGTAGCAATTTTTGAAATTTAAATCCAATAGGACCATATATGGGACATTCAAAAAAGATTCAGAATGACATTAACCACAACATTGGATCTGGAAATCAAATAAAGCAACTGATTGATGTGATCTCGGATGACTCTTGTAAATCAGAATTACAATCCTTCATAGAGCTGAACAAGGAAGACAAGGATTACTTTTCATTCTGGTAGTAATACATGGACATGGTCCAAATCTTGATACGCTTCACCATAGCCCAAAGAAAGGGAAATTGGGGGCTTCATCTTAATGTATTTCAATGCATGATCCCCTTTTTCATGAGATATGACCACCAAAACTATGCAAGATGGGGCACAGTACACTTCACTGCTGAAGTTTTGCTTCCTTGAAGACTGTAGTCAAATCCTCAGATGTAGATGCAATTGATGCTAATTTGTATGAAGGATCATATATTGGAAATATTACGGTTGGCATTTCAATACCATTTGTTAAACAGTTAAGGAGTAGAGTACATTTGAGTTGGCTTGAATGTTTCATTCGTCAATGAGAGGGCTATTGGAAAAGACATCAGCTCATGTTTCATGATTTCATTGATGCCCACATGTCTGTGGTTAGCTTCATATGCAGTGATAAGATTCTGCAAAACATTCCTGTCTGCCTTAACAACTTTCTGCTCGTTTATATTGGGATTAGGCATATAGTTTAAAAAATGTTCGTGCTTGCTCAGTAGATCAAGAAATGTTGTGTCTTTCATTTGACCCTGTTTGTATCAACCTCTAAGACACAAAGACATCCAGTTGTCGTTGGCCAAACTGTCGAGCCTGTTGATTGTTTCTGTGAGTACATCTTTTGTACATATACTTTGGAGATTAAGTAATGGATCTTCTGAAAACATGCCAAACTTCAGCAGCATGTCACATATTTTATCTTCTTCCAGAGACTGAATACTCTATCTTTTATGAGTACTAGTATCTACAACTATTTTTGATGTTATGAGTATTGGCTATCAATTTTTTCAATTTTTCTTCAACATGTATTGTAATGACTTCAGTATGAATGAAATGTCCCTTGGTGTTCTGGTCCTGGATTGTGATATTGGTTCTCGATTGGAGGGGGAGGGGGATGTTAGACATTGTTTCTTTTCACGTTAGATTATGGTTTTGGGATATATAGGGTCTACTTTTCTTATGACAGATTTGCACTTGCGGTTTGCTTTTCTTGTTGGGTTTCTTTAATGTTTTTAGTCACCCTTCCCTTTGGCATTTGTGCTTATATATCCATAGATTCTTGTTTTGATTTGCAAATTACCACCCCCCCCCCCTCTATGGAATCTCAAAACGCAAGTCCAAACATCATTCTTGTTTGGACTCCCCATGTGTGACCTAAGATTATACCCCGGTGCCCATCTGTTCAATGCAGATATTGTCTTTGTGTTATGCCTTCAATTCTGCCACCCTTCTAACCAATAGCATACTGGCATAGGGGTCAATCAACTTGGTTGATTGAATTTGTAGAGCCTTTTACAACATAGTTCAATGCAAGAATCCTCGCTCAACTGCAGCAGGTACTATATTCTAATAGTTAGTACATTTCCTCTAAGTTTACTGTGCCACACCTTCCATAATTTTGGTGGTCATGAAATAAGGGATCATGCATTGAAATGCATTGAGATGAAGCTCCTAATTTCCCTTTCTTTGGGCTTGGATGAAGTATAGCAAGATTTGGACCAGGTCCATGTATCAACACCAGAATGAAGTTAGCCTTGTCTTCCCTGTTCAGCTCTATGAAGGATTTTAATCCTTATTCAGATCTAATGTTGAGGTTAATGTCATTTTGAATCTTTTTTTGAATTTTCATAGAGGGTTCTATTGAATACTTCAATTTTAGACCTAGTATATGAAGTATAATCAATGATTAGACCTGTCATTGGTTCAAATCTGCAGAAAAACTAGTCAGGATATATCATATATTAAACCTCTGAGCTATGAAACAGTAGTAGGTACCAATAAACTCTAAGTCTGGAAATAATAAGGGTATTCTAATAGTGTACCCTAATACGGTCTGTTTAGACCTTTATTTGTAATGATTTTTAATGATTAAGCCTCTTAGATGGTTTGAATAAACATAGAGTCAGCTCGGAATATGTCATACATCAAACTAATCTATGAAATCATAGCTTGTTCAATTTGATTATTTTGGTCAATCTTGCATATTTTGCTTTAATATTTCAGAATTATTTACTTCATTTAATGTGAATTTTGTTGTGAACATTTAATGATAATCTGCTTATAAAGTAAAAAACTAAAACATTTTACAACACATGCCCCATGTGGCCACCACTCCAGCCAACGAAGCTGTTGATGACTCTCCTACACATACCAACATGGATTGCAAAGCTTCTGATGAAGCTATCCACTTAAAATTGAAGAACATCTGAGAATTTGTCTGACACTAGTTTTACTTCTCTAGATAGATTTTAGTCACGCCATGGACAATTGAACAACTTCCTTCGCCAGATTTGATTGTGCATGTAGAGGAGAAGTGGCCACATTGGACATATGTTGTAAAGTGCTGTAGTTTTTGACTCCACAGGCAGATTATCATGAAACTTTCACAACAAAATTCATATTGAATGAACTGAATAATTCTGAAGTTTTGAGGCAGAATATGCAGGATTGACAAAGTTAATTAACTTTTCTTCGGTCCTGTTTTTTGGACACCCTGTACCAGTAGAATGATACTAGGCTAATGGTATACTTGAATTTAATCGATTGCAGACCTATGATTTAAGAATGAATTTTCAATGATAACACCTAAGATTGTTCAAACCACCAGAAAGCCAAGCCAGGATATATCATACATTATTTGTCTAAGCTAGAAAACTAATATTGGTACAAATATGTTCATAAATAAGAAATTATAGGGGTCTTCCAAGGGTATACCTATAACTTATCAATTTTAGACATCATATTTCATGAATTTTTAATATTTGAACATGCTAGAAAGCTTAAATCTTCCTAAAACTTTGCTAAAATAAGTTTTATATTTTAGATTTATTCTAAAATGCCAAATATATGAACACAGAGGGATAAATGTTAAAGCAATAGGGGTCAGTTATAGTCACACATAAAATCAGTCCCAGCTAAAATGTCATTTTTTCTTAAATTCACTAATTTTTTTCAAGGCAATTATCAAATGAATTACTTTGATTCTTGCAGGATTAGTAGACCAGGTATTAAGCCTTTTACATGGATTATTTTAGCATCCATCATTGTCTAATAAAAAAGTTATGACACGAAAAGTAAAAAATGGGCCATAAATTTGCCCCCTGGGGTACATACTTTTTGCTTTTATTCAAATTTCTTAAGTGTAATCCGTATCATTCATACTTTAAATGTTTATTTTATACAATGTCCATGTATTTCACTTACAAAAACCATAAAATCAAAGTTATTTTAGGTTGACAAATTTTTTCCCCCTGATAGGGGTTAATTTTGGGGGGTAGGGGGACTAACATGGTATTTTAAGGGTTAAATAATCATATTTCAGCTTGCCAACATGGTTTTTTGGATTCAGCATAAAAAGTTACATAAGAAACACTTGTCGGAACACTTTTAACACTAAACGCCTACCACATTTCCTTTAGATGAAAATGCACCTTGTCTAATAATAGCAACTGTTGATTGATATTAAATATTAGTTTATATGTATGTACCATACATGTAACTCACTTCATGTTCAGAGATTTAGGAGTTGGGGTAAGAGCTTTGAGAATGTTGTATAGATGGCTCTCATTTCTTAAACTAGTTTCTAAAATATTTTTGGGGTATTTAGATCTCTTGAAAGCCCATGTTTAGACTAATGCTATTTCTAATTTGTGTAGATTGATTTCAGAATTCTACAACATTCAATGCTGGGAGATCATTGAAATTCTTCAACATCTATGCCTCCGAATATCTATGATCTGTCCTTGAATGAATATCTCTTGTCACTTACATGTAATACATCTATAAACTTTACTAAGATACTAAGATCTATAACCTTCTAGTAAGATGTCTTTTTTGAATATTTTCATAATGAGGCATGTACATTTGGTATAAGAGTAGCCCTGTGGTAATTTGTATAAATGCAAATCTGTGAAGACATTGAATTCCAAATTTTATTAGCAGTTTTAAACATTAGTTGTTTTGTAACATGATCATTAAACTCTTGCAAGGGTGATGTGATGACATAAAACCTTTGATATCAACTGATATATGTCCAAAGGTACATGAATAATTTCACTTGTTAGCTGGTCTGCAAGGAGACTCAAGGATTTGGATATTTTAGTGTTCAGTTACATCCTATATTCAGAGTTGGTATTCTGGCATAAGACAGCCATTTCAGTGTGATAAGTATGTAAAACAAGTAACTTGGAAAACTATTAAAATACTCCTCACTAACTGAAATCAATTTGCATTTTACCTTCATGCCTCGAAACATTTTTTTTACTTATAAGAAATATATATATGGTTGCACCAGCTTTTGTAATGTTTATAATTCCATGGCCAATTTTATTTCCAGATTACTCCTGTGCTCTACAGAAGGAGATATTGGTGCATGGCAGGCTCTATGTCACACAAAACTGGATCTGTTTCTATGCCAACATATTCAGATGGGAGACAGTGGTATGTTTTACTATAAGTCTTCAAGGCTTATAGTCTCTATTTATTGTATATTTCCCTTATCTTTATAAATTCTGGTCATTTCAGATGTTTGCTTTCAAAGATTATAATATTTATAGATTACATGACCATGATAATGAATAAGAAGTCTATATCCTAACTGGATTGCAATTGTGTTTAATCCTAACAGTATATCAATATTAGAGCCAACCAGATAAGGCAATGACTCTGTCACTCTGCAAACTATTCATATCTCTTAATATATGTTAGTACATACATATAGTATACTTAAAATCTGAACCCCTCTCAATGTAAATACTTCTAATTATTATTTTATTATTTATTTTCCAACTCTTATGTTTGGAAATCTTGATATATGAACACGTTGGCTGGTCTCATTGGTGTTTTGATCAGACTGTTGTGTGTGGGCTTATTACGCTTCAACACTTCCAACCTGCTCTGGATTGCTCATCCACTCTCTGTATTTCAGTTGACAATTCGCTGTAAAGACATATCTGCGCTTACAAAGGAAAAGACCGCTCGGGTGATTCCTAATGCAATACAGATCCTCACAAAGAATGAGAAATATTTCTTCACCTCCCTCAGTGCCAGGGACAAGACGTATCTTATGCTGTTTAGAGTGTGGCAGAATGCTTTGATGGACCAGGTGTGCTATATTATCATGCATCATTTATATAATAGGAAAGTATCATGTAAATATACTTATACCACTCTAAGTCCGATTACAGTTGTAAAACACGGGTCTATAACAACGATATACAGTGGAGAGTGGTATATCGTCATCGTATACAACTCCTCCGTATACACTCCAGCGTATACCACTGTAGAAGTGCATTCTGGGAACTAATGAATATTGACTGAAGAACGAGGTGTATGTTTTGTTACACATGATTTCCTAGAATCAAGTGACGTCATAAATGGTTCCAATATGATTTGCTAGAATCAAGTGACGTCATAAATGGATCGATATCAACATCGGCATTACTGAGTTGGCTATGGGATATTTTTATGGTTTTTATAATTGTTATGATTGTGTTTGAATCAACTGTAATTGAACTTAGAGCGGCATAATAAGATTATATAATCATGGTTCATTCTGTATATCGTGCATTTTATACTCTCGTCAGAATATAATATATTCACTCGTTCGCTACGCTCACTTGTGAATATATTATATACTCACTTGAGTATAAACACGATATACAGAATGAACCATTATATAACCTCATAATACATGGAGCATGTTAAATACATGAACTTGAACACATGCATACTACATACATACATACAAACTAGCTAAACCACCTGAAAAAAACTTGATTAATCTGACACACAAATGAATTAACTCATTTGCTATTCGTCACACAATAAACTTGACCAACTAGCCATATGACACAGTTGATGAACTTGAACACTAACCACATAATAACATTGACTTACTTGGAGACCTTGGCACAGTTGATGAACTTGAACACTAACCACATGATAACATTGACATACTTGGAGACCTTGACACAGTTGATGGCTTTGACACCATGATGTCAATTTTTGATGTGTTTAAATTGCAAATTTTGTGTTAGGCACTTATATTTGAAAATTACTGCTCCAATTTCTATAGTTGTGCACATTTTTACCTAGACTAGACCAGATTAGATGTCATTTAGATGTTAGTAACTAACACAAACATGCTAAAAGTCACCCTTGATTAGACCCACCTTGGTTTAAGTACTGGTTCGCTCCCTTTCATCATTTAGAAAAATACTTTTGGAATTTCAGAAAATATGAACTTCATTAGAGGTTGAATCAAACAATTCAGGATTTACAAAGCCTTCTTTATTTCAACATAGATAGGCAATAATGCCAAAAATGTTACACTGTGAATGTATGTTTGATGTTTATCCTTCATTATTTACTTTTGCATATTTTAAATGTTAATATTGATAATTCCCTAGTCCTTTGAATTATTATATACTGTTGTGCATACTGTTTAGATAATGAGGTGTGGTCCTCTCATTTGCTCCACGTTTTGTAAACCAATTACCAGTAGGCTGTAGGAAACACATGTTGAATATTTTATTAAAGCAGTGTACCCTTGAATAAATCCATGCTACATTCATGTGTAGTCTTGCACCCTGGTACCCCTACCCATCCCTAACCTTCAACAACCACTAGAAGGACCAATTGGGGAGAGTGGATAGACAGACACCTTGCAAGCCTTTTACAGTATTTATGTTGCATATGATAGTCAGACATTCCATTATGAAAGGCATTTTAAAATTAGAAATTAAAGGCATTAATTTTTCTTTGGGATATCTTATAAAACCTGGATATAGATTCCTCCATTGTTTAAATTCACAGTGTGCACAACTTCAAAATGAGATCTAAGATTTCTCTGTTTGATTTACATAGTTGCTTCCAAAAGATACATTCAAGGTAAAGACACAAAGATATTTTCTGCATTGATATGTTCTTGCAAAAGCTCAATCTCCCATTAGAGCTTCATGTTTGACTGTTTTGTGTGGTTACGGCAATATTATTTTAACCCCCCTATCCCATTGTTGTATGTGTATCATTTTTTGATTGTCATTTATTAGACTCCAGATTGAAAATCTGGAGTCTATTGCTTTTGCCTGTATTCTTATTCTTATTCTTATTAGCACGATTTCTCAGTAACTAGAAGACTTAGAGTAAATCTAATTACATGGTCAGTTAGGGTATGTGACCTAGTTTCTGGGAAATTAGGTCAAATTTTTATCTAGGTCAAAGGTCAAAATTTAGGTCAATTTTTCTAATTTCACAAATTTTCAATTTTCTTTTTAATCTATCAATATTTCTTGCGATGAATTAAATTATAGCTCCCTCTAAGTATTTCAAACATTTCGCTCACTCTATGTCTCGATGAAAATTTTACCAATTTTGAGAAATTTGACTCCAAAAAAAGAGTGAAATTTAAGTTGTTCCAAATCTATTAAAATTAGTCTCAATTTAACAGGAAATTTTCTCAGGATTCCGAATCTGAAAACGAAATTGTGATCCGACTTCCGGTTCAGGAATTAACACATTTTGAAATTTCAAAAAAATGATATGATGGTACCCTGATGGCATGTCTACCTGACCGTTAATTTTCTCATGTCTCATTAATATCAAAGTTCAAATTAAGGTTGTAATAGAAAATTTTCTCAGGATTCCGAATCTGAAAACAAAATTGAGATCCGACTTCCGGTTGAGAAGTTATGGGCTTTTGAAATCTCAAAAAAAATCCCACCGCTGCCACCAAATTGTAACAATCTCAACCCTTTCATTAATATCAGATCTCAAAATGGTTTTATGATAAACAATCTAAATCTGGAGTCTTGAATTGAACTTGTTCAATTTCTCCAATCTAGTTATTTATCAAATCCAGTAACAATACATTTCAACAATGTTCATGCAGACTGGGCCTGGGCCATCAGAAGTTACCTATTCAGTACAAACCATACTTTAATGAATGCAAGCCTCTCCAAGCCTCTCATTTAGAATACTACATACATAGAGATCCGTTTTTATTCATAACATTTATTTGAGCACTTAGATAATCTTAGTAAATGTTGCACCAGTTTTACAGGATGACACAAGAAACTGGACACCAAATGATATCTAATTACTTCAAAGATGATAAGTAGTAGCAATGCCATTTTATGTGACAAAGGAAACCAAAAACTATTTCAAGATTGTTGAAATGTATTCTTCAGAATGTGATAAGCAATCAAGAGAGATGATACACCAGAAATTGAAATTGATATCATTTATATTTTAAAAGTTATTCAAGATTATTTGTTTGCCCAATTTATTGTGTCAACTTGTATATGTATAACTCAAGTCTTCATATATTTGATTCCTTTGTGTATGACATACAACATACATATTTTTTTTTTATTATTATTTGTTTCCTGCCAATATTTGAATGCAGAATGTTGATACTTATGTCCTCTTTATGGTACTTGTGGTTTACCATGACTACCGACTTTTCTGCTATTACCGATTAGCGTATCTATTGGTTCAACCTGCTTGTGTCAGTGTGTTATCTCAATTTTGCCCACCCTGTATTATTTAAAGTTTGGTTGAATACCTTGGTGCTTTTAGAGAGTACTGTCCATATATAGGTAAAGCTTGGTTATGAATCATTATTCGAACATGACTGTATTCTCGCCTTCTATAAACTGTAAACAAAGTCAACATTTCACCCGGGGTATATTCGCGATCAATACCCCTGGTAATATGTGTAATGTGTGACGTCATAACGGTGGGTCATAGTAATGGTGGACCATCGAAACATATTGGTGAGTTTTCATGTTCGAATCGTAATATAGACCTCAGAGCAGGGGTAATATAGTTGAATACACTCCTTAGGGCTAGGTACATTTGTGCCTAGCCCTGCGGGGTGTATTCGACAATATTATCCCTGCTTTTCGGTCTATATTTCTTAATTATAATGGTCTTACAACAAGTCTTTGTTTAACTCCCTCCTCTCTCTATCCCTCCCTATGGCAAAAGCTGTTCGGGGAAATAGAGATTAAGTGAAAAGGGAGTAGTACAAGACTTATGTTAGGTAATAAGGCTCTTAGTTGCTTTGTAGTTGGGATAGATAGCGAGGGACAATGGAAAAGGCAGCAAAATTGCAGCACAAATTAGTTTTTACACTTTAGATATAGTTTGATGTCACATAAAAGCTAAAAACCTGTAGCTGCTTTTTATTCACATGAAACTTTTACGAATGATTTCAATATTTTGTAAAGTCCCATTTAGTTCCAGTGAGGTTGAAAATAGCCCAAAACAAAGATAGCGTCACACTATGTAGTAAATTATCTTTTACAGCCTATGAGCGCTCAAGAACTTTGGCAGTGGGTACATTACAGTTACGGTGACGAACTTGGACTTACATCTAGTGACGACGACTACGTTCAACCAGAGGACGATTCTAAAGTTGAAGATAAAGAGGGAACACTCACACCAAATATGAAGGTGAGTAGTATGTATATGAACATCTATGTATGCTGAAGACCAATGTTATTTTCCTAGTTGGTGTAGAGGATGGAAAACTTCACATTAAGGAACCTAGGGAATCATTGTTGATGGAGGCAGGAATCAAATAAGAAATTACTGAATTGAAAAAGAGAAAAAGAGATGAAATGTCAACATATTTTGTTGAGCTATAGTATTATCTGTTGTGTTATCGTGTTTTGGTAGAATTTATTTTAGCATAGCATATAGATGTCTCTTCCAAGCCAGTGTCATTCAAGCACTTAAAACTTCATGAAATAAGGAAGTATTAGCACAGGTGAGAAACACTACAAAACATTCACAGACTATCAAATAAAATTGAACCTAACTTAACCTAACAAAGATACTCTCGTATACTTCCTGTTGTATTCTATGAAAATACTCTACATGTGTCCTACTCTACGTATTTGAAAATGAAATTGAAATCTTGACTCAAAAATTTTAAAAAAAATGCATATATAGCAAGAACTAGAAATCCAATGCAAAACTGCAGCAAAAGAATTGATTCACTCAAATTCATAAAATTGATTTTTATTATTCATAATATTAATGCCACCTACATTTTGTATTTGACTACACAGAACTATGTTTTCTTTGTGAAATGAAATACTGAATTCCTCCATGCATTTGTTGCATCATTTTGAAGTACAGAACTTACACAATTTAGAAAACTTACCTCAGAATCTATACAAATGTCTGTTTATGAATCATAATTAAGCCATTCTGTTCTCTTCTTGTCTGCTATTTGTTATTTAGTAAGCATTATGTTTGTTCTTACTGAATGACGCCAGGAAGTCTCAGGAATCCGTTCTTTAATCCTATTAAAACACAGCCTTATTTTCGCGATTTTCACATTGGTTTCCGGAATTCAAAAAGATCTACATCATTTCCGTCATCTCCCATGTCTGAACGATGTAACATTCATTAATGAATTTGTTATCCCCCGTCTTCTGTATTTGATTTTGCGTCATCCAGAACAGGAAATCTTCTGCAACTATAGGGGGTAAATTAAAGTTCTAATGGATTTCACTGTGGGATATATATCAAGTCACATTCGCAAAGAGAAAATATCTGTTCTATGATGACATGTTCACTAGACTGAGGGGAGGGATGATCAGTCCCATTTATATGTTTTCCTGATTTTGTCAAAAACTTGACACTGCCGAAAAGGTACCTCAAACCATCAAAAAGCAAGAGGGACAAGCAATCAAAAGACATTTCAAAAGAATAATTTAATTGATTAATTAAAGGCCCCATGTAAAGTTTGCAAATATTATTTAATCATTCAAATATTTCTTACACTTTTGAAAAAATTTGTTCGTCCTGATGATTGGATAAATCTTGGTAATGTCAGAAAGTTAGGACTGAAATGGTGATTCGACTATAAAAATGATTTTTGAGAGTTTACTGAATCATGAGATGTATACATCCATGGCAATGTTATGTAATGTAAAAATCTTCATTCTATAAGAAAGCAATATAGTTTTCACTTGACACATTTTAAATAGGGTAGTCCCATCCTTATAAGGTTTGACAAGCAATATATTATTATTCCACCAATGAAATTAGGGAAACTTCCCCTTGACAGTTTCCATCCAAAAGATGGAGATATTTAGATTCATGTTTTAGTTTAAATCCAAAAACAAAAATAAACAAAACTTGATTTGAGATCCTTCTTCTTAGAATAAATTGTTGACCTACTGTAGTGCCCTCCTTTGAATTTCAAAATCTGGATAGACATTGTACAGTACATTTAACATGATTACGGTTAGGTAGATACACCTGATACTGTATGAGTATGTCACTGATAGAAATGGGATTGACTCATCACTTAAAAAATGTTTGTCAAAATGAAGTTTGATAGTACATGTACATTATCTACATGTGTATTATCTAATGCATATGACTTTGTCTCACAGGTGAAAGGTGGGGGGGGGCTTGCAAACCCTGCCATGGCCTCTTTGAAAGTACCTGTTATAGCCCCTTGCAAGAGTTTGAATATAAAATAAATGGAACCTACTTTCGAAGGCATGAAATTCTGATCAGGTACCATATTCTCACTAATAAAAGTACATTCTACATTTAATGCACACATTGTTTTTTGAACAACCTTACCTATTTGACTTCCATGAAATTTAAATGAAGAAAAAATATTGAATAATTTATTTGGCAATATCGGTTTTAACTCATTTACAGCAGCTATTTGTAATAATACACTCGGTGTACCCTATAAATATACAATTTGAAAAAATGGAAATTAAGTAATACAAAAAAATGTGATAATGTGTATCAGATCAGAAAATGATACATATGAACACTTTTTTTTATTAATTTTCCCAAAATAAAGATATATACAGCATTAGATAAAAATACTTAGTGAAATAGGTAGATATCAATGTATACTGCTTGTGTTCTTTTTATGAATGTGGTTACTATATATCAAAGAGGAACCAGCTTTATCAAAGTGGAATAAAAAACACTTTTCAACAGCTTTTGCAATTTTTGGAAAGGATGCATAAGAAATAGAGCATATTCATTGGCCATTTCTTTCAGGGAAACCAGGACATTTTTACCATGGGAATATTGTAATCATGAATCACACACTGGGTTTCAAGGTGGGCTCTTGATTTGCTTTATATATGATTGCAATCAACACAATGCTTTATTACGCTGTATGAGCTGATTGAAGAAGGACAGATAGAGCTGCAACATATATTAAAGTCATCTCAACATAGAATTCAGGACATAACCATGGTTTCATACTGAACTGATTGGAAAGAATCCTATTTGATTTGCACCATACGTTTATCTGGCTATCAAAACATGATTAAATGCTATAGCTCGATTAACAGGACTTGAGGACTTAAAAACTATATCAAGTGCACCATTCGTGGATGAATCAAGCAGAAATATATAATTTAGAGCACTCTTCAAAACGTCTGATAACCGCATTCCTGTTGCGAAACTTTATATTTATTGGATATATCATAATTTAATGTTATTTCAGTTGAATCATAAGCATGTGTTTTACTCAAATAAGTGTCGCAAATTAAACATTGAATTGAAACATAATTTAGAGTATAAAGTTAGAAATATATTGTGAAGTGGCTTGACCTCTAAAAGTGCCAACCTCAAACCACCAACAAAGATTCCTTCAAATAAAGCAAACTTTGGTTACCTTTGTAACTATAGTCAGAATAAACTGGTTGCAATGGTTGCCCAAAATGAGAACAGCGAAAAGATGGCTTTGGAACTTGACCTCATTCATGGTCCCATGTTTCAAATGTTCTCCCCAAAAGTGGCACAACGCAGGAAAAAACTGAGACTAAAAATACCAAAACGTAAACAAAAGGTATAGTATTTGTTGATAGTCATGCTCATATCATCTTTGTGGTATATTGCTTTTTATATTCACACCTATATTGTTAACAAGCACTGATCATATTTAGAGGCTATGTCACTATTACATGAAATATACCTGAGTTCTCTATATTTGGGCAAGAATGAAGTCATATTTCACGTAATAGTGACATAATATTGATATATTACATACCTATATTCCCATGGCTACTTTGTATCAATGATGTCACACATCTGTGTGCGAGTAAAATTTGATGAAAATGAAACATGACGTCACGATTTTGACATGGTTAAAAGAAATCTATATATCAGGGTAATTGGGCAATATCAGTGGAAATAGCCCGCCAACTTTCCCATTGATGTCCATACAAATGGTTCCCTAAGTATTTAATAAACTGGGGTATAGCAAGGATCGAAATATAGTGGAGGCAAAAACCATATTTCATATATGTCCCATTGGACTTCATTTCTGTACTAACAATAATGATATTTCTATTTTCAAACTATTTATGACGGTCTAGTTGAACAACTAGAAAGTCAAAACATTACAAATATAATCATAGTAAGCATTTGAAGATCATTAAGAAGCATCATGGCAAAATTTGAAATAATTGAATCTTAGAAGCAATATTTTGTTATTTATATCGCTCAGAATTCCTTTAAAGTCCCCGTCTAAAGTTTGAAAATATTTTTTTATCATTCATTTACTATTTGTCAGGACTTAAAAAGTGATTTAAGAGATTTTTGAACAAAAAAAATTTTTTGAAAAAAAAGTTGTGAGCATTTCATTTCTCAAATATTCAAATTTCCCGCCATTTTTCAAAAAAAGTTGAAATTTCTTAATCATCAAATATTTATTAATGCATTTCAAAAAAGATTATCTTTTTAACACCAATGCAAAGGTTGTACAAAGGACAAACTATTTCAATAATAAAATGCCATATTTAATGGGCCACTTCAATGTTTTAACATATCAAAAATATTTCGAAACATTAGTGATGTCACTAAGGTACCAAAAACTTTTTGAAAAAAATTGAAATTTTTTTTTCGATGTCAATCTTTTCTAAATATGTTAGACTTTCATAAAAACCAATGTTGATTGTCTTACCAGGTTAAAAGGAAGAATAAATTATGTTTTAGATATCATTGTACCATTGGTTTCTATGAGAACTAAAATTTTGAAATGCATTTTTCTCAGAACCATTTTCATGCACTGATAAGTTCATTTCTCGCTTATTTATGAACCGATTTTCTTAATTTTTTCGGCAAAAAACATGGGAGGATGAATGCTATGCATTGGTATGAATTGTGGCTAATAAGAAGATATGAGTGACCTCTAAAAGTTGGTTTTAAATAAATTCACAAATTTTGGAACAAAAAGTCTATCAAAAACCACTTTTTGAAATTCAAAAAAAAAGTTTCACATATCACACTTTGATAACATTGGGTAAGACTACAATATAAGCCAAAGTGGTTTAAACTTTAGATGGGGCCTTTAATAGTCTTTGAAGCGGGTATTGATTTTTGAGAGGTAAACTGGTTAAACTGTTATACCTCAGATGTATCAATTAAAATAGTAAGTAGTAAGTTATGTTTGTAACTCTGAATAATGGAACAGTTTGGTATATAACTTCATGAAATTCATCAAACAGTGACCATTTCACAAACATTTTCATCAATAATAGTACAAATTCATTGATTGACATTGCTTTATCTTGGTTGAACACATCCCTAGTTACACTTTTTCACATTAATTAAATGCATGGAAAGGTAAGAATTTGATGGAAATATTACTAAGTATACTTAACAACTGTGCTGGTAATAATTGCAATGAAACTGGCTTGTTGACATAGCTATGGATAATAGTGAAGAGGGTAAAGTTCAATAAGTGAACTGCCATATATTGGATGCTGAAATAATGATTGCATTTTCCTCATAAGAGTACATACTTGAGGAGTGAATTGATGAATAAAAGGTTTTTCAAATATCAGGTTACTTTCTTATATACCCTAACAAAATTTAATTATTTTAAAAACTTATGACATACTCTCATTCTCTGAACATTCACCAAATTATATACAAGTCTTGAATAATGAATATGCAACCTTGTAACCATAGCATTCTGACTTTATTACCATAGTAACCATTGATACATTTCAGCCAGGTATTATATTCAACTAAATAGATTATATTTAGTTACCTAGTTGCCAGTAGTCAGTTACCAGTTTCATTACCAGGTGACTAATTTGGGTCAGATGACAAACCAAGGGTGAACGTAATACCTGGAACGTTCGCAAATTGGCGTTCAGTTTTTTACAGCATCTGATTTGAATTAGCAAATTCAAACATATGGGTTTAAATTTATTCGGAATGTGTGTAAAATAACCCCATAGAGTAAAATAACCGCAAAATGGTATAGAAAAAGGTACCTAGGTCTGAGAAAACTGACCCCTCTATACACCATTGTCTAATGAAGATCATACAAAAGCCCCGGATGTCGTGTTGTTTCTCGTTTCGTTTGGTACACAACTTAAGCTCGGGTATTAAATAAGCCCTTGGGCAAACCATAGCAGACATGGGAAAATCTCACTTAAACTTGGCTGATAAGTAGACTTAGGAATCAATTTTCATCCAACTTTCTTTAGTTTGATGATTCTTTCATTATTCATTGTATAAAATTACAGATTTTAGTATTTTCTTTAAAATCTTGAAAAATGTATAAGCTTAATAAATGTTACATTGGAAATTAATCTGATTTTACAGTTCTTTTATATTCAACTTGAATGAAATACTATAATCACAAATGTAGTAGTCCGGCAACAATGTATACAAGTCATCCCAGCCAATAGGCTTCCAAGTAAACCCAGTTAATCTGTAGAGAGCAAATAGGGCATATATCACACGATCGGTGATTCAGCTCACGTGGAATTGATTCAAATACATAAGTTAATCTTTAACTTTAATAGAGGTCAGCTAACATACTACCTGTATATAATAACACTGCAGTACTATGGCTATGAATTCAGGAATAGGGATAAACATATTAACTAAAAGTGTGTAATATTTAAGATATTAGAAAGATTGATTGGTGAAAGTCCTACAAATCGAACCATTTCTTAATGCTTCTATGTGGAGATATACTACTGGATTCATCCCTTCATTGTTCTAAGATGGTCTTCAATTGTTATATGTAACTATGAGGATGCACGGATTATTAAAATCATTTAAAAAGGAGATGTCATATATAAGAAAACTAATCAAGAGAAGACACTCTAGGAGGAACTGTCATTCTGACTCAAGTACAGTTCTCATTCTGGACAGAGTATGTCACATATTTTATTTATATAATAAATTATTTATATGTTAAGCTATTTATCATCCAGTTCTTCATAGAGATAATATAGTATAATCTTAATCAGATGTAAACATTCATCTGTTATTTAATACATTTTCAAAAAATACTTGTTCATTCATCTGCCAAATGGCTATTATTAACAGTTCATTATTTAGGTATATTTTGACAATTGAACAATTATAATAGTGATATAGCTGAATATATATGGTTACAAATGTGATTCATGTATAGACTGACATATTAAATTGGCTGGTCAGCTCACACCCTATATATCAGGTGATGTTAGATTTATATATGAAAACAACACATGGCGCTGGATAAAGCAAACACAGAAATCATTTACTATTGATTAAATATTTTGCAATTGGTTTTCAAATGTTTGCAGCCACAATATTCATAAAAATATTGATTTAAAATTCCTTGTATTTGTATGGAATCAAAAAGAGCGAGCAATTTAAATATATACTACATGTATTATTAAATTGTCTCAGTTTACAATGGATAATGTTTATGTTGACCAAATAAATTCAAAATTGATTGAATTGAAGAGAATTTAAGAAGTTTAAGTGAACATTGAATCTGATACATACGATTTCTAGCGAATTTTCTGCAACTGCCTTAGCAGAGTTATGGTTATAGCAGTTTATGGTTATATTACCTGTCCAAAAAAAATTACTGAAAGGTCAATTTGAGATTTTGATCTCCTCTTGTATTGAAACAGGTGTGACTAATTATAATTCTTAATAAGCTTTGTTTTTGTAAGGCATGATATGTGTTTAGCAGTGTCTAGAAGCATTGATTGCTTTAATTGGAGATAATCTGGTTAATTATTATTACCTCTCTCTATCTGCTAAGTCCCATCCCAATCATTTTAAAAGCTAGACTGGGTTAAAATTAATGATAATTAATTAATGATCACTATTAACTGACTCCATCATGTAGCTAATTAATTCAATTACATTCTTTAACTGACTCAAATGTATCAAGAATTCCACTATTTAAAGGATCATCTTGATGAGATTATAAAGAATTATAAAGAGATTAAAATTTGACAATTAAAGGATGAACCATTCAGATGACAGTCTGTCTAAAATAAGTAAGTTTGTATAACACAAGTGTCATGCTAGTGTCATGGGTTATCATAGGTATAAAATACAAATTAAGTCAGTTATTCCGTACTCTATTTAGGCTTGTTTAATAACTGGTCTCTATATAATATGGCAAAATGCTGCGAAATCAAATCCTTGCTGTAGTGAACACCTACCAACATTGAACATTTTTCTTCGGCAAAAAATGCTCACTATACACAGGTTTTACTGTAATTCTAAAATTAGATCTTATTAAATGTTATTCAGAATACATGTAGATAGATTCCGACTGTGATTTAGTTTATAAGCTCATATTCTTCTTATTAATTAATAAGCTTCACTAAATATGAAAATATTAATAGCACTTATAATCCTTGTATATGTGTGGGTGTTGAGGCTCAAAACAACAATTAAATGTGTCTGAAAATGTATCTGATGTATCTATCTGTATCTTACTTGTTCCAGTATTGTTTTTTCTAATATGTTCAAAATATGAACATTTAGGCAACCATTTAAATTCTTATTAGTTTTGATTTCATGTTGCCTCCAATAGTAATGGTTGTGTGTTGTTGAAACCCAAATTTTTGTTACTAGTGTTTTGCAGTGTGTTTGTCATTTAGAAATTGGTTCACCTTCACGATAAAACTATATTCATTATGTGTTGATATACTGTATGCCCGGTATTATTCGCGAGCTTTAATTTTGCGAATTTTGCGAAAACACGGTTTCGCGGCTATTAAATTTCGCGAATTTCACAAGTGCCGGGCTATGTTTGCATCGTTATACACCTTATATGTCCCGCGTTTGGAATTGGACTTCATGTTATCTTTTGCAATTTGCACTTCATTTGCAATGATGTCATCGATATCATTATTGGGCCTACTGGTGGTACTGGGCTGAATCAGCCAACGTAAAATGGACATTACTGAAGTCCTGAAGATCGTGGATATCTAATTATCGCCCAATAACACTAGACGAAACGTTTACACAAAACGAAATGCATCAGAGCCCAGGGTAATAACAAATTCCCGGGGATTTAATTGGCAATTTCGCTACAATGTTTTTTCGCGATTTTAACACCATCGCGAAAAGCGCGAAAGTTAATCGCACGCGAATAATGCCGGGCGTACAGTATGTACATGTACGCCATTAATGATGCAACATGATTTTCAAAATATAGACTCCAACTTTTTTGTGGCGGTGGTTGGTATTCAGCAGTTGGTGTTTGGCTCTCGGTATCTGTAACAAATGGCAGGTAGTAACATTTTGCATGTTAATGCCTTGTTTAATACTGTAGATGCACATTCCTCAATTCATTGGCAATTTTTATGATTTTTTCCTTATTTTCAAGTGAGTGCAAACAAATTTTCAGGTGGATGTAAGCCTGTTTTCAAAAACTCAGTTAATGTTCCTGGATTATCCTGGATTAAAAGAAAGGATAGTTTAATGCAAAGATTTGCATAAGACTTAAGACTTGCATAGACTTGTCAACTAGAACTTCCATCTTCATGATAATTCCAACCTGCAGTTAAACATATAGCATAACATGTGATGATAGATACATCCCTGACAATGACATAAGCAATTCACCTTGATCTTACCACTAATTCTCCACATATGACACGCGTGTGGGTGTGACGCATCACATCTTCACAGCTTTATTTGTGATTTTCAGGCTCCCTTGGATAGCCCAGCAAGCAGCATCGGATTAGCTAATGGAGATCTTAATCACTCCCCAGTGGACTCCATCTCAATGTGTTCCGATGACGTTGGGCTCCTTATGAAGCCTGTACCTGCGATGATGGTGACAAGATCAGAATCAATGGATGGCCCAGCCAATGCAGAGGTCCCTACTGATATGGGTGACACTACAGATGATGATGAAGAAGGTATAAAGAGACTGAAAATCACTCATATTGTATATAGCAGTTCTTATTACACTCCCATATAGCTGCTCCTCTGTGAAAAATTTCACAGGTGACCCCCTGTTATAAGGTTACACTAGACGAGTGAACTAAATATAGATTTTTTGTTCAATCATTTGAAATGTTCAGCATCTACAAAATCTCTGAAAAAGTCTTAAATGCTTTATGGGGGAGTATTATGTGATTGTTGAGTCCCTAGTTAGCCTGTATTAAATCTAATTAAATATTAATAATAACGGATCTATTAAGATTAGACCACATTTGGTGCTAGAATATCACCTTTCTTTATAAATGTGAGAGAAACTGTAAAACTTTATTCACTGATAATTTTAACTGCAATTATCAAAATACAAGAGAACAGCACAGGGGTTTCACTAGAATTTCTCACAACAGGCTAAATAAATGAAAACAACGGCCAAAATTAATGGAAATCATAAATTTAACATGGAAAAGTTGAAAAGTCCCTAAAAACAACAGGGGATTTTGTGACTGTTGAAAATTGCCTGTTGCTTGCTGCTAATGAAACCCATGACAACATCAAGATCAGCCATTTTTTACTGTTGAATACTTATCTAGTTACCAATAAGCCAGAATAATATGCAAATTAACCTAAGAAATAAGCTGAAATATTCTTATTTTAATTTCTAAGGTGAGGTGGCATGTACAGGCCATGATCACATGAACCTGACGATGATAAATGACATCTACGAATTCAGTGTAGACCAGATGTTTGAAATGTTATTTACGGACTCAAAATTTTCCAAAGACTTCACAGAAGCCAGAAAAACCACAGGTACGAACTTTGAATTGCGTCTTTTATGATTTGTTTACTATTCCATTGAAATCTTTTGAAAGATTCTAAGATATTGAGTGTAGCACACCATCAGTTGACATATATTTTGCTTGAATATGCTTGAATATGACAGCACTTGACTTGTTGAAGTATGTACACATGTATTCATGTCATTGGTTGCGTTGTGTGAATTCTCAGTAACTTTGAATTTATTGTTTCCTGTTCATGGTTAACATTTACTAACTTAGGTGTTACAGTTTGAACTTTGAACAATGAAACACTTTAACATCTGTTCTTTGTTTCCGTGATACTGCATTTGTTTTACTCCTTATGTCTAAAAGTTCCCTAAATATTCGGGAAATGTGTGATACTTATTGAAAAACAAAATTCAGGAAAATCAAGGCTTATTTCTGTGAATAACACTTCAGACAACCTTAACATATTGGAGCTTCTTGGAAGTTTGTTTTGTATTTTGTATATGATTTACATATATGGTGTTTCTGTTTATTTTAATAATGGACTCTTTACTTCAGTTGGTAATGCATTTAGGGAGGTATTTTCCTAAATATATCATGGGTATACTATTTACAGATTCATTTGAATTTCTATGTTTAAAAATGACATTGTGATCATAAAACCATGATATATTTAAGAAATGTCCCCTGGTGTCTTCATGTGTTATTTGTATGCATGTGCTCTCCTTGCAAGTCCTATCTCACCCTTCTTGAATAAGTCATCAAATAAAAGCATTTTTCCAGAAAATATTTGGAATATTCACTTTTGGAATTCAATTATATTTACTACATTGTTGTATCCAGTGAACAAAAACAACTGAAAACTGGTACATGTACTCTAAATCTAAAATTTTTAGTATTTGCCACTTAGTGCCATTTAGTCAGTTAGAAGACTATATTCCTTGTTGAGATTAATTTGGTTAGAATAGCCAGTTGGTAACTGGGTGAAAAAGGACTGTCTAGTCTTCCTTGAAGTTTATTTTTTCTAATCATTCTTGTTGATTTACAGGTTACAACAGTATAGATGGTAAGAGAGTATGGGGTTGATGGATCCTTTGCTTATAAATCTAATTCCAAATTATAATATACATTTTATGTACTGTTTGCATAATTCTGATGATCAAAATGTTGTCACGTAACAAATCAGAGAAAGTTTTGGTTGATTGGGGCAAAATACTAGATTAGTAGTCTCAATTAAAATTCTTCAAGTGGAATATTGTCAAAATAAGTGTCAATATTTTCTGATTTTGTACGATTCTATATTTTTGGTGATTTGTAATGTGCTTATTGTGATAAATTGTATAAGGGTATTTATGTATGGGAAGGAGTTAATGCTTTCCCATAATCCAATGGTACTGGGTCAACTTGCATCCTCGGTAGAAATAAAGGCCCTGTACGAATTAGTTCATGTTGTGCGTTGAAATAAAGGCCCCATATGAATTAGTACATGTTGTATGTTGAAGATGAGTTGAGTTGCATACATATGGTACAATATGATTATTTTATAGCTGAATATATGTATTATATATAAATATATAAAAATAATGAGTATAAATAAATAAAAGATACATCATATCATAGTACTATGGAACTATAGTATAAGAAGCTTAGGATATTGATGAGAACATCTTGAGAGCTCATTTGATACAAGTAGTTGCAAACTCCTGTCGCATCGCTAGTCATCATATCACATATCACTGTTGCGCGTAAAGCATTAGTCACCATATTATATCACATATCACTGTTGGGCGTAAAGCATTAGTCATCATATTATATCACATATCACTGTTGCGCGTAAAGCATTAGTCATCATATTATATCACATATCACTGTTGCGCGTAAAGCATAAGTCATCATATTATATCACATATCACTGTTGGGCATAAAGCATTAGTCATCATATTATATCACATATCACTGTTGGGCGTAAAGCATTAGTCATCATATTATATCACATATCACTGTTGGGCGTAAAGCATTAGTCATCATATTATATCACATATCACTGTTGGGCGTAAAGCATTAGTCATCATATTATATCACATATCACTGTTGGGCATAAAGCATTAGTCATCATATTATATCACATATCACTGTTGGGCGTAAAGCATTAGTCATCATATTATATCACATATCACTGTTGGGCATAAAGCATTAGTCATCATATTATATCACATATCACTGTTGGGCGTAAAGCATTAGTCATCATATTATATCACATATCACTGTTGGGCGTAAAGCATTAGTCATCATATTATATCACATATCACTGTTGGGCGTAAAGCATTAGTCATCATATTATATCACATATCACTGTTGGGCGTAAAGCATTAGTCATCATATTATATCACATATCACTGTTGGGCGTAAAGCATTAGTCATCATATTATATCACATATCACTGTTGGGCGTAAAGCATTAGTCATCATATTATATCACATATCACTGTTGGGCGTAAAGCATTAGTCATCATATTATATCACATATCACTGTTGGGCGTAAAGCATTAGTCATCATATTATATCACATATCACTGTTGGGCGTAAAGCATTAGTCATCATATTATATCACATATCACTGTTGGGCGTAAAGCATTAGTCATCATATTATATCACATATCACTGTTGGGCGTAAAGCATTAGTCATCATATTATATCACATATCACTGTTGGGCGTAAAGCATTAGTCATCATATTATATCACATATCACTGTTGGGCGTAAAGCATTAGTCATCATATTATATCACATATCACTGTTGGGCGTAAAGCATTAGTCATCATATTATATCACATATCACTGTTGGGCGTAAAGCATTAGTCATCATATTATATCACATATCACTGTTGCGCGTAAAGCATAAGTCATCATATTATATCACATATCACTGTTGGGCGTAAAGCATTAGTCATCATATTATATCACATATCACTGTTGGGCGTAAAGCATTAGTCATCATATTATATCACATATCACTGTTGCGCGTAAAGCATAAGTCATCATATTATATCACATATCACTGTTGGGCGTAAAGCATTAGTCATCATATTATATCACATATCACTGTTGCGCGTAAAGCATTAGTCATCATATTATATCACATATCACTGTTGCGTGTAAAGCATAACACCCCAGTCACATTTCCTCACATTACGCTCGCTGTAGAATTTCTGCGCTCTCATACTTTTGCAGTCACATTTCCCACGGCAGCCGCACGGTGAATTTTAAATTTCTGTTGATAAATAATACTTTTTTTCATTTTATTTACATCAGGACAATTTATAGATGTTATTCATAGTGCTAGGATGTAATATCAAATGAAAAGTGTCGTGTGAAACATTGACAAATAATGATTCAATCTTGTTGAGCCAGTTGATTCCTACGGGCACCGCAGAAATGAAAAATATTATAACTCTGAGTTATTATTTCTACGCCTTCCCTGCGGCCTGTAAAAATCTGCGTACGCCATACGGAGACCGCAAGGCGGCCGTAGTTTTCCTACGCTCGCCGCAGAAATTCACCGATTTAATTGATCTGCGGTCGACTTACGGCCGCTGTGCGACAAATGTGACTGGGGTCTTAGTCTCAACTTCCAACGTATAAAGATGGCTTAATTAAATGCCATTGAAATATCATAGAACTTGATCAGTTGCATTATACATATTGATTAATAAACCTACATGCAGTGAACTATTATCAACAAAACTTGCACTTGGAATTCTTTTCTTATATTTCATGTTTTTTAAATATTTTAACAAAACAATAATTGAGTAAAACAAAATAGTTATAGTTATGTGACTTTTATTTTTGTTCTTTCTCAAATCAATGAACTTTGTAATTATTAGAAAGCAAGCTTTACATATTGTAGGCAGTTAAAAAATGACCTTTCATGTTGTTATTTTGGTATGCATTGTAAAATACACTATAACTATATTTTTTCTGAAAATATATGATTTTCTGAAAATATGTGGTTTACATTAAAATTTCCTGTCTAATCAAGTTTTCTGATTCAAGTATAATTCCATCAGTCCGTCTGTCCTGATAATAACTCAAATACTAGGGGATGGATTTTCTTTATATTTTGTGGAAAGATGTATATTGGTGAATAGTTGTACGCAACAAAAAAAAATTCAAGATGGCCGCCACTTTAAAAATAGCGGGATTTTTTCATGGAAATCATGGAAAGTTTTTCATTTTAAGCCAAAGTAATAAATGAGCCTGGCCACAGGAAAACCGGTCACAAAAATTAAAATTGTGCTACAGAGCCAAAAATATGCCCACAATGAAGAGGAAAATGTGCTAAATTCAGATCCGACTTTTTGGTCTACATGTATATACGTGTGAGGCTATATGCTCGTATGCAAGGAAAAATTGTTAGGACATAAGCCATGGCTCATTTGAAAGGTTTCTTTGTGCTTTTTAAGATAAACAAAAAATCAGAATATTGAAAAAATCTGTGTTAAGACCCCTTTTCCTGTGGCCTGGCTCAAATATTATTGTTTGAAATTTTGGTAGTATATTCACAACATCTATCTATTTCAAATATATTCCGAGTTTTTCACCATGACCCCCAGGGGCCATGAATGGGGGGGGGGGTCTGATCCCTTTAAAGTATGGCTTAATTATACTCAGATTGAAGGAAATTTAGGGTAGATCATTAAAATGGTATTTTCTTTCTGATTTGTGCCTCAGAAAATTCAAAATGGCTGCCAATGGGAATTTGCATTAATTTTGAGATATTTTTGAAGTATTGCTTTATTATACTCAAATGAAAGGCAATTTGGGGTAGATTGCAAATATTGTATCGGTTTTGTAATTTTAGCCTCGTAAAATTCAAAATGGCTACGCCTTATGTGGAATTTCGCAATAATTTTCTGATCTATTTTGGTATTGTTTTCCTGATATGTGCCAGAAAATTCAATTGTACTTATTATTTGTGCCCTAAAAACCCAAATGCTTTTAAAATTGGTAGAAATTCTGATATATCTCGTATCTCTAGTGTGTCCAATGTTTATATTTTTTGTGAGAAATACAGATTCATATATGTTATAGTGTTCGTTGGGATTTGCTACTCTGTGGAGGTGCTGTTTTCTAGTTAGGTACAATATTGTAAGCTAGCTATATGTATGTACAATTTATTTCCATGAATTGACCCTTGGCTAATAGTAGCCAAGAAACACAATCAGTCCTGAGTTATCGTTAGGGCAGCATTTGCCTATCTAATGTTCGCATAGCTGATGCATGATGGGAGCTTCCATGTTGCAAACTGAAATTCTTGGATGGTGAACTTATTGTTTAAAGATATATGACATATAATGTAATTAATTACTGCTGAATAAAAAAGTGACAGGGATAGATTGAGTGACAAAGTCAATGTGCAAAATAAACTATATAATTTGCAAATTTTCAACCTTAAAATTGATGCTACAATTACTTCTTGCTATCATTCTGATTCATATTTTTATCTTGTTCCGATGGATTATCACTTTACATATTGTTCTAAGGATGAATTAACTGCATTTCTGCCTATTTCCTTAAAAGTAATGGCTATATGATATGTCTTTGCTTAAATGTGTATTATACATGTAGTGTATCTTATAATTTTTATGTCAACAACACAAGAGGTTTATATTTTTGTGTTTTTTTTTGAAATAACAAATATAACAAATTGATTTTTATGTTACCACCAGAAGGAAGTAGTGACATATTGTTATAGTCTCCATGTTTTGTTTATAAATATCAACAATTTAATAATGTAAGCAAATATGAAATTAGATGCTTAACTGTTATGTGATAGTTATATATCTTTTTATTGACTCTTTAGATGTCATATCATGACATATTAGTCACTAAGGTAGAGGAGTTCTTCCCATTGTCGAGTTGAAGAACTGGTATTTTTATCCTGGCTAGAACCATAGACAATTCTAGTTATATGGTATGAGGTACAGTGGTGTGAGGTGGGCATGTTTGAAGATGTTGAAATTGTTGAGATATTGAAATACATGGGCAGTAAAGTGCATTGTTAGGCTGTTTACATTATAATATCTATAATGTAGAAGAGAAGGAAGAATTTAGGGCTCATCAAAATTCTGCGTTTTTATGTCACCACGAAGAAGTGGTGACATATTGTTATTATTATGGTCTCCGTTTTTTATGGTGGTGGTTGGCGATTGGCGATTTTTCAAAATCATCTACAAATTCTAAAGGTTCAAATCTGACTATAGATTTGACCTTCAATGACATTCTCAAGATCAAAAAGGTCTTTTTTCAACTTGCTTCAAATTGACCAATTTTTTTTCGAAATCATCTACAAGTTCTCAGAAGTTCAAATCTGACTTTACATTTAGGATTTCACCTTCAACAACCTTCTCAGTCAAAACCTTGCTTTAAATTGACCAATTTTTTCAAAATCATCTACAGAGTTCTCAGAAATTCAGATCTGACTTAACATTGAACTAATAATATTGTGAGCAACTAGGTTGTGACATTTTGTCATGTTAATGCCTTGTTTCATGCTATTATATCTTATCTTGGGTTTCATCCATCAAGGGTTACTTTTTCCATGAGATAGTTTTGTCATGGAACCAATTTCATCTAGAGAACTGTTTTTCTTTGGACAATATGTCTAGCTGGGATTTCCCTGCTGTGAACCTATTATGAGGCAAGGGACCTCACAATTTCAATTTGAAGGCTGAGAAATTGAACTTGTAAGCTTTTTATAAAGTAGGCCCTGGACAAAATGCTCTTGTATGAAGCAGACACAGGACAAAATTGTCATTGGGTGAAATAGCCTCATTAAAAAGCATGGTGATAAAATTAACTTAATACATGACTAATGTATCCTGATCTAGTTTACGATTAGCATCTGAGCAGTCTGCATAAGAAAATAAATAATTTCATTTTATACAAAAATGTACATGTACTGTTTGCCCATATTCTAGATCTTGTGACATCACACTGGACTGATGATGATGCTGAGGGGAACAAGACTAGAACATTGTCTTACACACTGTCTCTCAACCACGCATTGGGACCCAAGACATCTATTGCCACAGAGAAACAAGTAAGTTCAGTCATGGTATAAACAGGGATTTTATATATTCCAGGGTTTCTCATATACATGGGATTCATATATTCAGGGGTTTAGTATATACAGGAATTTCATATATACAAGGGTTTCATATATACCAGGCTTCATACATACAGGGGTTTCATATATTTAGGGCTTTCACATACACAGGTTTTTTTTATATACAAGGGTTTCATTATCAGCAGGTAATCAAAGATTTTCTGTGGTTGTTTTACCAAAAGCACCTGGTTTTTGAGGAATTTTGTAAATGGCAACATATTAAAATGAAAAATGGAAATAAAATCTCTAATAATATATTTGTCTGTTTTTCATCTAGTACATTGTATTACCAAAGAGAAAGAAGAGAGTTCAGTAAGAGAACTGGAATGGTGTCAAAGAAGAATAACAAAGTTTGTTTCATTAAAGAAAGTGGAGTGATGGTTTCTTATTAGTGAAAAATGTTTAGAAATTCTATACAAATCATCATTTTGTTAATCTTGGCTTGAAGCATATTCCGGGTGCATTCTTATGTGTGAAAGTAACATTGTAGCAGTGTCCTTCTGCCACACCTTGGATGTGGCACAAGTATTAATGCTTGTTGTATTTCTAACAGGTGTGTTATGCTCAGAGTAAACCAGGTATCATCTATGTTGTTGACTGTGAGGTGGCCAATCAGGGAATACCATACGCAGACAGCTTCTATGTGGTTCAGCGCTATTGTATCACACGTGTCTTGAACCACAAATGTCGCCTGAGAATCACCAGTGAGATCAAATACAAGAAATATGTATTTGGTCTTGTAAAAAGTAAGCTGTTGGCCTACATTATCTTTGTGGTCTTTCCTCAGATAAGATACATGCATTTATTAACATTTAGATATTGAGAATAGGAATCTTTGAGTACATTAAGAATTATGCTTTGGTGACTTCTGCAATGAAATGAATTGAAATATTTTGGACATATTATATGTAAAAATGATAGTAACAGTAAAATTTAAACTTAAAAAAATTTATTTTTATATCATTCAATATTTTTTCAGATTTTATCGATAAAAATACAATAGCTGGGCTAAATGATCATTACGGTCACCTAGGTAAGTCATGAATTCAAGCCTCTTTTAGTGATGAACCTTATTTTAATGATTTGTCTTCCTAAAAAAACTCATGAAAGTTTCATAAAAGTGTTGACAGGTATCTAATTTATACCCAATTTTTTCTTTTAGTTGAATTATTACCCAATAGCCTGAAAGAATGCTCTTGATGTTACATCCCACAATTCCCAAAATAGTACTGCCCTCTATTTTAATCTTTAAAATTTGATAATTTTTATTTCTCAATTTATGTTAACGCTAAAGTCTTCTTACTTTAAGCTGAATCATTGCGTAAGGAGTGTGACCGGCTCACATCGTTACTGCCTGTACAAGCAGGAAAGAAAAAAGTACGGAAACGGAGGAAGAGTCACACAAAAGCTGAACGTATACCACATATAAATCACACACCATCTATCATCGAAAAACAAACTCCACCAAGGCCAATTCCAAAAATTAGTAGTAAGCTCTACATTTTCTTACTTGATTTCAAGAGAAAGTTTGAGGTAATAGCCATTTTGTTTGGCAATCACTTGTATTAAAATCAAAATGCCATTGCATTTACACTTCTGATAACATTAGAGCCAATAGAACAGCTAAGATTTCATACCTCAAAATGTATTTACATTTTCAGATGTCCATGCATTCACAAACACTGGTATTACTGTATATTGCTGAATGTTTGACTTTCTCTCCTGGGAACTGCTCTATATTGTTGTAGGTCATTATGTTGCAGGTCAAATGACTCGTGCAGTAGAGAACCAAGCCGCAGTGGAATCACATAATCTAGTCAGGGTCGTCTGTGCTGTGTGAGTACTTACACAATATAAACGTCCATATTTTTATTTTTGTAATATCTTCGCTGGTATGTTGGAAATATCCATAAAGCATATATCATTTGAAAGATAATTCAATTTTCAACAAAGTGATGTATAATTCATAAAATATAAATGGCTATTGGTGACTCCATGGTCATTTCCGTATTATGGGGTTGTAACAGTAAAACAACATTTCGCTATATGTTTTGAGCTTAATACATAATATTGCATTGCTTAATCAACACTTTTAGGCTTTTACATTTTCATGCATTATCTCCAAAATGTCTTGAAATGAGTAAAAATTAACTATTTGGTGCAGATTTTTCGGCATTATTTAGGCTATAATATTACCAATTCCCATCAAAATGGTAAAATAACTCAATAATATTGCATTTGTAAACTTATTCGCCTTCATTTGATACGTAAATCAACAATTTTGACCTTCTATAATTAGACTTATACCCCAAAAGGTGACATAGGGGTTATATCTGTCTGGTCAGTTTTTAGCATTCCGTATTCAGCAATCGGTACCGGATTTTCTCGCATATAAGCCCTGGGCGTATAACTGAAAGAAGGGGTAATTTCGTCTGTTATTTTACCTCTTATTTTTCGCCCATGGGCGTATAAGTGTACTACTTTCGATTTTTGGCCCAGTGGGCGTAAAGGTGAGAAGAGCTGTTGAATACAATGGACTACCGTACCTACTGTTGTAGTCCTACCGCATGTTTTGTAAGAATTATAAAGGAAATGTCACCTACAACCTTGGACTTAATGTTGAAACAAAGTAACAACAGAACGATCCACCACTGCCACTTACGGCACAGCGTTGAACTAATGTTGAAACAAAGTAACGACAGAACGATCTGCCAGTGACAAAATACTCTTGAATTTATTGAAAAAATCAATAATAGTTATTTTTTATAGGCCCATGGGCGTATTAGCGTACTACATTCGATTTTTGGCCCATGGGCCTAAATTTAGGGGGGCGTATATGTGAGAAAATCCGGTAAATCATGATTTTGACCCCTGTGGTGATTCTAACGTTATTTTAAAACAAATACTGATTTATGTGAAATAAATTATACATCAATTTGTTGGAAATTAAATTGTCTTTCCATTGATATATGATTTAAACATTTCCAACAAAAAAATGATCTCTACTTGTGAGAGGTTTTAAGTCTGTTCTAATTTTATTTTGTTACAAAACAGTGAAAGCACTTGCCATTCGAAGATTCATTATAATCCCCCTCATTGTTAAAGTTCATGTTGTTCCATTGTATTTCAGATTAATACTTCTGGTAATGTTCAATGCACTTCTGTTCTACAAACTCTGGTCTATAGAGGGCAGGACAGTCAACAGGCTTCACACTCCACTCAGTACACACATTCCAAGGTAAGATATTCCAAGACATATGTTATTATATGTTTTAGTCCTGCCTGTTGTACAAGAGGCTCAGAAGATAGGTGGTTAATGCAAAGTTTTGGCTGATTGTATTAAGTGATTTTGAAATTTAGCAAAGTAAAGACTGTCCACTACATCTACTATACAACTGTTACTTCACCCAGGCCTTGCTCATTACATCATTAATAAAATAAATAAATAAATACATCCCTTTCCACTTTACTTTGCTATTAAAAACATAACACTCTCCTGCTTGTATTCTGTTATCTTTCACATCTCTGTCAGGCAACTAAAAGGTAATCTGATCAAGGTATGATATATTACGAGTATATTGTGTGTGTTTTAGTGAGCCCCCTGAGAGTCCGGCTGACTGGGCCAGCCTGCTAGAACGCCAGGAGGTACTACATAATATGGAGATAGATAGGTGGAAAGACATACTATCCTCGTCTATTGAGATTATGGAGCAGGTAATTTACAACTTTGTACATTTGTGTATTCCACTTATGTTTCTTCCTCTGGCTAGTGAGCAGATATACTAATGTTATGTACATGTATTTATTGCAATCATATAAACATATTAACATAGCAGTTACACAACCTTTACTAGAATATTGAAATGTAAATTATCACACATGTACAATTTTTATGATTCATTTCTGAAATGAACAGTTAAAAATATGAACACTTGAGAATGTTAACAGTGCATTATTTACTTTGGACTTGTACTAAGAATACTGAGCATTGTAAAGATTTTATTTGTTTATTTCTTATTTTTCAGATGAAACAAACATTAGTAGAGCTAAAAGACAATTTAGATACACGACGAACAAGTCATCATGAGGAATTATGACCTTGACCTCAAGTGCAGTATGGGCATTGTTCAAGATTAACTCTTAGGAGTAGTCAAAGTGAGTCATAATGTTGACATTGGTGTCATAATGTTGACATTGAAGTCATAATGTTGACATTGAAGTCATAATGATGACATTGAAGTCATAATGTTGACATTGAAGTCATAATGTTGACATTGAAGTCATAATGTTGACGTTGAAGTCGTAATGTTGACACTGAAGTCATAATGTTGACATTGAAGTCATAATGATGACGTTGAAGTCGTAATGTTGACACTGAAGTGATAATTATTGACATTGAAGTCATAATGATGACGTTGAAGTGATTATTATTGATGCTGAAGTCATAATGTTTATTATGTTGAAGTCATAATGTTGACTATAAACAATCAAGTTGTGGAGTTTGGTGTAAGCACATCACAAAGGGGCAATATTGATGAAGATGCCGATATTGAAACGTATGCTTGGTGAGCAATTGAACAATGTAAAGAAGATAAATGAGAATAGAGATAGTAGGAAATCTCAAAAGATAAACTGCCAAGAGTACCTGCTTGATGCAGGACTGTGTCCAGATACTTAGTAGATAATTATATTAATCATACAGGGCTACAAACTTCTTCAATACATGTTTTATTCAACAAAACAACCTACCAGAGACTATTAAGAGTATATTGTGTTATTAGTAATTTGCCTGTTGTCTACTTTAAATCTATTTTGGTAAATTAAAACTGGAAAATGAAATCTCCATTTTAAAGCATTGACTGTAAAAGCATTGGGCAAATCAAATTAAGATCATCTGAAAGTAGTGAGAAATAGTGCTGTCTAGATTGATTCTTTTCCGATTATACAGGACATTAGAAAGTTTTCTCTACTGATATCTAGTGGATTGCCTTATCTTCATTGCATGCAGAAAGAGCTAGCTAACTTGGCTTCAGCAACCTATAAGGGTCTTTAGCATATATATTTTCTGAAATAGCAGAAAGGTTGATATCGAGACCAATGATGTAAAAACACTATTTCCAACATTTTTTGTCCTATTTAAAAGACAATACATTGGGCAAACATTCCAAAATATTGAAATAACTAAATAGTCTTTTTGATTGCATCAACTTAAATGGATGTGTACAGGGTGTTCAAAAATGAACATGACATTCTTAGATGAGTACATGGTGAGGTGCTAAGGAGTGTAGTGAACTGTCAGGCTAAGATTTTGAGTCAGTTAATGAAATTTATTTTTCTACCATAAAGTTATTATATTGACTAGCTCTAATGATACACAGGTGTTCAATGAAAATGCTGTTAATGGGCTTAGTAACCGGTACTGATGTCAGGCCATGGTATTGATGTCAGGTCACAGATTGCCTTGTACTTTTGATTGTTTTGGATAACATGTAAATGCAATACTATTTCATGAAGCTTCAAAAATATTACAATAGTGAAACTAAAAAGAATTCCTATGTACACTGTGCTGTAACATTCTAACACAGGGAAATTTGATACTTCTATATAACATATATTCTTAATATACATGTATCTGTATGTATCAAATTTTGAATGAGTCTTGCATGAATTTTCAAGTCTTTCTCCCTCTCCCTCTCCTATCCCTCTCACCGTAGACACAAGTAATTGGGGAGGGAGATTAAAAATATTGGGGGAATAGTTTGAGCCTCGAAGGCCTTTTTAGTCATAGTGTATTGTAGTAACTAAAATTGCAGTAGCAGACTTATATTATAGTGGCAGTACATTTGTACATTGTAATAGCATACTATATACATGTGAGATATTGAAATGGAAGTAGAGTATATTTATATATTTCCTTGGAATCACTATTCTGGTGGACTTAATGACTTATGATATGTTTTGTAGAAACACATAGCTTAACATGCATTAGGAGGCCAATCACAGTATGGCCATTGTTTACTGTGCTTGAATATAATTTACGCACAAGACTCAGTGAATTGTGACTGATTTGATGCACTTGTTCATGATTTCATGGTCTGCCAATCTCAGTTTAATCTTCATTCAAGAACATCATGCCTTAAATCACCTACAAATCAGTTAATTCTGGGCTTAAATTCTCTATTTGTGTAGACAGTTTACTCCTTTAAGGCATTTCTTAGAGAAGAATGGTGTTCAATACTGTGTTTTATATGTTCAATTGGCAAATTCTCACCTTGTTATATGTATACATATTTTAGAAAATGAATTTGAAAGAGGAATTGCCATTGAATGATCAGATGATATACAAGTATATTGCACATGATTTGGCTCGATATGACCCAGACCCTGTTTCATTCTGGTATATTTGGGACTTTATATTTACCAAGAATTTCAGTCACTATTCAGGGAATTTCAAACCCTGAGTTTTCAAATCCAATCATTTGATTCCAATTTACTTTTAGTAGGACCAAATGCTTGAAAGATTTCAAATCATGTATTTTTAACCCATTGATGTCCCATGTCTGTAGATCTCAAAAATATATGTATTAAATACTAGTTATGGTAGATCAATGGGTTAAACTACTATGAACAGACCAGTACTAAAACTAACAACATCTTCAAATGTGATCTCAGCTTGGAGTAAGTTAATTTGAAAAATCAATTCTGTGTTGTTCTGTTGGGCCTTTTGAACATACTCTGAATACAAATCAAAAAACTTCCAGGCTTTGCAAATAGAATGTCCATTTAGTGGTACCTGGCCCTACTGGGTCATGTGCAAAACCTCCCCTATCAAATCATTTTTCTTGACCTTCAAGGATTTTAGAGTTTTTAATATAAAACTTAAAGCAAATTAAAAAAATGTGTCACTATGCCATTTTTTCTCCAATAGACACTTCTGAACAGGCAGTCTAATTGTAGGGGCTTAACTTCTTCAGGGATGAATGAGCTTGTAAATGAGTTCTATCATCCTAGGTTCAGAAAGTTGTATCAATTGCCTTCCCTACCCCATCCCTCATTCCAAGCCTTCTCATAAAAACCTGTATTTTATTTAAGTACATACATGGAGTTGGAGGGATGGGGGCAAAGGTCTTTTACCAGACTTCATTTCTAGGCTCTTTTTAATTTGGCCATTTCAATTGTTGATCTCAAACAGTTGTAAATTGTGTGTAAGGGTGACAATACAAGATGATTGGATGTGCAACAAGGAAGATTAGACAATGTATGATTTGGAGAAGTTAAAGCTGTATTATGTTTGTTGAGTTATTCATTATATTGTGTTTATTTTTGATGTCAGCCATAAAATATGAAATAAAATATCTTGAAAAGATAATATATAGATATAAAACAGTTGTGTTCTGTTAAAGTACCATCATTAATATTATTGTTTATTACTCCCCTCTGTCTTTGAGGGTAGGTTGATATTTTGATTCAGATGCTTCTGATATAAGTCTATTTAATAGCTCTCGTTTTTTAACTGTATGAATGTCATAAATATAAAGATAGTATTTCTGAATATTCTACTGCTATTTAAGCTGAGGGTCTATTGGTTTTAGGGATAAATGTGAGGTACAGTATGGGCTTAGTAAGGTACAAGTAGGGGATGTTTGATCCTTTCTCATGTGTTTTGGCCAGTAAATAGTAATACAATTCTTATCCATTTAAAAACCAACAATAGATGGAAGAGTTGAGAGACATGTTTATTGAGTTTTTCAATATTTTTTGTTACAGCATTCCTTGTCATATCTAGTTTCTAAATGGTTCAGTTCTGACTTTATTTCATAAAAATTCCTTGACTTTTGTAAGGTTACTTGGTAAAATGGATATGCTGGATTACGATTTTGAATACCTGGATCTTGTCTGCTCTTTTTTGTCTATATCTCGACATGGACTCTCAATCTCCCAGGTTGGGAGCGAAAAATTTGTCTGCTATGGTGGAGCATGTTATTTTTCATATAAAAACACTCTTACATGTACAAACTTTACTTTACTGTCCAGGCAATAACTCAAATACCATTGGCTCAATTTTGTTCATATTTTGTTAACCCAGGCCGTCCAACTGTCCAGCAATTTGCGTATTTGTCACGCAATTGCTGGAAAATTTGAAGTCACGCCATTTTTTTGCGTGACAGAATATGTCATGCAAATACACATTTTACCTGATTGTCCAGCAAAAATATTCCTGCAGAAAAACTTTCAAAAAATGATCACCAATACAGCACAAAACTGAATGCTAAAAAAACGAACGCATTTCGTTCTGAATTTTCACGCGGATACCGTCTAGTATATGTCACTCATTTTCGCTGAAATATTTCATATGTCTAATGACACTTGTGGTTTTTGCTATATATTTTGTTTGTAAAAATGCCAGGCATGGCTGTTCGATGGGATTTGCTACGCGTTGACGTTGCTGTTATCTAGTTTAAATTTTTTCCAACTATGGAGGAGCAGTTTCAAATGCGAAGTAGGGGAACATGGGGCAAAACGGCCCTCTGGGGCAAAGTGGCCCATCGAAATATCTTTTGAACTATAAAAAGATGGTTCTTCAAAAGTCAGAAAATCGAATTTTGAAATATCTGCCACCTTCTCGACCGTCCATTTTTAACCAAGCAGCGTCTCGCTTTACGTAAGAGGTAATTCTACTTTTCACCCTCTTTTTTGGAAATTACCCCTCTCACGAGAATCTTTAAAAAATCCGGCAACAATAGAATATCGTTTTGATTTAACATTTTACATAGAGTGTGCACATTTATTCTTTATTTGTAAAAATTTCTAGCTTCAAATATTCACGCGGTAGTATCTCTTCGGGACGTATCGAAACCACTCCGTCCCGAAAAACCGTTAATTTGAATTTAAAACCTACCCCAGTGTTTGAAAATCAAGGATTGTGAGTCTCACACTTCACCATTTTTCTTCAAACTTGTTCCGTACAAAGCTTCACAGAAATACCTTTCAGTCGATACATTGTTTTCGTGTACAAAGTACCTCGTTTTAGCGGCGTTTTGGTCCCCAGCTGCGAGATAAAGCAAATTTTCATAACTTTCAACTGTAAGTCAAGTTATCTCGCCAGTCTTTTACCCATTCTCGCTCATAATTTCAGAATGGACTCCCATTACAACCTTCCATCGCTACGTTTTGATTTTTGGGCATCAAACGCAGCAGTTTCTAAATCATCCACACATCTCTTAAAATTTGACTAATACGTCCCGTCACCTTCCACTACGCCCCGCCGAGTCTATGACTACAAACGTGGAGTTGTATTTTAAAACATTTTGTTCATCGTTGTGTAATTTTACATAGGTTTGCCTTGGTCGATTCTTAACACCAGTCTTAAGTTTAGCATACATACGGAGTATGACTATAACTGATTGCATGAAATTAATAATTTAAATGTTTGTGAAGATGTTGCTTTTTAACTTTAATTATATGTAATTGTCCTGTATTTGATTTTGTGAGGAAACCAAGTGTCTGGTTTGAAACACAATAAAATCTGGAATCTTGCTTTGCAACAATAAATGGTCTAACCATCAATACAGTGCTGAATATAGGTCAACAGGATACTAGTGTACACATAAATGTTATAATTAAACCTGTACATTGATTTTGAAATATCAGATGAATTTATATTTTTTCATGGGGAGGCGGTAATAGAATCTGAAATAGGTCCTTTACCGGGATAATAGTTTCAATAATGCAGTAGCAGGTTTTCGTGTAATTGGTGACAAAATATACTTTTACAAGATACTGTCCCCTCCATAAGTTTGGCAACCTTAGCTCCCCATTGAACTACGTGTTAAAGCCTATTTATGTTTGAATTTTTATCTACATAACCTGCGGGGGAAATACTTACGGAAAACTTGACTTTATTCCCAATACCTCCAAATTTTCTTGATGTTTTTCTCAATTACAATAGATCGGAAATGGATGATAAATCTGATGAATTTTTGAAAATCGACATTCCCATGTAAACCCATGAGAATTGATATGTCTGTCGCATGTCATACGACAGAATATCCATCAATCTGAGTACAAGCAAAAAGTACAAGTTAGGTACAGTAGACAGCTGAATTTGCTATCTTTATTTAACAAAAAGTTGATACGTTTCTTCAGGTTCAACAAAGTTATAGGTTAGGGTTGTCCAAATCTGAAAAATTTTCCAAAGATCTGCCATCTGATTGATTCTAGTTACAAATTGACTCTTGGTACAAATATTTCCACTCTAGACCCCTGGGAAATTTTGCCACGCGTCTCACTTGAAGTTTTGGTAATTTTGACAAATATGCCGTTTTCATAAATGGTTTATAACTCAAAATTAAACTGTTGTATTTCAGGAATATGTATTTTTTCTTCATCATGTATGATTTTCAATAACCCTACAGGCACCACTTTTTTTAGCTAAATCCATCGGGAAACTTTGCCACGCTTAATTTCGAAATAACGGAGATGTTATCAAAATTGAGCAATATTGGCACAAAAACGTTTCTAGATTCATATAAAGAATGCATCATCATACAACACTAATTGGTATATAAACAACATCTACTGACTTGGTCTGATAATGTTATATAAAGATTTTAACTGTTGTGTGTCAACCTTTCTTCTGTATGATTCCATTGGATTACATTATGAAACGTGTACCATATAAAATGATACATGTTTCTAACGTTATGCTGAAAATAATATAATTGACACCACCCATCCTTTCGCATTTTAACATTTTTTCAATGATAGGGCACTTTAAACGTTTTTTAAAAATATTTTCAATTTAATTAAAATCTTCATATTGCAATATCGGGAAATCTAAATTTTAGGGAGATTTTGGACCACCCTATTATAGGTATATTGAAAATGGACAAGAATGGGTAAATCTTAAAACACAATCCGATTAGTATTTAGAATCGACAATGGCAACCTACAAACGGACACATCGATGGACAAATTGTTTTAGAATGCATCTCTACGTGTATAGTGATAGACTCAGCGGGGCGTAGTGGAAGATGACGGGACGTATTGGTCAAATTTGAAGAGATGTGTGGATGATTTAGAAACTGCTGCGTTTGATGCCCAAAAATCAAGACGTAGCGATGGAAGGTTGTAATGGGAGTCCATTCTGAAATTATGGGCGAGAATGGGTAAAAGACTGGCGAGATAACTTGACTTACAGTTGAAAGTTATGAAAATTTGCTTTATCTCACAGCTGGGGACCAAAACGCCGCTAAAACGAGGTAATTTGTACACGAAAACAATGTATCGACTGAAAGGTATTTCTGTGAAGCTTTGTACGGAACAAGTTTGAAGAAAAACGGTGAAGTGTGAGACTCACAATCCTTGATTTTCAAACACTGGGGTAGGTTTTAAATTCAAAATTAACGGTTTTTCGGGACGGAGTGGTTTCGATACGTCCCGAAGAGATACTACCGCGTGATATTAGGCAAATTAGAATGATGTCTATTTGAAAAATCACATGTCTTTGGGGCAAAACGGCCCACACATGTTATAACATACAAAAATCTTATTGTGCAAGAACAATTGGTTTTCAAATGTAACAATTTTAACATCTGGCTTGTGCCTTATTTCCTTCCGACACATATCGAATGACTAGAATTATGGTAGGGGTTAAGAATACTTTATCTGTCAAAGGTTTGAACGTCTGAGATAAGATGTTTGTGGACGAGTCTTGTAATTGATTAATTTGGGTTTCAAAACCCATGTAACAGAGGGTGGGCCGTTTTGCCCCACTCTCGACAATATTTTTGACCATTGAAAAATCACAGAAGATAGTCCTAGGAAAGTATAAAACACTCGAAAAATGTAAACCACAAACCATTAATAAAGTGGAACATCAAAGTGCGCGATGATTGACAGATACGAAAATACCCCGTACAGAACAACTTAAAATTAAATTTTTTGGGCCGCTTTGCCCCATGTTCCCTTACATTAAAATTCCTAAAATACATACTTATATTCCTAAACTACACTTTAGTTGAGAGAACGTGTCAATTTGGGAAAGGGGTTCGATTCCAACCTTTGAATCTCATAATCCATGATCTTATAAAACACATTTTTAGTGATATTTCTGTTAGTCCAGAAACTATTTTTGTGGCTGTGTTGGATAATTTTGTCAATGCAACTTTTGAATTTGGGATGGGATTCCACACGGTGTTATTGTATTCTAGGTGAGGTCTAACTAGTACATGTATTCAAAATTAGAATCTGTTGCACAGATGGTGGGTAGTTCTCCATAATACTTGAGATATTTAAGGTTAAAATACCTAAAAAGAACTTCACAGAACCCTGGTTTGTTGTTTGAGAGAAACTTTGTTTTTATTTTACCAGAACGAGTCCAGCCTCTTTTTGGGAAGAGGGGGAATCCCCCAATTTAGATTTTCAAACTAAACTTTAGTCACACGAAAATGACATAAAATAACACAATTGGTAGGTACTGTATTTTAAGAATCACTTAAAATTTTAAATTTAAGTGTTTTTTTGTTTGATTTTATTTGAGCATGATAATGAGAATCTAAAAACATGGACATCAACTTCAAGTTGGAAATTTCATCCTGATCTCAAACTGAAAGTGAAACTAGGCCTACATGTTAGTGCTGACTCACTAATAACTGACTGACCACTAGAACTTATACCAAGTCAAGACTTCCATTTTGACTCCAAGGACCGTTAACCAACCCTGTTGATTTTTAAAATTTGGATATTTGTTTCCAAATTTTAAAAATCGACAAATGCTAAAGCCCTCCACAGTCAGTGGTAATCCATTCAAGTGTCGCCTGGCGAACTGTAAAAATAATGATGTACACAGATGAGCCGAGATGCGTAGCATGCTAACACGACGGACAAGTGTCGCCTCATATCAAGGTCATCTCAGTGAGACTTTTGCACGGGTAAAACAGCGACACTTGTACATTGTTTTCACAGATATTAGCCATTTTTATATTCATATTTTAGGATGTTATGACCTGGTGTCTTTCCTTCAGATTCAAGCTCCTGCGCACCCCTCTTGAAAAAAACAACACCTTCAGTAATCATTCTACCACTCGACACAGTGAAAAAGTTGACAATTCACTGTCGGGAGCCATTTATTTATTGTTGTGCTAATTGAATATGCGAGCATACGCATGCAGTTATAATGTAGAAATGAGGGAGTGGAAGGTATTGATCATTTTGTTTCTAATTCGGCAAATACAGCGAAAATAAGAAATTTTAAAGCGATGCTAGAGTGGATTACCGCTGACTGCTCTGCAAGATTTTGCATTGACCTAAGGCTCTTCCATTTTATGACTTACTTACATGTAATTCATCAACTATTGAAAAATGATTTATTTTAATCTTATACTTTTATGCTTTATAATCACAAAATGAAATACAAAATATAAATATCAGTAAACAATAAATAGAACTATATATTTCTCGGAATTCTCTTTCAGAGATCACTTGGTATACACTCAGGTCAAGTCAATAATAGATGCAAGAGATTCTAATCCAAATCAGAATATTATGATCTCCAGCTACTTTTGGATGCATACGGCACCCTGACAGTTGCGGCAAAGTCGACACACATGGCACCACCCCAGGTTAGTCTGAAGGGGGATATGTTTGTAACACTTCAAGCATGTCACACTCAAGTCTTTAATTTGATATTTATATATCAGTTCATTACTGTTATATCCATTGATATACTTTGTGATGTCACAATCAATGTTCTGATTCAGTTCATGTTCACAGCAAATGCTGTCAACGATGTGCCAGAATCTTTTGTCATTGTTTTGACGATGTATATACGAAACTGTAATCTCAAGTTGATTGTGATGTGATGTCTTTTTGTTCCTCAGATGTGCGCCGTTTGATATTGAGTTCATGATGTGTTTTCCAACATCTAAGTATGTTGCCATTTCAACAAGTTCAGTATTGTATGACTGATTACGATTCACCATTTGACCAGTGGAGCTTGACCTGAAATAATAATAACAACATTTATTTCATTTAAATGCTGTGATACAAGAAATATAATGTAGATCTCTGTTGTAATGAAGAAAATTAGAAAAATGTCAAAACAAATTGATCTCTTATAAAGAGGGCATTCTAGGTATCAAAGGATCAGAGAGAGACGAGGTGCAAGCTGTATAATAAATAAAGCATAAAAATCAAAATTAAACAACAAATGATTATTACTGTCACAGATATAATGAATATTTATCATGTTTATGATTCTTTGTAAGAAAACTAATAATCATGCTACAATCTACAATATATAAAATTATAATGAATTCTATTAAAAATTATTTCAGCTACATTTATGTTTGATATTAATTTCAAGTGAATTCAGAGATTATAATCTAGTCCTACCTTGCCATGTTCATTAAATGTTTGAATATATCTGGGTTGAGGTCCATCCAATATACATCATCTAGTGTTTGGTTCTTCAACAGTCTCTCTATAACACTACTGTTGAGCCTGTTAAGACTTTGAATTGTCATAGGTATCTTTGTCCCCTGAAGGTTCAAACATACCCACGTGACATCCTCCAGTTCATTCTCAGGAGGAGCGCTTGGGATGACATTGTGATTTGGATCCTCATGTTGTGTTGTAGGTGCATTCATGAACTCTTCCAGCGATGGGTAAAGTGTAGAAGACATCATTAAAGAAGTTATACCATAATGTAATAATGTGTTGAAATTTAAAAGATGCTTGCTCCTTTCTGCTTAGATGCTTAGATGTCAAGTGTTTGATTTTCTCATTGTGCTTCCCTCTTTTATACATGTGTGCAAACAGACATTTCATGTGACAAATTGATCATATGGTTTTTATGATAACTGGAATTTCCATGGTGCAACTATAATGGTCATAATAGCAGCCTTTTATTTACCTTGTTTGTTTCATCAGTAAATCAATGCCTGGTTTCAAATTTAACTTTTCAAATTTAAAGTGACAATATGGTGAACATTTTAATTGAAATATTTTTTGTTTACTTGAGTTCAGTTCTACTATTATCACTTTACCTGAACATTTCTTAGCATTCACTAGAAACAAAGTTCAATAAAACCTTGTTTATACAGTATCTATTATTTATATAATGTTCATTCTATTATTCAATTTGCATATTGGCACTTAAATAGAATAAGTTAATCATTTACATATTGGTTTGTGATTCATATTTTATTGTCCAGTTCTCAATAATCTAATTATATTTTTGACTTCTGTAACTTTTCAGTGGACAGTAGTAACTAAACAAGGGATTATATCATACCCTTTGCAAAAGCTCAACATTGTCACTCCTCAAATTGAGATGACACCTTTATATTCAATAAGAATAATTACATTTGAGATCAACATTAAATCTGTAAAACCTGATTTAGCATCAGCAATCATAGCAGTTTCATTTATTTTCTCCACCCATGATGCTCAATAATAGGATATGCCCTACTTCAATTCTTGCCTACTGTTGTATACTTACATTTACACAAAGGGAATAAGCAACATAAGAGATGACATTATGTCACCACCAGAAGTGGTGACATATTGTTATAGTCTCCATCTTTTTTTGTGGCCGGTGTTTGACCTTTGGTGTTTTGCAGTCAGTGGTTGGACATTCAGCAGTGTAACATCGTTCGGTGGTCAGCCTCTGTTACAAATGGCAGGTGGTTACATTTTACATGTTAATGCCTTATTTTTGCCTAATGTTTTGCTCAGTGTATTATCAGCATTAATAATCAAAGGGTAGTTTGTGGGTAGCTGATGGCAATTCAGGGTAATTAAACGTGGATGTTTATTTTTAGCAATGATATACCTCTATGAACTGGGAATTCCAACTGAGGACTATCAGCAGACTAACCAGGATATGATATTCTGAAAAGTAATAAAATGACAAAGATAATTATATCTTTACTACTGTTTATTTGGATAGTTGCCAAGTTACTTAGTCGTATATCAATATCTTTGGTAATTTTCCATTGAAGATTGGGCCTAGGGTGAGTCAAAGTTGGAAAAAAACAGAAAAAGTGGCAGAGTAAACCTATAGTTTCAAGGTCAAAATATGCCTATTCAGTATTTCATGAATTTTTCATTTTCAAGTAGAAAGAAGTGGTTGTTCAGGTAGATCCACTATTACTTTTAATGGTAACAGGACAACTCATCCCTAAGACAACTCATCCCAAGACAACTCATCCCCAAGACATCTCATCCCAAGACAACTCATCCCAAGACATCTCATCCCAAGACATCTCATCCCAAGACATCTCATCCCAAGACAACTCATCCCAAGACATCTCATCCCAAGACAACTCATCCCCAAGACAACTCTTCCCAACTTGAAATATAACGTAATTTTATACAATAAATTTCAACCTTTGAAAGAGTATTTGAATATTGAATATTTTAGAGATTTTAGCAGTAAGTACACTGTGTTTGACCCTGGAATATCTTTTGTATTTTGAGTTAGTTTAGTCTAGCTTTAGTTAATTTTATTGATTGATTGGGATAAAGATAAACATGTTCAAATTAATATATACTTTGATTATTAAATCAAAGATCATCAAAGGTGTCAAATTAGGATTAACGCAATAAGAATGTATTATCTGGGGTATTATCAGAATAATTCCTCCAGATTAATTCAGTCTTTGTTTTAAAATATTTTGCTTAATTCCAATATGTCATATTTGGCTTATTTTTTAATAAGATTTCCAATTTTAAACTTTCAGAATCATGATGATTGAATTTGGAAATTATGTCTTATACCGTGATGTAAAAGTAGGACATAACTTTCAAGTGCCATTTCGAAATGCTAAAAATTATCAATACTTAGATTGAGAGTATAATCAAATATCAATTTGTAATCGTAAAAATAAAAAAATGATATATATAATATAGAGGACTAATTAAAGTATACTAGTGGGATGAGATGTCTTGGGATGAGTTGTCTTGGGATGAGATGTCTTGGGATGAGATGTCTTGGGATGAGTTGTCTTAGGGATGACTTGTCTTGGGATGAGTTGTCTTAGGGATGACTTGTCTTGGGATGAATTGTCTTGGGATGAGTTGTCTAGAAACCACTTTTAATACATCAAATGGGTGCAGTACCCATTTACTTCAAAACTGGAGTTATTTACATGTTATATGTAAAAAGAAGAACATTAAATCTTTCAATGAGGTAATAGAAATAAATATACAGTAAAACCTCAATATCCAAACATCTACTGTATAACCATCACTTTTGGCCAGCTTTATTGGTGTTTTGATGAGATGGGCTTACTGTACATACTTCATGTTATGTTTTTCTCGTGTGATCAAGAATAAACTGAATTTAGAGCCCTCAATGAAAGAATATCTGTATCCAAGATATCTACTCAATTCCACTGGGACCAGTTAAATCAGAAGAAGAGGCAGTTCTTGTTTTATTGTTTTTTATATTTTTTTCGTTTTCAAAAACTACAATATATAAAAAGCAAAAATACATAGTCAGTTGAATGATATCCTATTTGAAAGACTTTTATCAAATATACTTAACATGTAAATGTGTATGTATCAGAACATTCTACTATAAATTAACATTCTATGAATATACAGTGTCATCCCAATACATTCCAAAATGCATATCATGATGAGACTAGTGCATAAAAATAAATATCACACAATATCAATATAGCACCATAGTCCAGGGATAACTCACAGCTGCGTGACTATTGGGCAATGGACTGGATGCCACTGAATGCCAATGGCAATTATATATTATTAACCTTAGTCTTGAAGCCTGTCATAGTTGTCATATACAACCATACCTTGGAAATATATACTTTGTGAATATTTATAAGAGATAAATGATATGCAATTATATAAATGTCAAGTTTCACTTACATGAGATTGCTATATAAAGCCACATTACTTTAAAAGCCTATTTACATAGTCAGCTTTAAACTACATGTGCAGGTCCATTATTAAGCTATGACTAAAAGATGAAAACAAATAAAGTGGGGGTTAGCAGAAACTAAAAAATGTATAAGTTCATTGCTCTCTTACATTGACATCATTAGGAGTATCCGTGGTTATACACATAGATTAGTGATTTGTTTCACATAAGGTTTTGTTAAGACCCCCTTTTGTAATCTTCACTTTTAATGGATCAATGCAAACGTTTAATGTCAGTACCTGAGCGATTTTAAATAAAAGGGGGGGGGGAGTCTAAATGCTTTTTATTACATTTTAATGTGATACAGATAAAGATCAGAAAATATGGAACTACATGGTAGATTTCTGGGGTCAAATTAAATAAATATTGATTGTTTAGCTATCAATTTGACAATGGAAATGCACCTTAGTTAAGTGTAGCAGCTATGAAGACTGTTTAACACTTTTTAAAACTCTCAGGGCTTGCACAGAAGCTATCTTGACATGTACAGCAACATTTACATTTGTGGCACCAACCAAGATTTGGCTGTAAGTCCAACTGTTTGCGACACTGAATGCATTCAACCTTTAAGTTCTCTAGTTCATATTCATAGATAAAGTCCTTGCTTTCACTGCCCTTCACATCATTAGAAATATCATATTGACCATCTGCATGATTTGAATCAAGGCAGCACATAATATCAACTCGATGGCAGAATTTCTTATTTGGGCAAGATCTAGGAATGTATGTTTTCGAAATGTTGATTTGATTGTGATGCATTAAACGCATCATTCGGTCATCCATGTCATCGGCATCTCTATAGCTCATTGGGTGGGTGACTTGGTTCACAAGTGCTTGTTGGATTCTTTGTTGTTTCTGCCTCTTGGTAACCATGTTTGCATATTCTCTTACAGCTTGTTTGATTGGTTGACTGAACTGCAAGCATTCTGCCATGGTTACTAGCTGACCTGGTGTGACCTTGTCTCTTGGGGCCTCTAACACATCAGTCCTGAAATTCAGTTTGAGGTAAGAATCTATCAATTAAATGCAAGGTTTGATTAAACCATTCATTAAAAATTTTCATTTTATATCTTGCCCTTTAATGACTTAGCATATTTACAGTGTTCTTTCAAGTCAGATTGATGGAAACATTCAATTAAAATTATATTTAAAAAAAGAATCTGCCACAAAAAAAGAACTTAAGAATTGATGAAAAAGCAGAGATATCATATTTAAGAGTTTTTTTCAATGAATGGCTATGGAGAATGTTATTGGATATGAACATGAACATAAAGATTAAGATATGCTAAAAGTTATTTGACAATAAAGATTCATTACAAAATGTCATTTTAAGCAGTCACTTGAAACCTACACATTTTATTTACTAATGTATATGAATACATGTTTATCATCAGCATACAATAGTTAAAAATGTTTTATGTATGGAATTGCCTCAAACTATCTGCTCAGAGTGGAACTAATTTCCATTAATTTACATATATAGATTGTTTTACATCAAGGTGGTACAGAAAACATTTTAAACAAACCATTTCAACAATGAAAGGATATTGGAATCATCAGCAGAATATAAACTCCTCTTCAAAGTTTGGCAACCCTGACACTGTTTATAATCAGGTCAGAAATATATAAAAAAAAATCTTTTTTCTAAAAAACAGGCTTTAACCATGGTTGTCCAATAGGAGATCTGGTGTTGCATAACTTTTGGAGGGGTTGTATGTCAGTAGATATAAATGTCATATTCAGTATTTGAGCTCCATCTCGAAAATAATATAAAAAAGAAAATTTTATTTTTGGGAAACGTGTCTCCTAGAATTAGGCATTGGTTTTAAAATCCACATGAATTTCTAAGTTAACATATCAATGCTGATGCTAATGCATTTAAACACATATAGGTACATGCATACAGGCTCCTCCTTAAAACACAAAATGAGCTCTAATTTATTCCAGTCATAAAACCCTTCATAAAATTAAAAGATGAAACACAAAACAAAGAATAATTATAATTTTCCCATGGACTCGCTTATTTATGCCAAAAGACAAAGAGTTCACAACAAATTATGAAAAGAACGCGCTGTTGGCTATAAACCTTTAACAAAGAAATTGGATGCATAATAATATTCAATTGTTTTGGTTGCTATGGTAACATTTTCCATTTAAATCTTGAGGCATAAAGAGGACACATAATAACAGCTGATGATGATGTTCAATGTTAGCTATATATAATATTCAAAACGACAATATCATTCAGTTATACCAGGTGAAAAAATTCAAATGTATTAGGAAAAATTTTGAGTTTAATAATAAGAAAATTGTCATCCGCAACAATAATTATTTGATGAGTTTGTAATGATAGTCAAAACATAAAAATCTGTTCATCAAAATTTCAATCCTAAAAAGATGTTTAGGTTATTCAAACGCAAATCCTATGTTGTTATGATTGTGTAAACTTTAAAAGGTGTCAAGTGGTTGTTTCTGTTTAAAAACCACAAATATTTTTATTCTGCGAGTAACAAGTTTTCATTGTTATTACCGTTATGATGTTTATGTAAAGAAATAAAGCACAACACATTAACCTAAAAATATGTCAATGCAATTCTTTGTAAAGATAGCTAATATAAAGGAAAATAAACAATAACATTCTGTAAAATTCATATTCAATATTATAACAAAAAAGATATGATTTTACAAATACCAATTAATTAGCATACAAAGCATTAATTCTATTACCTTGCATAATTGAGAAGCACGTTAAAGACTTGTGGGTCTTGATCAATCTTCACCACGCCATCTTCTGGTGTCTCACACAGCATCACTTCTATCACTTTGCTTCCCAGTTTCCTGAGGGTCTGAACAGTTGTCTCAATTGTTGTTCCACCTACATTGAGTTTCACCCATTTTTGATGCATAATGGTCGCCTTTACCCCAGAGAAGATTTGTTCACAGGGTGGTGCAGAAGGGACCTTATGTGCATGCACTTCTGGTATTTCAAATTTTGGCCACATTCTGACTCATTTATCAATTACTATGTAATCCAAAACCACGTCTTCGAGATTTGTTTTTTCTGGAAAAGCATGAATTTACTTCTGCTAATGTTTTTGTATAGGTTTTCATTTATGTTTAAGTTTTCACAATCATAGAAAAAAGGAAAGCTTGCAGTATCTGATTTGGCATATTCCCTTTGAATGACATTATGAATTTATCAAGTCTTTTAAGTTAATATCTAATTGGTCTTTGAAATTGATAGAGAAAAATAATTCAAGAAATAGCTAGTCAGAAATATTAAATCAAATTGAATAGAATATAATCAAAAACATCACTCTCGTGTTATAACAATATTTAACTTCAAATGCTATTAACATGTTCTGTGTTTATCAATCTAAGATCACAGAATGATCAGATTCTGTTTTAAACAATGCACAGATATTGTAATATTCTCATAGTAACTCTATACAGTTGTCTGTTATACAATATTACAATATAATATTGAATAGCATATTGTTAAAGTCAAGGAAAATATAACATAAAATGTAGTTATTGTTAATCTAAATGACTCACCAGTGAGGAAATGCTTCTGTTTCCTTGTCAGCTTGCAGTAAGTGTAATGCAATATTGAATTTATTCTGTTTCATCTAGCTGGATGGCTGCTGATGCTGAGTGATGCTGAAGTAATATTAATGTCTGGCTCTATGCAGTCCAATATACCAGCATCATGTGCTATTGATTTCATTTAGTGATGTCACGACACAGAGCTTTATAGGATACAAGCCTATCTTGTTTATATCATGTGACTGTTTCCTGATCCACGATTGGCTGGTTTTATTCTTGTCCTCTTATGTTAGATGTGGATTAGGAAACGTTTTGATCATGTAACCTGTATGAGTGTGTAGTCTTGGCTTGTTTACCTCTCTTTTGCTAATAAATTATTAGTTCAATCATTGAGTGATCATTACCTTAGTTTTTTTAAGGGTCACATTGTCACCTTGATCCTGACTTCATTACTCTTAGAGAGCTAAATTTATGATATGTTTATTTACGTTTATACCAGGAGATTTGGGTAGGTTTAGTATTAGTAATGGAAATTTTTAAAAATCATGTCAGAAGCTTAGAATTTTAAAGATCCCTTTCTGCATGTTAGTTTGGTAAATTTGCTTTTTGAAGAACCTCTTACAATCTCCCTCTTTATAGATTTAGTTATTTCTAGGATGATAGTCTATCAACTTTGTGTAACCTGAATAGGATTATTAAAATATGTAGCCTCTTTTTGTATTTATCTGTAAATGTTTTCTTGTCATTATCATTACTTTAATGTCACTTTCAAGAAATCATGACATATTGTAGTTACTTTGTGTGTCTGGTGTTCTGTGTTTATCAGTCAAATTGTTCCCCTTTTATGCAACATCTTACCAGGTCGTGGTGACACTTTGTCATGTTTTGATTAGATTTTGAACATTGTATAAAAGGTCAGGTAGTCAGGTAGAAGGTCACCTTTAATTTGTGTCTTGGAGGGACTATTTCTTTTCATTTTTTATTATTTCAGTCCGACTATTTCTTTTGGTTATCATAGATACATGTAGGCTCAACTACAGAGTTAAAAAAAAACTCAAAATTATGAAACAATAAACAATTATAAACTGCCAATATGTAACATAATGTATACGTGCAAAAATATGACAACAAATCAACAACACACCATTTACTTTGAGTTGACCTAATTCAAAACGAAAGGAAAAGAAATTTTAATGATTTACAGCTTTTTTATTTACAAACTGTTGTATAATTACATTTCAACTTTGCGCCTGGTTATCAGCATCTATATGATATATATTTTTATCATGACAAACACATCCTGCATGGAGGTGTAATATTTACGCCCCGGTGATTGGACAGGAATGGGTGATCCTTCAGATGCACAACATTAATCAGTTGAAAAGACACAATTTTAGGGTGAAAATCTTAAATGGTACATTAAAATATATCCAGCATAGTTGTTTTCAAAAAGCTTAGACAAAATTGAAAAAGAATATTTAATTAATTTTGCCTATCTTTTGCCTATGTTGAGTAAGCCGAGAGGGCTTGAGCGCCAGCACGTTCAGGCTAGGCGATTGGGTGCCGTAACCACGAGGTTGCGAGTTCGAGACACATGTGCTCCTTGTGTTTATTCATTTAGTTAGGTTAAGGTAGTTAACAGAAAGTAACAAAGGCTGTTGGAGTTTTGGTCATGTAAATGATATGTGCAGGAACTACTCTGATGTGACTATAGCTTAGCTTTTAGTTTTAGTTCAATAGTAGACATATTTAGGTATGTTTTCAGATACTGTGTGAGATATAATTTTATATACAAAATTTTATCTATTATGGTGACAGCCGGTAAAATAGTGAAATAGCTAAAATAATTAAGTGTTCATTTTCATCTTGGCAAAATCACCACTTACACAGTATCTGTTTATATTGCTAATATTTACTACTGTATATTTAAGTATAAAGAATCACATTTGTTTTAAAAATATAACTTTATTTATAAATATGGAAATATTCACAGTATTTACAAGTATTCAGGTATATACAGTGTATACATTATAAAATATAAGAGCTTTAATTTATAGATATTATTTTAAAAATACAATGTGCAACATTTTTACTATTATAATTCTTTACAAGTACATGTATTTATAACATGTTGTGATGATATTTATGTCAGTTGAATGGTTGAAGACTTCATTGTGATAATATGATTTTATGATACATATAATGTTTAAGAAAATGAAAAATGAAATGTAAAATAACATACAAAATATTTATTCCGTGCAACATACATTTTAAAGTACCTAACTCTGATCTTAAAATATATCAAAACTGAAAAACAATAATAAAAAATGACAACTTGCACCATTATTAGACCATAAACACAACAATCGCAAACATTAATTTAATCTTTTTTTGAAAAGATTGTTTAGCATGAACATAAATATTGAAAGGAATATATTTAAAAAAGGGGAAAAAAGACTATTAGACTAGTATTGGTATTGCATGGTTGCAAACATTGTAGTATATGGGCCAGAGTTAGACCAAGCCCTTTAAATGTGGTATATGAGCCGGAGTTAGACCAAGCCCTTTAAATGTGGTATATGGGCCATAGTTAGACCAAGCCCTTTAAATGTGGTATATGGGCCAGAGTTAGACCAAGCCCTTTAAATGTGGTATATGAGCCGGAGTTAGACCAAGCCCTTTAAATGTGGTATATGGGCCATAGTTAGACCAAGCCCTTTAAATGTGGTATATGGGCCAGAGTTAGACCAAGCCCTTTAAATGTGGTATATGAGCCGGAGTTAGACCAAGCCCTTTAAATGTGGTATATGGGCCATAGTTAGACCAAGCCCTTTAAATGTGGTATATGGGCCAGAGTTAGACCAAGCCCTTTAAATGTGGTATATGGGCCAGAGTTAGACCAAGCCCTTTAAATGTGGTATATGGGCCATAGTTAGACCAAGCCCTTTAAATGTGGTATATGGGCCATAGTTAGACCAAGCCCTTTAAATGTGGTATATGGGCCAGAGTTAGACCAAGCCCTTTAAATTTGGTATATGGGCCATAGTTAGACCAAGCCCTTTAAATGTGGTATATGGGCCAGAGTTAGACCAAGCCCTTTAAATGTGGTATATGGGCCAGAGTTAGACCAAGCCCTTTAAATGTGGTATATGGGCCAGAGTTAGACCAAGCCCTTTAAATGTGGTATATGGGCCATAGTTAGACCAAGCCCTTTAAATGTGGTATATGGGCCATAGTTAGACCAAGCCCTTTAAATGTGGTATATGGGCCAGAGTTAGACCAAGCCCTTTAAATGTGGTATATGGGCCAGAGTTAGACCAAGCCCTTTAAATATGGTATAACATGTATGGGCCAGAGTTAGACCAAGCCCTTTAAATGTGGTATATGGGCCAGAGTTAGACCAAGCCCTTTAAATGATGACTAGAGGTTGATATTCTTTAGTTTAGATGAAGTTCTATATTACATGTACACATATTACTAATCTTCCAGATTCTCTCTAATAAATGAAAAGGTCTTTCATATTCTCCTGAAGGAGATGTCTCAGACTACAAAGTCCCTGGGACTTTTCAAAGGTAAACATTTTATTTATTATAGATTTAAACTAATGATTGTTTTTCATCAGAAGTACACACTAATAATTTGAAAGTGAAATATGCCTATGAATGCCCTATTTTTTCTTGATTTTTGGAATTGATTTGATTCATTGAAAAAGTGTGGTGTATAGTACATTTATTGTAGTATAACCATCTATGAGAGAGAATATGGTTCATCTATTCTATTAAAGCTCTCAGGACTGACACACAGCGTATTGTTCTGGCATGACACACATTTCTGACACTTATGACACCACCCCAAATTGGGTTCTATAGGGAATTCCCGTCTACATATCTTGCATTCAACACTCATGTTCTTCATTTCATATTTGTAGACAAATATTTTATTTTTACACCCTTTAAAATGGGTCATTATGTCTGGAGTATCACGAATGTGGCTGAAATGTCGAATGCAAGAGATGTTAACCATGTTCCAAAAGCGTGTGTCTTTACAATCTCGTCTGAGAAATTTGTGCTCTATTTCGATTATATTATGGTGTGCTAGATCAACATGAGGGTCTTTTATATCATCTTTCATATCATAATCAAGCCTATTTTCTATTTCTTTGATATATTGTTTGGAGTTAATATGATTGGCGTGATCATTAATGGCATGCATGACATCTTCATTGACTTTTAGAGATTTCGCCATAGCAACAAGTTGCTTGACAGTCATTACCCCCTCTGGGACTTCTAACACGCCTACCCTGAAATGTCATAATATGACACATTTAGTCAGGTAAATTCATGCATGAATCAGGAAAAAGAAAGAGAATTGTGATTTAAAAAATGTAACTTAGTCATCATAAGAACCTCCATCACCCACTGAGTCAATGAAATAGAGTAAAACCTATAAAATGGAACACCTCAGAAGTAGAAACGTTCCATAGTCTCATAACCAATTGACTTTATGTTGAAATAACCTCTGTAAGGGCAACACCCCCCCCCCCCAAGTGGAACACCTTTTAGAGGCACCAACGGTGTTTCATATATACAGGTTTTACTACATATACATGTATGTATGTGTAAAAAATGAAAAAGTTTTGTTATATGCATTTTGTAAGTATAAAAAATAAATGTTTATAAATACATTTAGTTTTTGGCTCATTTACCTTGCCCAAGTCAGTAGCACTTTAAACATGTTTGAATCTTGGTCGATAAATATTGCTCCATCATTCGATGCCTTCTGGGATAGCAATGCTGATAGCCCCAGTTTTTCCAAATTTTCAGTGCTCGTTTCCATCACTGTTCCCCCTACATTCAGTTTTACTGTTTCTCCCATTTTGCCTGATATATTGCCTGATATACGGATAACCTGAAATAGAGGATTTGAGCTGATTCTGTTGTGGTATCACAGGTGCATGCAATGCATCTTTGACTTTTCCGATGCATGCCACACACCTTTCCAACATGCTTGCACTATAAAACCTGTTTAAATTCTACATTCATAATAAAATATACTTTAGAATTATTAATATTTTTTATGTTATGCGATCCTTAAATTTTAATTTTAGAATCATTAATTGTAAAGTTTGATTTACATAAAAAGAATGCATCAACTTTTTATGTAAAAATTGTTTTTGATCAATTCTATTTTGCAAATTAACGTTAATACAATTATATGTAATTATTGAATCATACAATAATGCAACAATTATGGAATCACTTACCAAAAGGCAAAATGTTGCTTTGCAGAGAACCGATATTTGCAAGTTGATGTCTTCCCCTTGTTCCTTGGAGCTTATATGCCAAAGATTTGAATCTCTTTTTGGCTGCTTAATTGGTGCCATCACACTTATATAGAGCTATTAAAGACACATTATCTTTGTTTTTGTTTTGTTTCTTATCACTGTTAACTTTAGTGTTATCATTAGGTCAAGTTAGACTAAGTGTCGAAACAGGATAAAATACATGTACATACTTCATACATATTTCTTTTTATAATTTTATACATGCAATTGGTTCATGTTATCAGATAAAGTTAATTGGTTTCATTTTATTTCACAAAAAACAAACCCCCAATTGAATAACATTTACCCAGCCTCCCAACCATTCCCTCCACTTTTTCCAGAATAATTTATTGAACAATACCAGACAATACCTGTATACTAATGATGGCCCTCCCATTAATTGCATGGGTCCACAGAATGTTCACCCATATTATGTAAGTTTAAACACAAAGTCTGAACCCAAAGTCTCATTGTCATTTGGCTTAATGCCATTTTCTCAAACTTCAATTTGTAAGTGGGAGTCAGAGGTGGTGCCTGATATGATTACCAGGTCAAACAGGCAGACAGAAATTGACAGAAATAGGTATTTGGAAGAATGTCAATATTTTGATATGCATTTAATAAGTTTACATTAGTCTTTCATAAAAAGCAATGAATGTGTCAAGTGTTGTGTCAAGCTAGACTGGAACAATGCCAAGGTGACTATAACATACTTGGTCTTCTTATCAGTGGCTACATGTCTGTCAAGTGAGAGAAAAAAATCTATTTATTAATATAATTTAATTATTTTGTGCAAAATAAAAAAAAATAGAAAAACTATCAAATTCTGGTTATCAGATTTGGACATAATAATGCCTTGAATACTCACGCATTTGTGAAAACTATTCAAAACCTCAAATAATTTAATATAACAAACAGTTTTATATAACAAACAACAATTCTCTTGTCTTTATGATTTTATATTGATTACCCATATACATAAAAGCACATAGGCTTCTTTACTGTAGGTTTACATTGTCTCAATGCAAATGCACAACATTGTTGCACAATATGAATTAAGCTTCACAAAATATAATAGCTGCATCAAAATGCACATACAGTTTTTCTTTTTTATTTGGTACATTCTACACTACAAAGATTACATAATATTTTCAACATTAAAAATAAAGTAATAACATGTAGACTATAAAATAGATTTTAACATAACGATAATACTTGATTTACCATAATTCTATGAATGTAAAATAGGGATATATTCCTGTTTCAAACGGTAAAAACCATCAAGCTGAGCACTTGTTTGTTGTAAAAACCCTTTTTAACATCCCAATAACATTTAACTAACAAAGGTTTTACAATACTTGAGAGGTTTTACTGTAATATTTGAGCCATTACAATGTAGTTTCTATTGTTATATGAGTTAACTGCTGAAAACATTCTAATTGTTCTAATTATTTGAAAGTCACCTTTCCCTGGACCCTGGTCCCATATTTTCCAGTTGACTTTCTAAAGGATTGGTATCAATATGCATTGGCGTTAGAAGGGGGAGTGCGTTGGGTGCGACCACCCCCCCCTTTTCCCAGATCTTTTTACATTTGAAACGGAGCCTAGAATTGAAAGCTCTGGAGCTAAGTAAAGTCAAAGTGTAATAATGACAGAAATGATACTATGTCATTATCTAGTCTACATCAAGCATAGAAGATCTCATTTCTCATATTATATTTAATTCTATACCATAGTTTCTCAGGAACCCATACAGTATGTAAATAAGCTACTTAGAAAAATAAGTGCAAAATGTATATTATAGTAAAAATCAAAGTTTTTTAGTCAAAGTCAAGGTAGTTTTCTAAAAACACAATTTTTTATTATTGGGAATATTGTGCTGAGATATGGTCAGAATGCACCAGAGAGGGTCTAAATTTGAAAATTTTCTGGGGCATGCCCCCGATCCACGCTTCACGCACAACCCACCCAAAGGCCGCCCCCTCCCTTTGCAAATCCTTCTGATGCCCCTGATATGGCGAACTGAATTGAACAGATGTTTCTCTTAAATCAGTCATCAACAAATTTTGAAAATTTAACACATCGTCAATTTACTGATCATCTTTTGAATGGTAACAATTTAATTTGAAATAAATATATTTATTATATATAGTACCCCAGACAGGTTGAATGATGCAGTTGTTTTTTTACTCTATATATCCAATAGAACAACCATTCTTATTGAAATTTTCATATTCTATTCTGGAGACAATTTCCAAAATGGAAAAAAAATATTTTAACAAAATTTCTAATTTTATGATTTTAATAGGCTTCTTTCAAAAAGACGCCACTGAAGATTCCTTAAAATTTGACAAAATGGGAGACTTATTGTTATTACTTAGTGAACACCCTGTATATATACTTTTCTATATATTGTTTGAGAAAACACATCAGACACTTCTTTTGTTCTCAGTATCATATGTTTGGAATGAAAGTTCTATGTTCGGAATGAAACGTCTATCCGAACCTCATTGGAACAACATGGCATATACACAACGCGTTTAGGTCTCTCAATATTGTAATTGTACAAAAGAAAGTTTTGTTCATTTAAAAAAAGTATTTTGTTAGTGAAATAAAAGGTTTACTTTAATTTTTCATATTTTTTTTGGGGGGGGGGGGTATTTTAATTTTTTGAATACTTTTTGTTAAATGAACCAAACTTTCCTTTGTATAACTATAATATTGAGAGGTCTAAGAAAATGTTGCATGTGCTATTTTGTTCAAACAAGTTCGGAAAGATTTTTTTATTATTTTATTCTCAAGAATTGGTAAAAAGGAACAAAAAACAATTGCACTAAAAAACAAAAATTGTTCAGAAAAACAATAATATGAAATGTATATATGAATAATTTTCACATTAAATTGTTGTCAATCAGTGACCTATATAAAGGACCGTGTTTTTCAGAATGTTTTCAATAATTGGTTTGCGAGAAAAACAATGTTGAATTCAATACGCCATATCAATACCAATCCTTTCCTCAACTGGGTAACAATAAAAAAACTGACCACCCTCTGAAGACATTCCTTTGTAAGAAGTTATATGTGTGATTTGCCAAAAACATATTTTTCCACTGGGAGGCATATATCACAGTAATAATATGTAAAAACTAAAAACATCTTTATGAACCAAATATTGATTGGTTCTGTTGTTCAATGTCTATATATGTTCAGTATTTACATGGTCTTCAAGCAGAAACCTTGGAAAATCATGGGACTACTCAATAGTGATTAACATTTGGAAGTTTTTAAATTCTAAAAGTGGCATATCAGATGTAATCTATGATAATTATAGCAAATCAATATAATCCTATTTAGGTAGTAGCAAGCATGTTTTTCTTGAGAGATATCTTTGGCATAATTGATAACATCACAGCCTACATTTTAATTGAGATTCTTTAACAACCTGATAATAGAAATGTAAGGCAGACTAGTAATATTTCAAACAGAATGTAGGATTATAACCCATTCAATATTTTGACTCATTTTTAGTAATTAGAAATATTAATGAGTGATATTTCTCAAAAAACAAGTATTTTTGAGGCTATTTATGAAACATTTGTGAAAGAGATTTCTTTGAGACTATTTATGAAAGCGATTTCTTTGAGACTAATTAGCGTCATAAGAAACTTTCTGGTGAGACACACCATGGACCCTGACACTTGTAACACAAAAGACACTTGTGACACCACCCTAGGTCACGTTTTATTGGAATCACCACTTTACACTCCATACACTGTAATGACTTATCCTCAAGTTCATCTAAAAAAATGTAATTTTTTTCTGTGACATATGTCTTATAACCTTTAATATACTTCAAAACATCACATGTTTTAGTGTGAATTCCTGTGGGAATGCATTTGATATCCTCAACTGGCTTACGCACCATACCATGCCTGATTAGGTCTTCGCCAAGATATATCCCAATTTTGTTATGGTGACAGTATTTCAGGAGATCCCTGTCGAGTTTATTGCTGTCTTTGATATCGGATGCTTTTGAGAAGACAGGGTGCCTCATAAGTATTGTGTTTTGGACTGCAGCTTTACTGCTATGTTGTGTGCTGTCTATGTACTCCTGTATACTGTTGAGAACATTTTGTCCCATAAGGTAGAACTGTGCATCTTCTAGAAGTAGTTCAGGTTGTAGGCATTCAATTCTGTTATATCTGCAATCATATAGTGTTTCCTTATTAGTTTTATTCTTAATGATGTTAGTTTGATAATGGTTTTTTGTTTTTTTAAAGGGGTACATTTAAATTTTGTGAAAAAAATAAAATGAGCGCTTAGATCTTCACCTTTTTGTTAAGGCTTATAGACATTGAAATAATATTAGTTTAGAATTAATTGCTTTAAATGCAATGTCTAGCTGAATGAAAGTATCCTTTTTATCCCTCTTTAATTGAAATTGATAAAAATGACACATTTGTATTTGACCTGGAACATAATTATAGGGAATATACAAAAAATACACAAGAGGCAAGCTAATACAACTACATAAACATCAATCATTTGAACTCAATTTCTCTTGTTTTGGTCTTTTAATCATTGAAAGTGCATTTCTATGTAATGGAGGCTTGGGCTACTGGTAGGTATTTCACCAGCTATGTTAGAACTGTGCGAGAAGTGACAGTTGCCACTGATCTACAAGGTGCTATTTGCCACTAATTAGACAAAGATGAAAGATAACAACCCACCAGTAATCGTTAGCAGGTACAGTATCTTAGCCAAAGCCACGAGATAGAGACCCTTTACAATTCATGAATATTAAAATGCACTTTATCCTTAAATGCTATGACAACCTTCATGAATTTTGAATATTGAATCATTATCTTATCGTCGGATAGTGTTTAAGATGCTAGTATTTTTGCCAAGATTCAGAAATGCTTCCAATATATTTTTGAAGGGAATTGGTTATTGCAACATTGAGATTTGAGACTATTCTGACTAAATGATGAACTGTGCAGGTAAATGATGTTAGCAGAGCAACTGAGCTCGTGAAGATTATGTTTCCCCTTCAACAAATATTTTGATTTCTTTACTGGATGTTTCCTGGAAATGGAAACCAGAAATATCTAAAAAGCTTTTTTAAAACTATTACTTTACTTGTAATGAGAAAGTATGTTGAATCTCTGTTTTTTATGTCACATATACATGCAAGTGTTAGTATGCAGGCTTTTTGTATTTTCTATTTTCATATATTTCCACATGTATGTTGAGTAATCAGATGATATAATTACATGTATTATCACAATATTAACACCAAATACTTGGTATTAAGCATAATCACTATCAATAATAATTTTTGATTAACGATTATAATGATTTTTCATGTTTTTCTTATGTTGTCCTTTGTGCTTTATCAAAACTACTTTATGCGAGAGAATCATTTTGGCCCATAGAACTCTATTGGCAACAGATAATAACAACATTCCCAATGCCAAATTAATTAGACTAATTAACACAAATTAGCACTTAGAGAATCTGAGTTAGACACCATTAAACAAATTGCCACAATTCCTATCATTCTGATGTGCAGTTAGAATTGCCAATAGGAAAACCATTATTGCTATAATATATAATAATGAATGACTACATTTATATTAGTCCAAGACATTCTAAATCCAAGGGTCTCTCACTTTTTCAATTTTACAGTTTATGTCAATCTTTAGATGTAAAGGGGCTTGGGGTCTTGTGATGCTTGGGGATGAATATAAGACTATGTATATCATATGGATTTACAATACATTTTACATATATTTGGTCACATGTTTGGTCATAGTCACATTGAATAAAACTGTTGAATTGTTATCAAAATTTAAAAACTACTGAGGAAATATAGAAACATGTCTAGTTTTTAAATCTTTTCATATTTTGTTTATTTATCTTTTTATCATATATATATATATTATATATATGTTTTATTGACTCTCTGATGTCATTACAATGACATATTAGTCATAGTGGGGTCAGTTCAAATTCACTTGCTATATTATATAAAAGCACCATTTTTTAAGTATCATTAATACATACATTTTTTGATATCTAACGAAGTGGTGTTGAAAAGTGGCTCCAGTTGAAAATAGCAGGCCTCGTAAATTTCGCTCATTTACATTGAGCTCTATGTTAATTTATCAATCTTCAAAAGACCCCCTGCAGAACAGTTTTAAAGCAATAATGCCATTGTGGGATCCACAGCCTTTACTATCCTTTTGGAATAGTTCAAAAGCGTTAGGTAAAGAGGGACTCTGATAAATCAGAATGCAATAATGCCCATTCTCCTAGTATGTTTTTTTATAGTTTTAACAGCTAAATATATCAAAAATAAGAAATTTTTAGAAATGTACCTGTTTGATTTTTTTAATCAGTATATTATCAATAAATTAACATGGGGTTCAGTATAGTTTTTTTTATAGTTTTTAACATCTAAATAAATCATAAATAAGAAATTTTTAGAATTGCACCTGTTAGATTTTTTAACATCAATATATTATCTATACAAATCTGCAATATTACAAAATTCCACTGCAGACTTTTTGAGAAAGGGACACTTTAGTAAAGCCATATTGATAGCCGTTTATAATGGCAGCCAATGGGGAATTTCCAAACTACAAACTTCTCTTTGGAAGAAGGTAAAATAAAAATTTAACCCTTCTTATTTTGAAGATAATCATTTATTGTAACATCCAGGGAATATGGGCTTTATAAGTCTAAAACTGTCCTGCAGCATTTCAAGAACTGCTATTATCAACTTGGGCCAATTTTCAACACCACACCACCACTACACCACACCGGAATAGCCTGACAATGGTAAAGTCAGATACCATTGTCACAAATGGCAGACATAACCGTCACTTCAATTAGATTTTCATGAACTGTATGTTTTATAGAGCACCTAGACTAAATTCCTTTGGAACAACAATCAATCAAAGTGTCTTTATACTCATTGTACAGTTAATAATGTTCTACCATCTTTAATTTAACTGATCAAAATGAGATACGGGACAATGGACACTGTATTACCAAATGCCGTTGTCTTTACAAATTATTTCAAATTCAGATTCTGAATAATCGACGATATCGAAGACTCTATATTATATCGATTCACGACCCAATTTGATCGAAATTGGGATTTCATATATAAACATCATCACAAGAGCTTTAGCATGCACAGAATTAAACAATAAAATCCCATGAAATGAGAACCAAGTGATTAAAGAGTTTAAGCGACGGTTATGTCCGCCATTTGTGACAACGGTATCTGACTTTATCAGGTATCAGGCTATCTATCAATCTATTCTGATTTTACTAGTAATAGAACATTTGCATATTTTCTACCATAAAGGTTAAGCCTGATGCTTGAAACATAGTTTTGATCACAATTCATCAATATCCTTTTCCATAAAAACATAAAACAAATATTAAATATGTAATTTCTTTTTAAAATGCTAACACGCATGTTTATACTTGACACAAATTAAAACAAAACGACTTGGACTTTATGACACTTCAGCTTAGGAATGACATAATCATGCACAGTTTGGCCTTGTGCCAAAACTTTGCCACTTGTTGACAACCTATTGTTGAGTATATCTGGTTTTGCTGTGTTGCCCCCCCCCCTTCATTCCCTCTCAAATATAGATTGGGAGATACAAAGATGGGGAGATATATAGATGGGGAGATACATAGATTGGGAGATACAAAGATGGGGAGATATATAGATGGGGAGATACATAGATTGGGAGATACAAAGATGGGGAGATCCAAATATGGAGATATACGTAGATGGGGAGATACATACTGTAGATGGGATGGGGAGATACATAGATTGGGAGATACAAAGATGGGGAGATACAAATATGAGATATACGTAGATGGGGAGATACATAGATGGGGAGATACAAAGATGAGGAGATACATAGATGGGGAGATATGTAGATGGGGAGATACATAGATTGGGAGATACAAAGATGGGGAGATCCAAATATGGAGATATACGTAGATGGGGAGATACATACTGTAGATGGGATGGGGAGATACATAGTGGGGGAGATCCAAATATGGAGATATACGTAGATGGGGAGATACATACTGTAGATGGGATGGGGAGATACATAGATTGGGAGATACAAAGATGGGGAGATACAAATGTGACAGGATGTTTTAGATTTTCAAACCCTACTGTGGAGAGTTATATTTTTATGTATTTCAATTATATTTTCAAACCCTGCTAGGAGAATAGCTTTGATTTACACACAGTGTGCACATGCAAGGGGATTAACCTTGATTGCATTTACTTTCCAAATCACCAGTGCTAGCCTTGATTTTGAACTGTAAAGACATGGTAAGGAATTTTCATATATTTTTGTCACTTTTTACCCTTTAGAATATGCCAACATTATGCCAATTGTATTCATTTTATTCTCCATAACTTTAGCTCCAATTTGATGTAAATATTATTTTGTATTTCAAATACTTTTGAGTAATTTCTTTGTAAAACTTGAACAATGTGTTGGAACATTTGTCCATAAGGTGATGTTCATTTCATGCACCTGTGCGTTATTCATTTACAATTAAAACCACCATTTATGTCATTTCATATGACTTATCTTGGTACACACGTTTTACAGGAGACACTGTGTGCGTACTAAAGATGTATGGCTAGCACTCAGAGACTGTATAGCTTATTTTATAAGGTACATTCCACATTTTATTTTATATTGCTCAATTGTAAACCTTCATGGTACATTTTGCATAAAGTAACTGAATTATATTTATATTTGGTAATTTCAATAGAGAAATGTATGTAGTGCGTCAAGCACAGTATAAGGGTTTTCTTGGGAACAGAATAAGGGCCCTTTAAGTCCCATAGCCCTTAGTACTAAGAAGTTTATCATAAAACTGTATGTTTCATTATTGTATTTTACCTGCTTTACAAACAGCTATTTGTACATTACTTTTATTTGCAGCTCTGGGGTACAAACTAGGTGCACAGCCTTAAGCATTTGTGGTTTTGGTCTTAAGTGAGTTAGTGATTTAGGTAGCTTGAGTATTAAGATCAGTTGAGAGATTTAGCTCATTTGTATAACATTTTGATCATTTGATTGATTATAGGGTTGAATACATTTTAAATACATTTTATATTCTTATTCTGTTAATTCGATTTGTA